CCTTCAGATGTTAGCACTCTGCTGTCTTGTTAGGTACCAACGCATTTGTGCTCAGCCAATCCTCTTTGATGAGTATGTTACACAAGTTTTCATATGCATCGAGGGTCGTAATCACGGGGCTACACCATGTATCAACGAATATATCTATAAATTCTCTTCAGCTTCCTCTTCAGCAGCACATATACTTCTTGAGTAAAGGATCAAATTGCGAGTGCACGAACATGTCGAGCTCTGTGCTTGAACCGATGTACGCTATTCAAGAGGTCCCAGGTAAGGGAAAAGGACTCGTCGCCATACGAACAATCCCAATGGGCACATGCATCCTTGCCGAAGAGCCCATCATCAGGATCCCCGAGGACGCTTCTGATACAGCAGTCTTGCGAGCATCTGTACGTAAACAAGTCGAAGCGCTCACTACAAACAAGCGACAGGCTTTCCTCTCCATGCACAATATCTATGCCAACGACGGTACCCCGCCGCACCTAGGAACAATCCGAACAAACGCTCTACCCTTCGGAGATTCTGTAAGAGGATCTGGAATATTCATCAATGCATGTCGCATCAATCATGCCTGCGATAACAACGCCCAAAAAGGCTGGAACGAGAATACCAAACGTCACACCATCTATGCGAAACGAGACATTGAATCGGGTGAAGAAATCACAATTTTCTACCTCGGGATTCTCAACAAGCGCGAAACTCGACAACAGAGACTGCGCAGTGAATTCGCATTCACATGTTCATGTCATCTTTGCTCCTTGCCTCTCGATCAAAGCAAGGTGGTCGATAGAAAGCTCGAGGAAATTCTCAAACTCGACGAACTCATCAGCCAAGATGGCATGATGGGAATCCTCTCTGTCCCCTTGCTTAAACTCCGCTACGTGGATCAGCAGGTTCGACTATACAACGAACTAGGACCCAATGATACCGGTCTCCCCAGAGCCTTCTACGACGCGGCACAAATCTGCATCGCGAATGGCGATTTAGCCCGGGCAAGAATTTTTGTGGAGAAAGCGGTAAGGGGATGGTCGGTTCTTTGGGGTGAGGATAGTCCTAGCGTATTGCAATATAAAGCGCTGCTGCAAAATCTGGAGAAGCATGAGCTGTATGGGATTTCGAAGACGTGGAAGATGGCTGTGGATGAGGTCCCGACGGGGCTTGAGGAGGAAAAGTGGGAGAATTGGTTGTGGAGGAGGAAGAAGAAGACTAGGAAGTCGAAGAAACCCTTAGTTGTGGCCCTGGAGGAGAGTAACTAGAGAGAATTTTGGGAATCAGCATCTGAAGTCAGGAGGCTATGCTTGTGTAGCTATTTCCGCATTTATTCGTTTCGAGCTGCCACTGTGATTTGGTCCCAAGTGAAGCCTTATCCGTTATCACTCTGTTGTTCATCGCCATCAAACCAAAAATCAAAATACAGAGATATTACTATACGATTCTCCCAACTTAATACCAGTCTCCTCTCATACATTTATAATTCAAAATGCGATTCACATAGTCCACACTGATATTCTCCAAGATCCTGATACAAATCCTGTCTACAAATTCTTCATCTCCTACAACTCCGTCGATCAATAATTTTATCATACCTTTGAAAGAACATTCGAGTTCACGACTTGCGGATTCTCACAAATGCTAGTTACTTGATATATATACACCTCCTAAATTTATTTCAAGAGATACAATTGTCTAATCAAGTGTCAGTATCTACTTAGATATATATATATATATATATATATATAACGTAGATGGAGACTGTGCAGTTGTAATGAGATGAGGGATTTAATAAAGCAATGATAGCAGCTCAATTCCTTGACAACGTTTTTAAGTTATGTGTAGGATGCTTGGGAGGGGAGGATTCGTTATCAGATTAGCATTCTGAATATACCATCTAAGTTCAGAGAAAGTTTTTGTATGTATTGCACTGCTACGTGGAATGTAAATATCCATTTCAATGGCTCTGAGAATAGGTATCAATATCATTGATGTATTTCTACTACATAGTATAGCTATAATACAGTAACCTCGTCAAATCTCAAACTGCCATCTGAATAGATGTATGACAGCGATATTGATTATCCATTCCTGTATAGCGAAGTTCAAAAGCCCTGTGTGCCAAGAAATATCAGAGGTACTTCAATGTTAAATGTCTATGTGTTTTTGTGTAGGTCCTCGATAATCTAAATCCCTTTTGTAAGAACATCACGCTTGGATTCCAGAATACTGCCCTCGCGCTTAGCTCACAAATAGTGTTTACTTTGGGATGGTATAGCAGGGTTACTGGAACACAGCTTGAGTCTACTAGTTCCAGTGGATCTCAAGCCGTCTCATCTAAGTTCTAAGGCTTTACTAGGTTACTGACCCTCCTTAGTAACATTATTGCTACTATGGCACGAAATTTGTGTAAAATCGTCGCGTGCATAGTCTCTATACTTGCTTGGGAATTATAGCACTTTTGCTGTTGGGATCTGTGGTCGCTATCGGTTATAAATTTGAGAGACGTTCGCATCCGAATTTCCCAAGCTTACTTGAAACTATTAGCCCAGTTTATACTGGTTGTTTTCTTAAAGCCGCTCGTTGTAAGATCTTGGGCGCCGAGTCGATATTACACGCTTGCTGTAGATGCTTGAGAAAATTTCTGGTATCAAGTAATCCAGAACGTTTCGCTCTTTTCTCTCCATTTTTGTTCAGCAACCTCATGATTCATAAATCCATGGAGGTAACATCCTCCTACGAGCTTCCACTGCTCGTCTGGTGCAAATACTTGCTCTTTATTAGGTGAGTACACGGGTGGCCTCGAAGGCTGATCTGGTGGGACTGGTCGGAGTACGAACGGCGTCCTGAAACCATCGAATGTGGTCACGATATCTCCTTTCCTCACAAGTAATGATATATTACCATATAATATCAAATTGTTTACTAGAGATTTAGAAACACCTATTCTAACATTAGATATGAAAGAAAATAAGTATAATGCTTAAAACAAATCTATTATTCTAATATAATACTTATAGATACAATTTGAGCAATGTCAATTATGAACAATAGTTTAAATAAATCAAATCCTTTTAATATATCATTTAAGTAACTTAATCCTTATTACTAATATAACTGTTAGTCTAAATATACTCCAAGTTTTCTTAACATATAGTTAGCTGTCCAAGCTAAATTCCACGACTAAAAAGGCAAGTGCGATATATGAGATGATACGCACGACTCAAAACGATCACTACCCACGGAAACTATCATCCCGCTCTCATCACGCTGTCACTCATGAAAACGAGTAAATACCAGAATATGATACCTCAGCTACTCTAACGTAGATGTTGATCGCCAAATAAGCGGATTTTGTTGAGGTTGGAAAATAGCCAAATGTTACAGACATAGAAAGTGTTTGACAACATAGGTGATACTTATCGTAGAAGGAAGACTAGCTTATCCCAGAAGTGGCCAGCGACTACGACGAGGTGATCTCATAGATTGTGGTTGCACTTCGTAAGTCATAGGACTCTATGGAGATTGTTGGTCTTTTTGTCAGATGACTAGGTCATATGTTTCACTGAAGCATCACCTTTAAAATAAGACCCTTCATAGCTAATAACTATCACTGGCTTTTGAACCATCTCTCGCAGCTATTCTGGCTGTAAGTAAGATGGCTTTTTCGATGAGTGTTCGCTTACTTACCTATTCCCGAAGTTTGCGAAATAAGTCACAATATATACCAGCAAGTCCGGTTTTGAGTCTCCTCTTACCAATAGCTCCAATACCTGCATCGACAATAGGACACTCAAAGCTCTAATCCTAGGGCCCGTAAAGAAACATGTCTTCAAAGTCTTCGAGGCAGACGAAATTATCGCACATGCTTTAAGAACCTAAAGTTTCGCTCAATATTAGGCTTTCAAAGGACTCGAGTTTGACTCTTCGGAGATCAAAACCACAGTGCATTTTTGTGCGACGAGTATTAAGCGTTGCGTTGTCTTAGGTGATGAGAGTGTGGTGCTCAAAACAATCATGACTGCCTCTGGATTTCCGGGTTCGATCTGAGAGCGAACCAGGGTAATAGATTTCGGGAATTTGATCTTGTAGACAATCCTGCCGATACGAAAAAAAAGCTTCTCTTAAAAAGGAATCAGTATGGGCATTGGTGGTTCTTCAGTTTGGTTCGCGCGTCTGTTCTTTCATCGGATATCTGCTCATCATGAAACTTTTAACAAATCGAATGGGCTCCGATACTATGCTACAGGCATAAGAAATTTTGCTTGAAGGGGAATAGTACGAGCACTTGCTAAGTCCTTTCATATTTAGCAAAGTAAAGCACTGGATGATGGTTAGTGAACTCTCAGCCATGCATTATGGTTATTCATGATACATGAAGATCAAGCTATGTACTCCGAATCCGTAGGAAATGAATTTGTGCTCTGCTCCGTAAACTGCTTACTTCTCGCTACCCCCATTGTTGACCCAATGAGCTACTATCCTACCTCACAATTGCCAGCTGATTAATATACGCTAACCACTTCAGGCGATACTCACGATGTGCTCCGTAATCGCCCCACATTTATGGAATTGAAGCCGCTTTGCTTGATAATTGATTTTGAGTCTCACCCTTCTCATCCTTCACATACCATTCATTGTAGACAGTTGGTCATAAAGAATTCAAGTGATTTGTCAAATTGAAAGTCTTCACTGCCCAAGTGGGCACCTAGGAAGTTTATTGTGATCAATGAGTTGTAAGCATGCATAAATTCATGCTCGGATCGTCTAATTACCGGCTCCGTGTGCATAACTTTTTCGGAACTTGTTCATAATTATTTTAACGAGGTCAGGGGAACTATCATACACGATACCTCATGGCGGCAGCCACGACTATATAAGGAGGCCAGTCGCCTTGAGCATATGTTCATTCAAACATCCAGAAAGCACTCAAGCATCATCAACATCGATACAATTCAATTCTCACATCTCACAAATCAACTTTTTAAAAACCAATCACCTCTCACAAAATGGGTCTCAAACTCTACGGTATGCGTCAAGCAACTTGCACTCAGCGAGTACTCACTACACTCGCTGAGAAAGGCGTTGATTACGAGTTCGTTCTTGTCAATCTTATGACAGGAGAGCACAAGTCACCTTCGCATCTTGAGAAGCAGCCTTTTGGAAAGGTTCCCGTCCTCGACGATGATGGTTTCTTGATTTACGAAAGCAGGGCTATCTGCAAGTACCTTGCTCGAAAGTACGCCGACAAGGGTACCAAGCTCATCCCTGCAGAGGGAGATGTAAAAGGCTATGGTTCATTTGAACAAGTAAGTTTCTGGTCAATGTTTTTCAAGAAAGCAAACTAATACTTCGTTAGGCTTGCTCAATCGAACAGGCTTACTTTGATGCCGAAACCTTTGGTCTCTGGTTCGAAAGCTTCATCAAACCGTAAGTTCTCATATCCCAATTCAATCCACAATAATACTGACAAAATAACAGTGCCAGAGGATGGGGTGCTACTAGCCCTGAGGTGGTTCAAAAACATCTCCAAACACTTGACAACAACCTCGCTGTCTACGACCAGATCCTCTCGAAGCAGAAGTATCTTGCGGGAGATGAATTCACCTTGGCTGATTTGTACCATTTACCACACGGTACGCAGGCATTGAAGTATGGATTTCAAGATTTACTCGCAAAGTATCCTCATGTGAACAAGTGGTGGGAAGGAATTCAAGCTAGAGACAGCTGGAAAGAAGTAGTTGCTGCGGCTGCTTAGTTTTGTCATGTATCACTGCTGTGGTACATAGTTGTTAAGAGCCTACCAATCATCCTCATGCATTGCTGTTGAATGCATTTTAGTTGTACAATTAAGATAGCACTGCCACTATTCAAACCCTCATTATCGTCTTGTCAAGCTCTCTTCATTATTACGCGTGTTTAATAAATGATCTGACTTTCGGCCATTCGAGTTTCTGCTTACTTGTACCCTTTAATATATATCTATTTGATTAATTATCCACGAAGATTGAATTGTATAATGGCCAAGGCTGCTGTTGCTGCCGTCAGCCTTGGTGCGTCGGTCATAAGCTTCATTGGACTGACCGGTCAAATTCCTCAAGGTTGTCAATTTATTTGTGACTGTTTCGACGACATTAATGGCGCACCTAAAGCAGTGATATACATACTTGAGCAGCTGAAAGGTTTCGAGAAAGGCCTTCGAAACTTTCAATATACCCTTGAGAAGGTGAAGGAGTGCACAGACATAACAGACATATCAGAATCAGAAGACAAGATCAAACTGGCCCCTGGAGCTTAGTGGGCTTACTTTCAAAGAACTTCAATAATTTGTCGATAAATATAAGCGTAATGGGAGGAATGATTAGTGGAAAGGCTTTAGATTCGCCAAAAAGAAGAATATATTCACCAAATATACCAGCAGACTCCACCAGGCGAAGATCAATATTGTTGACATAAAATACAGATTGAATCTGTATGACAACACTGGACCCTCCCAAAGAAGGATAGCTGCTTACGATGTTTAGTATTGTTGCCACAGACATACAACAAATGGTACTTGCAACTGCCACCACGCAATCTATGCCCAGTGCCTCGACAACCATAATAACTACACAAATCACCGAACCTTCGAACGGACAAAAGCTCTTACCAGCGATCGGGCCTATGGAGATTTCACATATGTCATCCATAAAGGTGTTTATGCTGGACTTGACCCAATTTTGACGCAAATGGTCAAGATCAGTGTCAACACGGCTCTAAAAGACCTCAATTTCAACAATCGATCTGACATTGAAGCTCACACCGTGAGCAAACACTTGCTTGGAAACAATGAACAATTGCCGGCAACCAAGGGTTGTGGTGACAGCCTCTTAGATGTGCGTAGCAATCCTAGGGTTGTCCAACAAAATACTACGAAAAGCACAATTAATGCTTGGCTGGCGACAATAATTATTCGATCAACAACGGCAATCTTACAGCAGAGATTTTGCGACGATGCGAGCGATTTAGAAGAGCCCTTAGTGACCTCAAAGACTACTCACAAGATTGATATCTGTCCCAAACATCTTATACAAGCGCGATATCTTGTCTTCATCGATCAGCAAAGGAGGGGCTCAATTTTTGGGTGTTCTGATATGCGATTAAGATGCTATAACAAAGTCCCGTTTAATGCTCCAATTGCCAAAGCTTGTCGTATGGGTGAATTATCCATGGTGCGTAGATTGGTTGCGGAGGGAAAAGCTACCCCTCACGATATGACATCATCCAATGAGAGAAGAACCATATCTTCACTACTGTTTCATGTTTGGGAATGATGTTATTGTATTATCTCCATAGACAACGAAAGCGCCTATGAATATTGTATTTCTGACGCCGTCTTTCGCCTCAGCAACCTTTTTGAGGTTATGGAGTACTTGGTAGAAGCAGTAATAGATTTAAGTGATTCTACGCCAAATCATGGGACAGAAACAATACCGTTGTTTTGGCGAGTCATAGAAAAACTATTTGGGTGCCACCCCCTGATAATTCCTTATCTCGAACAGCTCATACGGCTCATTATCAAGAAATCGATTCATGACCCATTTGGACGCGATGGAATCCTGGAACCCCGACTTCAGGATGGCCTTCGGTACTCAATCGTTGCTCAATTCATTCCTTGTCTTCAGACTCAAGAGACCTGGCCATTAACAGCTATAAAGTTCATAGAAGATGAGATAGAGTCGTCAAAACAATTATCTTGGCATCACCTTAAAGAGCCTCCGTGGACCCTTCTTTACGACCCCCTCAAGACCTATATATCCAGAGAGTTCTTCAGTCTTTCAAATTCGAGGACTCGATCTTGGAATCCTACTGCATTGATATCTTCAATACTTTCATCATATTGAGCATGGAACACGAACATCTTTATCCGAGGGTCAGGGAAAGAAATATTCAATGCTTGAAAGCTGGTATGAAACTCAATCATGCCAGTCAGCGCAAACTTATACCTTATGACAAAACACTCTACTCAGCATATAGATACATGGGCGGTGTGCAATTGTTGAAATCAATGCTACACGACGCGGGTTATAAAAACCTTGAGATAGATGGAATATTCGAATAAGCAAGCAGCATCATGCTTGAGACATCACTCAATTCAATCCGAACTTCTAGAACTATAGAACAGGGTATGGCTGATTTTAACACTGTTGAAATGGCAAATCCAGAGCTCTTGCTGAGCAGAAAATTGTTGATGCTCGACCCTGGATACCAGAGATTCTTCCCTGGTGAAGCCATACCGAACGGAATTTTCGAAACTCTTGAGATGATGCATGAAGCTGGATCGTTGCTCAAAATGAAGTAGCAATTATTCAACTACTACACAATTACATGGGAAACAGAAGATGATTACATACTTATCCATCTGCTACCGGAAGAGACCCAGACCATCTTGCGCAACGGTCTTGAACTTTATGACTAACGCAAACTACGAAGAGTCATGATAGAGATTGCATGATGCATGGCCACACGCTGAGTATAAATGTAATATCAGTTGGTAATCTTGCGCAAATATCACATGTCAATTCGTTGCAGACCTAATTCTCCTGCTGATTCTCGGCGGATGGTTTATGAGAAACACGAATTCATTGTCATCTGTTCATGATGATAGGGAACTCCTCGTCTAATATTTAAGGGAAGGAAATATAGACGCCCAGAATTGATTGAGGGGTTATCATCTGACAATATCAGGATAGATCACTTTTAGCTCTACCTCTTTTCATCTATCTGTCAACCTTCGGGTGGCTTCTCTAGAGCTAGCAACCTACTATTTTACATCTCGTTCGCGCAGCGTTGTTTCGTCTGATTCTTTCAAAGCAAATCACGTATTTTTTTCATCACATCAGAGTTTGCGCAATTTTTTCAGGATCCTGTTCTTTTCGTAGATTCGCTTGTATCTGAATCAATATCGGACGAGGTATGCATCTCATTGGGTTTATTTTCTCATGATATCTGGTATGTTGTAATCGATTGTGATGTGATATGCTAAAGATTATAATATATTGCTTTTTCGCTGAGTAACATTCCTAGCCTGAGGTCCTTGAGCTGATATATGAGTTGAGTTATTACAAGTAAATCAATCATGAAGAGAAGTAATTGGACTATGAGAACAAGTGATTTAAACAATAAATAAAATCATAAAATTAATCGATGAAGCAAACGCTATAGCAATCTAACTGTAATATAAAATCCAATACAATAATAAATTTTATAGCCCTCGAGCACTTCATGGGGCTATAGTCGGTTTAAGATCTCTGATTTTCTTGAGATTCTTCTGAATAATGTCAAGTTGCTGTTTAGACCTTACTAGATCACTATGTAAATCACCAGAGCTTGTCTTCAGCTCCCCCCTCAAAGCCAACAGCTCCTCTGTTGTCGAAATCTGCCGTTTTAAGTTTGATTCTATCTGTGATGATTTGAGTAGTACTTTATCGAAGCTTCGTCTGAGCTCCTCGTCAATCCTCATCATTTCCTTGTTGTCATCTTCCAAAGATGCACCTAGGACTTCCATATCTCCTTTGTTCAGGTCCGTGATTTTGTGTCGCACCTTTGCAGATGTATGCTCGTTTTTGGGATAGTCTGCGTATCTATCTCTGGATGTGCGTTTGAGGGGACCTTCTAGGTCCCTGAGTTTAGTGTTTGTCATATCCGGACCATACTTAAGCTTGTTTCTTAAGTTGTCCAAGTGCCTTTCTCTTCCCTTGGATTGGGGTTTGGAGAAGACGTCTAGGCCTGTGGGAGTTTTCCCTAGCGATAATTGTCGTTTTGATTCGGGATGCCTTTGAAGAGTACTCCTTGCATCCGAAGATAATATTATGGCAATGAGAGTTCTAAATTGATCGGACTGCTGAGAAGAAATGCAGAGGTTCATGCTGAAATTAAATAGCCTGTAATGACTATTCGAAGATTGTAGTAAAATGATAATGGTTGCTGAACCAAACGAGGAAAATATGTGCGGCACTCAATCCGCTATTTAAATGTAGAAACAGCGCCGTCAGACATCTAGTATCTGTAGTAACAATTGTCATTTTCGATTGTCAGGCAACCTCTTCATTAGTGTTCTACCTACACATTCTTACTGACTATAGCCACAATACAAAGCGGCTATCTGATTACTGCGCACATGCAAGTCGCCTAGATACCTACCTACTCCAAGTGTTTTCTGTAATCAAGATAATCAAATCATAAGAGAAACAAATCCGAGTAGCTTTGGATTATAGATACTTATCTTATCAAACATATTATCAATATTAGAATATCGTACATTATATCTAGATAGTTGAACTACTCAGTGTAAAAGAAGAAGCAATTCTTAGATAAGCATTACTATAAGACTAACGCCCTCGATGATTCTATGGATACCTATGAGGTGAAATTTTAAAGATCCTTCCGTATGTTGATAACCCAGGCGCTAATTGTGTTGTTTTATATCACGTGATTGCGAACTAACCCCTCCCTTCTCGCGACACCTCTTCGATGCTTTCGAATATATGCTTGGAGCTTTAGCCAATCAAATTCACTATAATGAATTGTCAGTTTGTTTGATCTTGGGTCATTTGATGTGATTTGGAACCCAGGCAGATTTTCGATGTTGTGAACTGTGCCCTGAAACCCTCTCACTGCTACTGTGTAGTACCGCGTTCTAACGTAGCGTTTCAGTCATAAGCTTTATGATCAAACCTGTAGAAGACTTTTGTACTCTATTTAAAACTGAACAGACTGGACTCGTATACCATGGGGCTAGTGGGCTGGACAATTATGTTTGTAATGTAATCGAAATCGTTAGAAAGTCCGAATCTCTGCAGTCCGAATCAAATCATCAGTCAATGAAAACTTCCCTCATATTAAATCAACCGGAAGCCTCTGGCCCGTAAGCCTCTGCCTCTTCAGCTAAATGAACTTGGATGAATCTGTCTCTTCCTTCTTATCGGCAGTACCATCCTTCGTAGTTTCATCCCTCTTTTTACCATCCTTGGTGTCTTCTGCTTGAGACTCGCTAGTCTTATCTCCGCCAATCTCGGACTCTTGCTTTTGTGGTTTCTCGTCACCATCTCCGCCGGTTGAATCTCCGCCACTTTTTGGTTCCTGTTACAATTTCTAGTAACTACACTGTAATGTATACAGTATTCTCACAGGGTACTATTATTTCTCCAGGTCAGCATTTCTCATCTGATCGGATCATGAAAAACATTAAACGACAGTATAACCGTACTTGAAATAAATTCTCAACCTGTTCCACGCATCAATTCCATCTCTCTGCAGATCCAAACAAACACTCTCGTTTTCCTCTCCCTATCCACTTCACACAACCAAACGGCTATCAACAGACTATACTCCCGTATGAAGCGGCGATTACTGCAAGCAATTCCAAACTTACAATAACTCTCCTCCAATTTCAAGTTCAAGTATTCTTCGAGTCCTTAGTCCTCCGATCGTAGCTTGTCAGACAAGGAAGATTCGCGTAATCAATCTCGCGTAATTATCTCCTCTTGCCCGCCGCCTTCTCCTGTACACTGACTGATACCAATGCATTGAAATTTCCGATAACACAACACATATTTTCTTATCTTATCATTATCACTCAATCCCCTCGCCTCCTGATTTAATGAGCAAATATCACTAACTATCTTGAGCTGATAATCTTTAGCGCGTAGACTGATTTTGCCTCCCAAACTTGTCGTATTGTACCACAACACTCCTGGCAACGCAACACCTGTGATACTAAATATCGGGACTCATAATGGGATTGAGGTTTAATAAATCTGCATTTCTTTATAAGTAGGTATTTACTAGGTTCTAAGTAGGTAGGTAAAATTCATAGGATTCAATAACGCTCGCTCCCACTCCCACATCTGTCTGTTGTTTCACAACCTCAGAATTGCTTTTGATCTTCCGCTCTACCTTGAGGACGTATCATCCACAATCCTGAATCTGCACACTGCCATCTAAAATTCACACCGATCCCATGCCATTCCATGCTATCCCATGCCGATTTGAAGCAACGAATCCCGCCCAACGTGTCTAAACAATCTGTACATAATTTGCCGGTACACTCTTGATATGCCCCCCCTTCTCAACCTCCATCCATCCATCTCCAGGATCATCCTTAATAAGAACAAAGCGCTCGCCTTCCACCATATTATGTTCCGCATCAGTCCGCGCTGTATACTCATAAAGCGCTTCTACATACTTCAGCTTTTTGGCTCCTCTTTTTGGTGCCACAACTGGGCCTTGTTTCTTCCCAGTGGAGATAGAGGAACCAGAGGTGGATATTATAGAGATGGGTCTATTCGTAGGGTTTGGAGGGGAAGAAGGAGGTAGAACTTCGAGGTAGGCGGTAGGGACCAGACCTTCCTTGGAGCCATGTTTGATTTTGGTCCAGCCGCCATCTAGCATTAGTCAGTAATTAGTTGGAGAAATAATAGCGGGGCCACTAACCATCTGGTTCCAGTATTGTAATTTCTTCGCCCTCGCTAACTGTGACTTCTTCGCCACCATTAGCGTCATACGCATATAACATTCTCCCTCTCGGTTCTTTTGATGCCGATCCATCAGCCACACTGCTACCTGGTAATTCGCTAACATATGCTGTTGGCGGAGGAGCCACAACTCTGTTTTTCTTTAAAAGTCCGCCGGGCTTGAGACTTGAAGATATGCTTCTCCTTCGATCAACCGCCGCATCTGGAGGTGGTTCCTCGGTTGGAGATTTTGCCGAGATTGATCTATGTGCACTAGCAGCATAACCTGAACTTAATGAGTTCATGGTATTAGATCGACTCATGGTTGGAAGTTCCGCAACACTATCTGCAAGACCTGTACCTGGAGCTTTAACCGCATTGGCAGCTTCTTGACGTTCTGCTTTCAGTTTCTTCTTCTCGTCTTTGGTCTGTTCTCCTGGACACTCAGCTGGAACCTTCATCTCACATTTGCTGTGACACGTATAACCACAATCTCTACAATCAAAACCCTTTGCTGAAAGTCCCCAAATACGTTCGCCGCACAAATCGCAATTAGTGGGTATTTTGAAGGTTTGAGATTTGAAGTTGTGACTCTTCGAGCCTAACGTAACATCCCCCACGGCTTCCGTAATTGTTGATGTTTCAACCTCTGCAGTCAGCCTCTTGTGATCAACCTGATGTAGTTCTTCTTGTAAAGCAAAAATGGCTCTAACAACTTCAACTTCGTCCCGCTGATCTTTACCCTCTCTGATTTGCTGCTTTACACGTTTCGTGCTCTCAACTTCCCGTCGTTTCAAATCCACTTCTCTTCTCAGATCCCCAAGTTGATTTTTAGATTTACTAAGAACGTTTCGAAGAAAAACCTTAGCAGTATCTCCCACCATCATCGCATCATCGTCGTGCCACACAGGACTTGGTTCGAATGGCTTATCCGGAGGCTCTTGCCAAGTTCCTACGTTATGTCTGACAAACATCATGCAATCTAGAGAAGGCTGATTTCTTGGAATCTCAACCAATACGTGATTGACAAACTCTGTGCTACGTTCCAGCATCCCCTTTTCTAATTGCGCCGCTAGCGACCATATAGCATTGAGTTTAATCGTGCGCGATTCGTAAAGGTCTTGTAAGCTGTCGAGAAGATCCGGAATATACTCATGATAATACTTCTCCTTTTGTTTATTCGTGACATTTATGGCGATCAAGTAGCTGTTCTTAACGTTGTGCATCTCGAGGATCTGTTGTTGGTATGCGTTTTGTGCTTTTGTCTTTGAATAATCAAATGAAGATTCCGCCTTCTTCCGTTTGTTTTCGACTTCCTGACATGCAGCATCATATTTCCCTTTCATCTTGCGCAGATCCGCATACGTAGCATCTCTCTCCTTTTCCAATTTATCCGCATATTCAACGTGACGTTTCCTTATCTCGTCGTAACGTCCGCCAAGTACCTTCAGTGGTTCTGCCACTTGCGTTATCAATTCCCCTCCAAAGCGATCGTGTTCCGCTGCGCGAGATTCGAGAGTGGTGAGTTGTGTGGTCCATGTTGTTAATGACGCACTACATGCAGTTGGTTAACAGTTCCACACCGATTTCTAGGTATAGTATCTCAAACCTCTCTAGTGAACCAGGGGTCATAACAGGTGTGTCGCCGACACTTAAACTGCTCGACTTCTTCGTCTTCTTCTCATAATACTTCTTTGCCAAAGCCGCAAGCTTTGCGCTGTATTCCTTCTCAATGACGCTCCTTTCGCGATAGAATCCTTCTATGTCGCTGCCTATCCAGTTGATACCGTTGGTTACCCAAGCATTTGTCGATTTGAATCCATCCTGTGAAAGCACCAAAAGTCAGAAAAGGCATTGGCCTAGAAAGCATGCGAACATGCGTGTCTACTAACCTTCAACTCAAGGCCGAATTGGGGAGCAATATCAACCTCCGCCATAATTTGTACCGCAATAATATGTCAGTGATCTAAGTATCATGGACAACGTGAAAGAGGGAAAAGATTCATGTTAGATTAGAGAAGCAAAGAATGAGAGAATGAACATAAAGGTTGGATCTTGGACATATGTCATCAGGACAATAACCGTAATGAATAACTCGTACGCATAAATGCCCCGCCAAATTACGGAGTATTTAATAATATCTAGGTAGGTACCTTATTACTATGATTGTTATTATTATTATTAGTTGGGCTGGCTGGGCAGATTAGGAGATTATCAGATTCGGGCGGAACACACGGGGGTGACTAAACGTGTCTAAAGCAGCGAAGCGTACCTAACTAGGTGAGGTAGGTGGTCGATTGTGGCTGTAAGGCTGTGTGTGTGTGGCTGTTTGCTCGTACGATTTGCTTGTTGGGGGTTTGATCTTTAATCACGTGTAGATTAACACATCTCAGCGTGCACTAGGCGATTATAAGTTAGTTCAACCCTTATCGTCTTCTCAATATCTCAATATCTCTACTAGGTAATCCTTCACAACAAATCAATCAAACATCTTCAGAACAAGACAGTTTACCCCTCCCCCGCACTTAAATTATTCATAACGAAGAAATATCATATTCCCAGCATTTCAATCTATCACAGTAACACAATATTCTAAAATGTCTGAATCCAAGAGCACATCTTGGGCAGATGAGGTTGCATCACCCACTACTGAAAAAAATGAGGGAAACCCTTTGGAGGAGGCGCAACTTGATGGTGCTACTGAGCCTTTGGGAGGTGGTACTCTCCAGGACGGTCAATATGAGGTTGAGGTTAAACTCAGCGATATTCAAGGCGATCAAACAAGTCCCTTGTATTCTGTAGAGACATTTGAGCAGTTGGGAATGTAAGTGTGAGTTTCACTTTTGCAGAGTCTGAGCTGATCTATCCTACCAGTGATGCCTCAATCCTCAAAGGTCTTTATGCGATGAATTTCAAAAAGCCTTCCAAGATCCAAGAAAAAGCCCTTCCACTCTTACTTCGCGACCCGCCAACAAATATGATTGCGCAATCACAATCAGGCACAGGAAAGACTGCCGCGTTCGTTATCACTATTTTATCACGTCTCGACTTTTCGAAGCCAACTACTCCCCAAGCATTATGTTTAGCACCAAGTCGCGAACTTGCCCGCCAAATCGAGGGCGTCATTAGAAGCATTGGGCAATTTGTCGATGGCTTGACTGTACAAGCAGCCATTCCAGGTGCAGTGGAGCGAAATACCAAAGTAAATGCAATGGTTATCGTAGGGACACCTGGTACGGTAATGGACTTGATCAAGAGAAGATCGATCGACGCATCTCAGATGAAAATACTATGTTTGGATGAGGCAGACAACATGTTGGATCAGCAAGGTCTCGGAGATCAGTGCATGCGTGTTAAGTCGTAAGTTTGGTCTGTTCGAAGTTTGGTGACGTATCCTAACCTGTTTTAGGATGATTCGAGTCGAGCAGATCCTACTCTTTTCCGCGACTTTCCCCGATGAGGTTTACGGCTTTGCTCAGGATTTTTCGCCTCGTGCAAACGAGATTAAGTTGAAGCGCGATGAACTTACTGTGTCTGGAATTAAGCAGATGTTCATGGATTGTCCCAACGAGGTCGGGAAATATGAGATTCTGGTCAAGCTTTATGGTTTGATGACAATCGGTTCCTCGATCATTTTTGTCAAGGTATTTGATGCTGAATGTACTTTCTCGATAATGATACTAATCAAGATTACAGCGAAGAGATACAGCCAGTAATATTGCTGAACGTTTGACAAAGGAAGGACACAAGGTTGTTGCGGTCCATGGTGCTTTTGAAGGTTCAGAACGTGATCAAGTACTTGAAGATTTCCGTCAAGGGAAGGCCAAGGTTCTCATCACTACAAATGTTCTTGCCCGAGGTATCGATGTTCAATCTGTCTCTATGGTTATCAACTATGACGTCCCTATGAAGGGCCGATCAGATTCAGAGCCAGACCCAGAAACCTACCTTCACCGTATCGGTCGAACCGGAAGATTCGGACGTGTCGGTGTCAGTATTAGTTTTGTCTTCGACAGAAAGAGTTATGATGCACTCAACCAAATCGCAAATCATTATAATATCGATCTTATCAAGCTCAACCAAGATGATTGGGATGAGACGGAAGAGATTGTGAAGAAGGTCATTAAGTCAAGCCGTGCTGGTACCAATTTACAGTCTTAATTCTTTTCAAGTCGAGCTTTCCTATGAATCCTTCAATTATCCACATCTTTTTTTGAAATTGACTTTGCACAAAATTGGGAGAAAAAGCAGGCGTTTGCATATATGCATAAGCTCATGTTAAAAGGGGAGGCACAAATTGCTTACGAGGATATTCTTCAACAATGGATTCGCTACAGCGGGGTTATTCTAGGTTGCATACACAGCCGCGAAACATGGTCTTAAAATCTAATCGTGGATGAATCACGAAGAAATGACCATAATGAATGATTTCATAAACAAAATAGCTGCAACAAACTGAATTCAGGACGCAGTGAAGACAAACTGCAACAAACTTAGAGATAATCAAAATTTGACACGTATAAGTGCAATGAATCGTTGAACAACCAATATTGCGAATGTTGTATCTCCATCTCAGGCTCGAATAATGAAACATGAATTGTTGACCATTTTCCACGACACTCGGTAGCTTACACCTTGACCAACCTTTTATGAACTGAGAATAGGCAGGTCTGCATTGGGGTCTCCAGTCATACCGTAACCTAAGTGTGTAAAGTGGTTCGAGAATCTATAATTTTGATGATTATATATAGCAAACGGCCTCGAGGCAGGCGTAGCAACTATCTCGGATGTGAAGTGTCATTGTCTCCGGTGCAGTGGAATTTTGATCTGCTTACTTCCTTTCTTGAAAATAATCTACTCATATCGATGAAAGGTGTAGAGATCAGAGACGACAAGGGAACGAACATATTTCTGCTGTACATACCTACCTACCCACAATTACAATCATCGTTTCAATCCGGTCTACGTCAGGTCACGTGGGTATCTAACCTTGTAACCGCCAGGGTTAATTTCTTCAGCGCTTACTTGCAGAGCTAGACAACCACCACCATACAGGTAACGAGGCTTTCATCACATCAAACATGGGGTCAACTATTATGGCAGCGGCTATGTATCTTGAGTCCAGCGGTAGTATCATGCAGTCTCACACATCGTACCTGAAGAATTGTGACGCCATGTATATGGCCCATAAGCCGGCTGTTGGAAAGACTTCATTGGTTTTCAAGGTAACATTGCGGGGGTCGTCTGGTGTTGTATGGGCATATCGCTGATTTCTCTTGATGGAAACTTTCTACATCATTATTTCATTTTTTCCCCTTCAGTTTTCTCACGTATTTCCTTACCGTCGAGTTTTTTCCTTGATTTTTCTATTCCCTTTCTTCTATCAGTATCATCAGTGCCATGGGTTTCTTTGAAGTTCATCTTAGATTCGTATTATAATGATGTATGAGACGCTGGACGACTCGGAAAGTGATTTGTTTCCATCTTTGAGGTCAGTAGAATCTATTTCTGGTTCTTTTACTTCTCATGCATATGCCACCTGAATCGAGACCATGACTTAGAGCTCTTGTGTCCAACAGATTGAGTGACTCGAAGAACTATGACCTCAACTCTTCTATCGTCACAAGTATTATGAAGTTTCAAAATTCTCAGAACAATTTGGAAAATGTATATACACAAACAATGCTGACATCCCCATTCCTACAGTGTTTCCCAGGATGGCAATGTTACCATTGAGCCTCCTCATACTCATATACGCATTCTCGACTTGTGTTAATGCTGAATTTTCTTTGCCATCTCAAGTAACGAGTTTTATTCCGTCGTGCGCTCAGGTTTGCTTTGAGTCCTTCGTACAAGACAACTATCCAACAAATGTTTGTGGCGACACACCTACATTTGACTGCTTATGTGAAAATGGTAGCAAGTCTACATACACGGTGGGAGAGGGGGCAGTACAATGTATAATGTCAGAAGCCAGCGTGGGCTTCTGCAATGGAGATGACTCCTCTAGTAAGTCATTGTCGAGGTTTGCTTGACGGAAGTTCCTAATTTGTCCTGCAGATGATACAGTACTAAAAGCATACAATATGTGTAATTCCGACAAGAATGCACTGCCAAACACACATAGCACTCTTACAGCAACTCTCGTTTTACAATCAGGCTCCGCGAGTATCGTCCAAATTGCTCCAGTGGCAACGACAAGTGCTAGTGATTCAGTAGCTACAACTTTACTCACAACTGCACCTACAGCTACAGCTACAGCTACTCCAAGTTCAACCACGAATTCAATCACATCGACAGGGGTACCACAACCGGCAGCTGCTACGAGTGCCTATTCATCACCTGAGAATAGTAAGCCAGTACTATCGACCGCACAAATAGCTGGAATTGTGGTAGCAGGAGTGGGTGGTGTGGTTTTGGTAGTTGGAGCTATGTTGCTATGTGCCTGCATGAGGCGTAAAAGGCAAGCAAATCGAGATAGTGGATATCTTCCATTCCAGCAAGAGCCTTCTTTGAGCATCAAATCTCAATCTCACTTCGGTATTACGAAGCCAATGGCGCCATCACCAGCTTCTATTTCAACCCGAGGACCAACACCAATAGGGCCATTTTTGGGGGCTCGAATGCCTTCGAGGGGGGGCCAATCAAGCCCCGATTCTTTTTCTCAAAGGAACGCTATTCCAGAGAATATCGGTCTTGCCATGACCTCCGAAAGCCCCCAACCCAATTTGTTAACCCCCATAGGTTACACTGAAGAAGTATTCCAACGTGGCCCATCTCCACTTTTGCCCGAAAGACCAGCCCTCACCCTGCAGGTTCCTTTCCAGCGAAACCCCCACGAGATCCACACTGCAGCCTATCAGAAACCATCAAAATTCACGGGCAACAATCGGCAATCTATGGATACACAATTCGAAGACGAAGATTCATGCAGCACAGCTGTAGCATCCGAAGCACCGTGGAATGCGGCCTCCTATGGATCCATATCAAAAGACAAGGTTCTCCGACAGCCTGATCCCGCATACTATCAATCACCTCGTCTCCAAACTGAGCTCTCGCCAAATGAAACAGAAAATATTATCGATTCCTACAAGGATCCTTCAGTAGAGCCTGACTTCTACGTACGCCCCCTTAATCTCCAAAGAAACTTTTCACAACCTCGTCGGCCCGAAAATGCAATGAAACCTTCTGTTCAACGCAATCCATCTGCCAAGGATCCTCTTAGAGCAACCTCATCTGTGTACTCGGCAAAATCCCACAACCGTCGACCCTCTTCAAATGAAGTTGAGAAGTTAAACTCACTCATGCAATCTAACCCCTCATTTCGCCGCGTGCTAGGGAAATCCGCATACAATCCTGTAGGGCCATATGATCAAAATCGCACCTCTAGAGCTTCGATGGGGTCTATGACATCCTTCGAAACCATGGATTCTATAAATCCTGAGCCCCAAGAGCTTTCTGGCGACACTAATCTCAGCCCCGTCGTCGAATCTCCCACTGACAAATCAAACGTTGTCGGTAAATCACCAGTCAAATACCCCAAAATCAAAGGAAACTCAAGCCAGCGCCATTCTCGTACTCGTACCCGCACATCGATCATAACCAATTTCCCCGCACCACCACCAATATCTATCGAGTCACCTATCCGTCCCCCTACAGCACATAGTAATAAACCATGGCAAGAAGCCGAGATCGCCGCTCAGAAAACGCGCATGGCATCTCTAGGTCTGTCGCCCGGAAACTTTCTCTCGCCAGGCTCTCACAACTCTGGCATCACTATTCGAAAAAGTAATGACTTCTTCAGTCCCAGTGATTTAGCTTCAAGGAGTCCTCCCCCGCCAATACCATTACCCTTACCACCAACCTTTAAACAGAGGAATATGAGTCCAAGAACTGCGAATGGAAGTGGGAGTAAAAGAAGTGCCCCGCCCCCTTCTTTAAGTCTCTCCACTTCTCCAGATTCATCACAAAAATGGAGAGTCCTTCCCGACACCAACACTAATATTAACACTACCGACACCATCACTACTTCTTCTTCCCACCAACAAACCTCACCAACCATCGTATCTCCACACTGGCGGCCACAAATACTCACCGGGATATTACGAAAAGATAGCGTCCAGTCCTTACACAAACCTGCCACCAACGTCTCCTCCTCTAACAATAATTCCTCCCAACCACTCTCCGTCCCCCTCCACACCTCCATGGACCCCGAAGTATCCTCAATCTACAGCCAAGAAACACGCAATTTCACATTCGATCCACGTCTTACACAAATGACTACCATGTCTGAAATAAAAGCCCAGGGACAAGCTCCTGTTGATTCTTCGAACGAAGATATCAGTACAGTCAAAGATACAAATATGAATGGTCGATCAGTCATATATACCAAAGACGATGGATCAGGTGAAACGATCACTATCAATATCGATGGAGATAATCCCAGTGGTTTACCAAAGACACCAGGTTGGCTACCGAAATTGACGCCCACGAGACGGGGAAATGATTTGTTTTTGAATGTGCAATAGTGTGGCACATATACTATTTTTGAATAAACGGAAATGTGATGATATAAACGTGAAGGCAAGTAAAGAGAAAGACGTCGGTTCATTATTTCAAAATGTATCAGTAGACATTCTTTTTTTGTGCTCAATTTCTTTTCCTTTGTGGTTAATTTTGTATGAGTATGAGTATGAGTATCAGTATGAGTATGAGGATGAGGTTATGCGTCGTAGGATGAATAGGATGGAATGGGACAGGATCGATGCTGGATCAGGCATTTTCAGGAACAGATCCCACGTCCTTTATTTCTTTTGTTAAAGAAAATACCCAAGTCAGGAATGCAGGATATGGAGTTACAGAAGCATTGTAGGAGTTCTAGCTGTTACAGGGAGGGGCGTTACTTTTGTTGTTACAATGTAGGAAAAGGGCCTGAGGATTCTTTGCATGTATTCAAAGCGAAGTCAAGCCATGAGACTTGGGGACATATTTGGGGTCTACTGTATTAGTAGTAGCTATTTAAATCTTGATCTACCAATGTGGTTACACTTCTTGTATTAATGGTATTGCTATCGATGTAGCTGTGGCTCGACGACAAAAGTATGGTGAAGACATGAATGAATGGTGAAGACATGAATGAATGAGAAACAAATTAAAATAGTTGCAATGGAGGAATGACAGGAATACTGATTACGATCCCACGTGAAAACATGAATTAGAGAAAAACAGAATGGGAACGATTAGAAAAGGATCAAGTTGAAGTCGGATGACGACTTCGTGAGAGAAATACAAACGCAAATTTGAATATACCGAACAGATGCATTTACCGTCCCAGGGTATCTCATAGCTTCGTAAAAGTCGGTGCATCCATACCAGAACCCTAGACTCCTGTATATTCGCGAAATACACCAATTTCCCTGATCTAACAGCCCGCCTATATGCGAAAAGAGAAGAAATTATAACATCCATATTTCGATCGGCTTGCTGAGTACATGGGGAACGCAATAGAGACGTATGATCGGAATTGCTTGGTCGACGAGTTAATCCTGCCAGTGAGTAGGAATCACTGGCTCGACAGCCTGTGTTTCCAGATATATTATCAGCCTATCCATTCAGGTTTCATTTGTCCGTTCGAGAATGTGCTTACATATTGGTCTGATTCGAAGGGGTCATCGCTAAATGAGAGCTCATTCATGATGCTTGGAATTGGTCTAGGTTTCTCGTCTGTTTCTTGAGATTAGCGATGTGCAACAAGTAATAAGGTGAATGCTGGTAACTTACCAGCGGAGGATGCACGACGAAGTTCTTGGATCTTCGATTGCAAGGTTTGCGTGTCAATTTTGATCTTTGAAGGAGAAATGGTAGGACGGGATTCAGCCTGAAGATGTAAGTGTTCGGGAGATTCATTTGGCGAAGGGGAGGTTTGGAGAAGAAACTGTCTCTCTGGATGCATGCCTTGATTGAGAGCCGACACACTAATCTCGCTTTGTGGATAAATATCCTGTACCGTTACAAACGTAGACTTTTTGAAGAGATGCTTGAACGCTGGCTAGGTGGAATAAGCATAGGGGAATTATTGAGAAAGCCTTGTCTCTCTGGGTGTATGCCTTGGTCTGAAGCAGATAAAAGGGCCTCGCTTTGTGAGTTCATTTCTTGTAATGGTATGGGCAATTGACGAGTGCTTGAACGCTGCGCAGATGATTCAAATACTTTAGCAAAGTCAACATCTTTCTCCACATCAGTCGAAACATTCATCTTAGATTCAGTCGGCGGTGTTTGTCGAGCTTTTCTCTTGCGAGGGTACAGGAGGGAGGATATTTGGTGCTGGATATCCAAGCCTTCCGCTTTGCTCTGCCTTTTCCTCTTGAACAACAACAATCTCACATCTCTGACAGGGCTGACGGGGGTATCTTTTTCCACTGATGCTGATTGCTCCAAAGTTATTATTTGCTTAAGGGGTTTGGATTCTCCTTCGGAAGTAGCGAGTGAAATGTGTTTCGAAGTGGTTATGTTAGCTGCTTTAATTGCCATTAATTCTTTATGCTTACGACTAGCAATTTCCGCCCATGATTCTTCAATTGTACTTGGTGGCTCAGGAGATTTATAGGCAGGAACCATGAATTCTCCTTGCTTGTGACTGGAAGGTTTCGTCCACGACTCTGTGGTCAGTGTCTTGAAATGGTTAGAAGCAGGAACTTTCAATTGCATATAAATGGGGGCGGGTAAAAGCTACCTCTTCGTCATCTAATGATTCTCCAAGACTATAAGTTGATGCAAGAGAAAGAGCTCGGTCTTTGGACTCAGAAAACACTCTCGCATTTCGAACGGAATACGATGGTCTGTAGTAGGAACTATTTTGAACGCCCCGATCCATGGGAGTATCTCTGTGAGGAGACGGTCTGTAATGAGAACCTCTTGAAGCGCCTTCATCAGTAGGAGAGCCTCTACGAGGAGATTTTCTATAGTAGGAGCTGTTTGGAGTGTCTTGGTCTCTATGATGTGGAGATCGAGATCTATAGGAACTGGAGCTTGATACCTTTTGGGCCGAAATAGAGGAAACTGAGCGGCGGGACTGATGGGATTTGTGCGGGCTTTGACTGATATAGGAGCTTTTGGGGCTTCTATAACGCGGTCGATAGTGATCGGAATACCAACGGGTTCTAGGAATGGAACGATAGTGGTCGTCAGGGCTTCTGGAGCGGGACCGAGAGCGGGTACGACGGGGGGACAGATGAGTTTCCAAAGGGGAGCGGGAACGGAAACGAGACTCATTGCTCCCTTCTTGCTTGATTGATCCAAATATGTAAGACGAGCCTTCGGCACGAAAGTGAGGAAGGTCCTCATCGTTCTTTTCCTGCTTGAGTGGACTTGAATTATAAGTTGGAATTCTGGTGCGAGAACCCAGAGGCTCTTTATTGGCGTTTCCAGCGATCTTCTTTCCCTTGCCCATTGTAACTATATTCGATCAATAATTAATTTTCTGTCAATGGCAAAACTGCTGTTAGTAGGTAAAGTAATGGTGATCGAAGTGGCAGAAAGCAACTTGAATTTAGCACTGTATCTCCTGAGAAGAGAGAAATTCAAGATAGATAACCTTGGAATGATATTGGTTATGAAAGATTGTTCTTATAATTTTCGAAGGATTCGAAGATGCTATGAAAATATTGTGTTTATTGTTGTTTACAAATATTGCAGAAGAGATCTTGATGTAAATATCGGAGGTACTTCGGGAAACAAGGGTTATTGTCTCTGTCCCTCGAGAGAAAGAGCTCTCATATGGCATAGGCTGACTTATTACTACTGAGCTATTCACCAACATGAACATGCAAATTTGTATCCAGCATTACCCATCTCATCAGTATCTAACATCAATCAATGTCAACACTTTACCTGTTTGGAAAAGACCGAGATCTGTTAAACCACATCAGATACCAAAATAGTTCTCAAAATATAACAGTGTCTTCAGCAATTGCATGAACTACTCTCATCCACCTCAACTGTTACTTCGGATTCATCCGCCAAGCATTCTACTTCCTGTTCAACACTATCTCGAGGCCAGATAGGAACTCTTCAATCACCGACCTCTAGCATTCTATGTTCTGGTGATCTAAAATTTTAATAATTTAATAATACGAAAGCTCGTATGAATTTCGGGGCAGGCTACTTTGATTACCATCATAATTTCTTTCGTATCGACTCTGCAATGTTTTATATATTTGGTTTGCTGTAGCCAATTAAGGACAGCAGTGTCGAAGATGACTGGAGAGACACCTCTGATCATTCTCCCAAACTATCGTTATAAGATTCGCTGAAAGATGTCATGAATATCAATACGACACTGTCTTTCTATACACATTAATAATTATCCAACTAGGTTAGCTGGTTATCTTGATTCTGAAGCTTGCAAAGGGAGCATTGTTTGTATTCTGGTTTCCCATGTATGTTGTGCGTACTAAGCACTTTACACAGACTACACAACTCAGGGTGTGACCCAATATGTCGAAGGCTTGCCAATAGTTGATAGGTTAATATGATTCATTATTCCATGTCCCGCTGTTATCGAAATAATCCATAAGTTTTACCCTCCCCCGCACTAACACGCTCCAGAAAAATCAAATTGCTTGTTGATTCGTTTTCCTCATAGATGCTACATCAATATTATCATGTCTGGGTACAAACATCGAACCTTGTTTTCCAGTTAAAATTACCTAGTAATCATAATAAGCTTAATAATTATTCAATTTCCAAGAGTTATTCGAATTCAAATCTATGCACCTAGGCAATCTTACAATCTATAAGTGAAGCTAGAGCATTTTTTCGAACTTTAGAATTTCAAAGGTGTTGAATTCTAAAAGTTGACTGACATAGGGGGGGAAGCGAATAGAAAAAGAAAAGAGGAAACCTAAATTTACTTTAAATCACTTATTACTGTTGGTATCGACTTGGTCGATAAGTGTAAAGTACTCTAGTCTATTATGGTTGTAATCGTCATTAATCATTATTACCTATTGGAAGCTAGTACTTATATAAGGAAGCGCTAGTGCCTCGCTAGCTAATACAGTGCCCTCTTTCTGATCACATGATCGATATCCCGATACTTACGTAAAATTGATGAAATTCACATTAACTTACCTTTGAAGTTTCAAAGAGTTGAAGCAGTATATTATTGGAAAAGCGTTGAGATCCTGAGAGGGCTCGGAATCCGAATTCACTCTTACTGTTCATAGCCCATTGCCTCCTCATTTCCCATCCCATTTCTATGCGATTTAATCGAATTTTGCAGTGAATGCTGGGAGTGCCCATTCTATTTATTGATTGCGACCTGCTACCTCCCATATACCTGTCCCCTACTTTTAGTTGTCTACACATCCACAGAAGCTCGTTCACCAGCCTTGCCTTACTTTTGTTGCTTTTGCCAGCAGTTCTCAAGACATGATAATCTACCATTTTCGATCCTGTGTCGACTTTATATCACTTTGTTGATATATAAAAAACAGATTTCGCTATTTGAATCAACAATACCGATAATGTAGAGTTTGTAGTTAAGTGTTATTACAATCTCGAAGCTGATATAAAGTTTTAATAGTTACCCATTCGGCTTATTCGTTTAGTCCCAGAGCAATTGCCGGAAAGAAAACATGACAACACTGTTTGGTGCTTCGTCGGAAGAGACTGAGCAATCAATTCGGTCACTCGACCCTGTTCCTACTGCTCTACTCAAACTTATTCCCTCTGACGGGTATTACAATTTAACAACATGCGATTTGGGCACTGCATTCACCAGTGTACACACTGCACGGGTTAGGGTGTACTCGAAACAATTTGCAAATCTGGAAGACGTCAAGCCGACCTTTTTTTATAACTAGCCCCGCCCTCCATGTAAACAGGAGGATGCAAAGGAATTTCCGACATTGGCATCTCATATCCCTGGAAATCCAGATGTTTCGACAGCAGAATTTTCTCAAGGAACAGCTAGAACTTTTTTCAGAACTCAAATCTCATATCTTGCCTAGTAAATTCTTCTTCTTAGGAGGAGATAGCAACTCCTCGATTTTGCACGAAGGAATAAAAGAAATTTTTCATGTACTTGGTCTTCCGAATGTTGATTTAGTCGCCTTGGGTACTTGTGATGGGTTGGCATTCATCATTCTTGAATTAAGATATCAATATCTGACTATGAACAGTGCAACGATAATTTTTTACGGGGCTATGCTTCAGGCGCTAAGGCCTACTAATTCCTTTACAAAAAGCCATTACTGCATTGGCATTCGTAGGGAGGAACCACACCGGAAGCTTATTCACGTCTCTCCGCTTGACGAAGATGATATCCCGGCTAAGCGTATGATGCTGGGGAAAGCAAATATGATCAAGCAAAAATCATTCAGTGGGTGGTTAAATTGGTATGTTGTAAAATGCTAGATTTGAGGAATGAAATAGTAATAGTGACTAGGGAGATGCTTGCAAAATTGATGGTTCTCTTAGCAGTTCGGCTTTCATCTTCATGGAAGAGATTCTCGATGAGATTGGATCAATGGAAGACCCGTGGTACAAAGTACCTGTTAGCGTGTATATTTGTTCACGAGCAGGAGACGTCCAACCTAACAGCGCGACAGATGTGGAGAACGACGCTGGAAAGCAAGGATGGTCTTTTGAGAGTCAAATTCCTGCAGGTGCGAAAGTTTATAATTTCGAATGGGATCTCGGTCTTGCTAAAGAAGATTCGCTTTTCGACATCAAACAAATACCTCCGCTCAAGACATATTACACCATCAATTGGGCAATCCTTGCCGAAACAACCAGTATTGGTATGAATATTTGGTTTATGTTCCATCCAGACGGTCGAACGATGAGTAAGACCGACGAAATTGAATCCCTCCGTCGGGAAGAAGTTCAGAAAGTTGTATTTGCGGATCTTGTCGAGGTGATCCAAAAGGAATACGGTGATGACTCCAAGGGCAAAGATCAAAGGAAAGATAAAGCGCGCTAAAAGGGTTGACGGAAGAGTCGCAAAGTTCAATTCGAAATTTAAAATGGCCGTGATATGGAATGATACTGATGCCAACGATCCGAATTAGACTCAATTGTAGTGTGCTTTATGATAGATTAGATATTTCCGGAAGTCTACTCAAAATTCAGCCTAAGAGACTTCTGCAATAGCAAGATAGATCAAGCCTAGCTTAAAATGAGACAGCTTTGCAACATTTCCAATCACTGTGCCAGCACATACTTTGCAACTAAACAATGTGATAGATCTACACATCTTCCCCTGAAACAGTTCTGCTATCCATCTAGACAGTTTTTTGGCTGTCCAATTGTCGATTCTGCATTTTTGATTAATAAGGACAATAATTATAGATACATGTAGGAATACCGTGCTAAGGTAGGGTGTGCATTGAAAGTCTTCGTACAGTAACAATTAAGTACGAACGTGCATATATTGGCACGCAACCGCCGGCAATCAAAAGACTCTCGAACTGCAGCGGGCGTTTGAAGTATTATCACAAGTTGTCCCCAAGTTGTCCCCAAAAGACGTTATGATATGCATCAGTGGGGTGTTCAAAACCTCTCGGCAATCTTCACCGGTGTTATGCCGACAAATTCCTTAAGGATAAGGGACCAACTTTATATCTTAGCTTCTCTTCCTAACCTTCACAAAGTTAGTCCTTGCTATAATGATAATAACGCCTTCTGCCTGCTAATATGTTGTACGTCAACTCTGCTACGGTCGGTGCTGAATGAGCAAAATCATACACTGGCAATATACCTGGATTCGACGGCAACAAAGCTGTTACAACCTTCTAGCTTTGTAATATCAAGGAATTTATCACTCTAACTATCAAAGATAATACTTACATTTCTTTTCGACAAAGCAAGTATGTAACTCGACAAGATTTAAAGTTCAGTAGTGCTATGAAAACATTGGAACTGCAAGCTTGTCAAAGAAAGATCGGAAGACTTGAAATACAATTGTATTGGGGACCTTTAATTTGACATGGAGCGCATATGTATTCATCAGAGACCTTCCAGACTCGAATCTTTTTTTAGCCGCTACAAAGAACAATGCATTCTGTAGGTCTATGTGATAGCTTTATGAAACATAATACGAATGACTCCTTTAACGAGAGTATTGGTTCTTTTTCAGGATAATCAAACTATTATAAGCTTTAGTGTCAGCCTTTGAATTGTTTTAGTCGAAACAAATACTGGGTAGTTGATTGTAGGGATGATTAGCTGACGAGTACGACCATGATAATGGTAATGATACAAACATCAAGACCTCGTTTACCTACCTATAGGGGGAAGGGAAGATTTTCAAAGAGCCTCAACTCATATATCTGATAGATTACCTACCTAGCACCTCCCAAGTGGAATCTGACATAATATCCTGTCCAGATCTATGTCACATTCCACCAATCAATGTATTCTTTGGTAACACTCTACCTGGGTCAACCCAGGCTACGGAAGCGACCTGCATGAACTATCAATGATCAACATCTCATCTCTTCAGCCTTACAATAAATTTTGCAAAACACCGACAGCTGCCAAACCCTGCTCGCAAACCATCCAATGGGAGTTTCATTCCCAAGGTTCTATTTTATCATGAAAACTTAGTATTTTTGAATTGTTTTCATTATGATTTCTTCGAGACCCCTCATTGTTAGCTCTATCGCTCGCCCCCAATGATATTCATGGATATGAAAGATGCAAGGCTTGTTTTAAAGTAGTATTCATGTGGCAACATTGCCATCCTCTGGGGTCCTTAGGATCTTCCTATTCTGCTCTCCGAAGATGAACTATATTTGTGGTTGTCCAGTGCTGCCTTTCCGTTCGCATTTCCACTTCTACTCGGGCATGTGTCTGACCTGCATATGCCCCTCGTAAATGTCTCTGCAAGCCTCACAAGTATGCTTAATGACAGAGATGATGTGAAGATTGCGTATCTCTCATTTCCTGTGCCCAAGAACGGCCAATGATAGTAGCGAGTTTGTCCTGGTTTGAGTTTTGGGCATCCGACAGGCTTCTCAAATTCAACGAGGCCCATGGTCAGTGATCCATCATTAATCCGGAGCAATTTCCTGCATCTACCAAGATGGATTGTACCAAGCGATACTGTCTACAGGATTTCGATGGCTGATTTGGCTGAAGCCTGGCCACTCCCACATCCCGGCGATTCTTTGTCGTTGGTGACCGCACTTTTGGTAGGAGAGAAAAAAGCCGGGGCTATCCCACACTCTTTGACTTTGGGTGTCATGATTGCATTCAGCCCTTGACAGCCGGAATTTTCATGGTTTGGTGTTTGCCGGCATGCAGATAAGGATCAGGAATCAAGATCTCTGGGAATTTTTTACGTAGACGCCTTTACCAATTGTACTATAAATTGCGTTTTGTGCCGAATTAAATGACTGCGGCCACATCTGTGGTAAGATATATCCTTCTTATGGAGTTTTGCCGGCTGATTCTACATCCAAGTGTTCCCGCTCCTCTTTTGCCCGTGGTCACAGATTATGGTTACTCGTCAACCGCAGATTCTTGGAACATATTCTACGAGACCTAAGGACAACTTATTATGCGGGTAAAATCCTTTCCGTCTGAGAATTGATCCTTGAAATTGAACTACCGCTCTTATTCCTGGACGGCTAACTTACCCAAGATCCCGGTGTACCAACTTACCACCTGCATCACCCTAGTGGTCAACTCTTCTCATATCCTGTAACACTTTCTTAGCTATTTGCATTGAACTCCTTCTGACAATTCTGGGTAAATTACACAGTGCTCTTGAGTTATCGCAATTCTATCCAGTTATATCAAAGATACTTCTTTGACTCATAAAGCGACCTAGTACCTTCTCTATCATCATGGCTAGCCACCTCTTCTGGCTACAGGATTGCCTGGTCTTCCGTTTTTACCACGTTTAATACATTTGACAATTTAGAATCCTGTTAAAAACTCGAGTTTCTTCTGGGTACATAAGCATGGTGATAATTGACAATGAGATGGCAAACAACAGGATGAGAATTGCAATAGCAGGCTCAGGCGGCTTGGCTCAGATTGTCGCTCATGAGATCAGCAAGACTGTACATCCATTCATTATCTTATCGAGACAGGTCAGTTGACTTCAGCACGTCGACATCTCTGAACAAATCTAACCATTATCTTTAGGTTCAACCAGATCTAGAAACACACGGCTATCAAGTGGCTGTAGTCAATTATGACGACCAGGACGATCTTCGATTTAACCTTCGAGGAATAGATATAGTCATTTCCACGGTATCTGGGAACCCTCAAATCAACCTCATTGATGCCGCCGCGCATTCCCGTGTTCAACGTTTTATCCCTGCAGAATACAAAGATAAGCTAGGCGGGCGACCAACGAATGATCCCTCAGACCGTGGAAGGGCTGCAAGCATTGAAAGACTTCGACATTGGGCTCATCACCCCCGTCATCGAATGCAATATACTGTTTTTGGATGTGGGGTTTTCTATGAACGATTCGCTCCAGGAGGGCTAGCTTCAATGGGCATCAGCACTTCAACTGCACTCGGCTATCAAGGCTCTTATCTCATGAATATGGAGACAAATACAGCAGAAATAGTGGAATATAATACTATGGGCCAGGCTCTTTCAGTATCAATGACATCGGTAAATGATGTGGCACGGTTCCTCGCAGCAGCTTTGTATTTAGATCAACGGATATGGCCGATAGAGTTCAGAATGCAGGGAGACCGGAAAACTGTAACTGAGATTGTGCAGTATGCTGAAGCTATCAAAGGACGTAAGTGTTCTTCTGTTTATCTTTGATAGCACCTCTAAAGCAAATGCTAACGAGAAGAGCAGAGCCATTTGCAACGACAATAATTGCAGCTCCAGAACTAGCGGCAAATATTCAGGAAGCAGCTTACTATCAAGACAGTGCTAGAGTTGGCCGCTTACAGGAGCTGTCTGCTACTGAGGAGAGAAGATACGACTTCTCGCAAGTCAATCTGAATTCATTGGTCAACATCCAGCCAGTTTCATTTTGGGACTGGCTGCGAACCCATTGGGTACCTCAGTGAGCTTTACACTAGCTTGTGTTCAAGGACGTATATACAACATCAAGATCCCAAAGACTCCAGCCTCAGAAGTGTCATTATGTGATCCGACACGTAGGATAATACTGCATAGCGATCTCACTCAATCTCGGAGTACTGGACCTAAACGGATATAGACTATGAAGGCAAAGGAAGTGGATGCGAGATCATGAGGACCTAAAAAGCATAGAGGGTAAGGATATTATTGCAAGCGAGGATTGCATGCTGATTCACTGATGTTATGAATACTGACTTATTTCCTTCATTCTTATCTACTCAAATTGTGTTTCAGACATGTTACTCATCTAGACGAATCTTCTCTTGTGAATACGACGAATATGATCAGCCTTTTTGTCCTTGTACCTTGATATGCACTGTGTTTTATATAGACAAAGCGGTTGAAACATTTTCCTATCACCAGTATCTTGCTTATTGAAAAATCAATCAAAAATACAAGTACCACAGTAACAATGAGATAGCTGAATAGTATTGATGGGATATTGATAGTGTATTAATGAAATGATCTCTTTCATGCCTTTTCTCCAGAAAATGTTGACCTTGATAATTGTTCTTAAGTGTTTAAACCGAGGTGGATGGAGCTGTGAGAATTTATGCAGGCCCTCTTTTGACGGATCATGGCTGTTTGGGGGATAGATCATAAGAAACATGGGAAGAAGAGATCATTAAATTTGTTTTCTTGTGGCAGCAAAAGGAGCAAAGTTCAACGACCGTACTATTCTAGTAATAAGAATAGACTTATGTACATACACAGACAGGTGTATCAACTTTCTGTAGTAATGGTTCAAGAACATCAGCACCAGACTTCTATGTATGTCGTGTCGTGAAAGTTTTTGAGCGAGGCATTGGATTGGTTGTATGTCACATGATCTGTATAATATCGACGCTAGCGAAACGTAAACATTGAAACCCCCATGATATTGCCAACCAAACCAACGCATTCAATCACTCAACTCAGCAACCCGCGATCCCCCACGAACTGCCCTCTCGAACAATCCCAACTCGAATACCAAAATCCATCAATTAACGCGACGACACACGAGATAATCACGCGAAATCTACCTCGATCTCCAGTTCTAAAGCGACAATCGCCCCGGCAACAAGAAATCCAAGAAAGCAAATGCGCTACTAGGACATCAATGACTACCCTCGTACGAGCTCGGAACCCTCTAGAAACTCTGAAAATGAGCCAACAACCTGCGACGCGAAGAAGGAGTAAAAGATTGGCTGGTGGGTTGCGGTATTTCTTACTTTTTGGGTTTGCGATTATGGGCGGGGAATGCTGGAAGCTGGATTTTTTTTGGAGTGCATTGGCCAGAAAGTTACTGACAGAAGTACAGATTATGAGGAAGAAGATGGAGATTTTCAATTCACGCGTGTATCCAAGAAGGCCAAAACTACTGTATCTGTACCGGATCCAATACCAGAGGCACCGCCTGTAACGACGACGGTACCTAGGAGAACTAAAAAGGTAGCCCGCGAGCGCGAAAGCCACAACGTTGCACCGGCGTCATCACCGCCTGTCAAGAAAACGAGAGCAGCACCCAGAACCACCCTTTCAACGCCGAAAGAATCGAGGGTAGAGAAGGTACAGAAACCCAAGAATGAAGTCGAACCGAAACGAGCAACTAGGAAAAGCACGCGTTTATCGACTGAGAAATTTCAAAATGGGGACAGGAATTCAATTAATGGAAGCAGGGATTACGACAACAGTATTGATATGATTGGTGGTGCACCTTTACCAGAGGAATCGAACAGGTCAACTATAGAAGCTCCGAGTAACACACACTCTACGGTCATCGCCTTGCCATTTAGCGATACACCAATTATTAATCGAAATAAGGAATTACGAAAGAAAGGCGGGACGGGCCAGAGGAGGAGTAGTTTGGGTATGCGTGGGAGGAGGGCAAGCTCACTTATTGACAGTGGATATAGCGCAATACCCCACAAAGAGGTCGAAACCTCGCAATTTTACAAACATATTGAGGACGGATTACCTGAGCCAAGAAGGATGAAACAACTCTTGACTTGGACCGGCGAAAGAGCTCTGCCGGAAAAACCTGCGCATGGCGATCCGGATAGTGGTGCAAAATTGGCAGGTGTGTACTTTCATCATATGTAAGGTTCAGAGACAGGACTGACGAGCACAGCGAGAGCAATATCTGAAGCTCTTCTCAAAGACTTCGGGACTAATAATACATTTTCGAACTGGTTCGATCGGGAAGAAAAGCAGCCGACCAGGATAACGAAAGTGGTCAAGAAACCCAATCCTAAGAACATCGAAGCAGAAGAAAACATACAGGCTTTAGAAGCTCGAGTAAAACAGTATGGGTTGTCTCTCCACTACCCAAGATATGAGCTAACAACTACCAGACTAGAAATCGAAAAATCGCAATGGATATCCTACAAAAAGCCCACTGCCCCTCTTCCACCCCTCTTCCCAGATACGCATGACGAAGCGAATCCACTCTCCCCCACACATATAGATCCTACTCTTCTCGACCCCGAACAATCTGCCATTCTCTCCCTAATAACGTCCTCGTCATCTCTGTCCCTACGCGAAAACGCCTCTGAAAGACTCAAAACTATTCATCAAGAAATCGAAGGGAAAGTAGATTGTTTCTTGGACGGCATACACAAAATCGAACGATATGCGGAAACAGTAGGAAGAGTCGCGGATAAGATATTGGCGTTGAGTGCGGTGAGGCTGGAGGAGAGAGAGAGGAGGGAGAGGGAGGTAGTGGGGACGAGGGATGTGCCAATGGTAGAGGTGCTGAGGAGTTTGAGTAGGATTCTTCCCGAGGGGAGCACGAGATAATATTGCCCGTGTTTATCAATGCAAGTCTCGATCCATTTGCTGTGTAGTGGAAGATTCTATAATTACAGGGGACTTCGTTCCGCTTCACTAGAACTTTGAGGCTTGACAAAATATATGGGTTCAATAGCCAACCCGGGGAAGGCCTTTGCGATGGAGATTTTGAGAGGGATGGGAAATGAATAGAGCGAAGATGGAATGTTCAATGAATGATGATAAAGCGACTTTTGGGAAACAATCTGTTTTCTTCTTCACCCGTTTTTGGCTATTTTGGTCACTGTGAAATGGAAGAGTAGATAGTAGGCTTGCTTCTTTCTTCTTGAGAGTTTTTTGTACAAATGGATGGGTCAGGGTGTCGAGAACGCAGTTTTCATGGAGTTGAGGGAATGTTTTGGGACATAGGGGTGTTTGTGGACAATAGCTGACATTGACATTGGCATTTGCATGTTACGATGGTGACAGTTGTGACGGTGGATTTGATAGAACAAATTAATCAACCATCAAGACATATGACGGTCTTGACAAAATTGTTGCTGAATTGACCCTGAACTGTTTCATAAATGTGGAATGTGCGGGGTATGTAGTGCGAAGCTAGATAGCGGCTCGCTTTTAGCCTCTACCTCTTCACCGTCTATAAATCGACAATCAACTTTTAGTTTCGCTGATAAGTGTCAGGAAATATAATTAAATGCTTGTTTCGTCATCGCGATGAAAATAGTTTTGTCGGATCCTAAACCCGGATCGTATTTGCTGGAGAGATATGATGGTAGGGGCATTAGTAAGGAGATGGTATCGGAGGCTGCAAAACTGTTCAGTCGAGAGTATGGTATATGGGGTTCGTTAGCGAGTGAGAAAATGGGAGAGGGAAAAGAGAAAGGTGGGTGAATGTTTGGTGATGTGATTACTTGCGTGGTTGTGGTTATGCATCTGCTTGATTAAAGTTGTTTGGATCATTTATTGGATTTGGAATACTGAATTCAGTTGGGACATTCAGCGCTTAGGACATTCAACTGCTTTGAGATATTTAACTCATTCATGCAATCCATTTACTGGAAAGCTCAAATCTACTGAAGATATTAGTTCCATCTAGATACTTGCTATATTTATATATTTGATATACAGTACTGACCAAAAGTCAAATCCCCACAGGCTCACGAATCAAAATTTCAAGTCGAAGACTCATTACCCAAATTTTACCCCCCGAGGCACAAAACATGTACCTTCGCCTCCTGACCGACGGCAAGTTAGCAGGCAACGTTTTTGCTACCCGCTGGCGACACGAAAATCTTCCTATTCTGTGGATTACACAACTTTGCGTAGATAGCAAATATAGAAATCAAGGGGTGGCTAAAAAGATGCTTGGATATTTAAAGGGAGAAGAAGAAATGGTGGGAATTTTATCAAGTCATCCTTTTGCGTTGATGGCTGTTTTGAAGGTTTGGGGAAGGGGGGTAGAGAATGTTAGGAGGGACTTGGAGATGATGAAAGGAAGTGTGAAGGAGGTGATGGAGGGGTGTCCGGTGGGATATGTGAAGGTGGCGAGATTGAGGGGTTCGCTGTTTGGAGAGGGGGACCGAGGAGCAGTGGCGTGTGCCGATACGCAGTTTTGGGTCGATCATGAGGAGCCCCTTGAGGCGCTGAGGAAAGTCGAGGAGAGAGGTATTGTTTGGCCTTTTGAAGAGTTGCCTGATGGTTGTGAATTTTTGGTATTGGTGGATGCTAAGGTAGTGTAACTAGACTATCTGAGCACTTCCTGTTTTCAAGGTTCAATTCGGATCAAAACAATCATTTTGCTAATGCTGATTATTTTGTTACGAATTGTCTTCTCAATGTCATTTGTCCATTTCTGCTCACCGGGTGCTGAAAGAATTGAAGAGTATTTAGCAAAATCTCGTTGGAATGCCCAATTCAAACACGGAATGACAGCTCTACTTGATAGTGCAAAGATGAAGTACAGACTAACACTGTACCGTAATGAAAATATCTGAACGCGGCTCGATCACCAGCGTAGGGTATACACTTGTGTATTTGTGTCAGGAGCATATCAATTTGCCATTGGGAGCCGAAACCGGAATTGGAATTTGTATATAAAAGAAAAGAGAGGCAGGATTCGGAAAAGCCATAAGTTCTCATAGATAGTTTAGAAAAAGTTCCGAAAGAAAATCGTGAACGATGCGCAACATAGCTCACCGGGCAGGGAAGCCCCCTTAGAATTGGATTTTGTCCGTACCCGAAGAGGTCAAGAGGATTCATGAAATGGGGTATCAAGACTTTTATTCCTATTCAATTTCTCTTTTACAGGCCACACCGCTACTCATGCGATGTGATATAACGCTATTACATGCATAGCGCATTCCGCCGTATTGCATCGAATCACCAAACAACTAATATCTCCAGAATCATATCATTCCCATGCACATGATGAACGCCTCTAACCACCCTGGAATTCCCACGCACGCATTTTCGATTCTTACATCCCGTCCTTCCCCTCATATATTCTCACAGCATCTCATCCGATTCTCTCAACCACGCCCTCGCCAAATCCTTTGCCAACCCTAACCTCAATACCCTCAAAATATCCACATCTGTCATGCCCGCACTAATCCCTTTCCTCCAATCCCAACCCCTCTTAATACCCCCTTGTTCATCAAAATTCCACTCGCCGTAACCGATTTATGGAATTGCGACGCCATCATTGAACTTCCTACCATTGAGAAGCTCCCAGAGGTACCCGATGACGATTGACTTAATAAGTCCATGGGATTAGAGCCCTTTAGACCCGAAGCGTTTTTAATGACCGTTTCGAGAAAAGCGTTGCAGACGGCATAAATACGCGGACCGATACCCTGGATATCTTCGATCGTGCGGAGGAGAATATCGATTTGAGAGGTGTTGAGGAGAGAGTCGGGCTGGTTAACGAAGGGCATGGCTTCGCCTAAGAGCGCAAGAATGTAATGAACAGGGATGACGGCCCCACGATCTTCATCGTAGATACCACCGCGAATGTTGTCGTCGGAACTGATTATCAATGCTAGTAGAGCATTGGCTGCTTCCGACCTTCGGGTGATTGCACCCATTGCTGGTTTGGAACCTGGTGATAACATGACTTCTTGGTCTCTCAAGGTATAAAACCTACGGAGCGTTGCGTATCCGCTCAATGAAGTATGAACAAGTTCTGCAGCTTCGAGATCCATACTAGACATTTCATTCAAAGCATTCTTTGGAGATGAGATTAATCGCTGCAAATGATCATCAAGCTCGGCCTCTGGAGGATAGGCTGTCGAATATACCAAACATAATTGAATGAGAGTATCAAGAACATCTTTAACCTTGGCGGAGTTATGAGCTAAAGCATAATACCACAAGGCTTCACCGGGTGAAATGTTGTCTCGGGCAAGTGAATCGGCATATGACTATACGTTGTTAGCTAACTGTGTACATTGATAGCGAAAGGGCATAAAACACATACCATTGCGATGGCTTCGGCTTGAGAACTCATATCAAGATCATTGAGTAATCGCCAAAGTTTATCGACGATCCCAGCACTATCTAACTTAACTGTTCTCATGATTTCACCCACCATCTCTTCAGATCTCCTTTCCGAATCAAGTCGGCCCAATACAGCGATCGCTAGTTCCCATCCTTCTTTTGTTATCTCGGCGTGTCCAATCACTGCAGTCAACTCCGGCAGCTCTTGTAATGACCTTGCATATGTAATGAGAGTAAGGTCTTTGACGCCATCCTGTACTGTTGGTGCGCCAAGATTGATGAGATCAAGGTCTTCTTGGTCAAGTTCGCCATTTGCAAGTAAACCTTGAGGTTCGGTACGAGGAAGCCACCCCGCCAACGATGCGACTTCAGCTAAAGCGGAAGATACAGGGCCAGACCAAGCGCGCAAAATGCAAATGAGGGACTCAGTGTCACCTTGAAATAGACAAGCTAATCCCACTTCAACCATATCGTTGCTATTAACATGAAAGTCGGTATTGCTTGCAGCTACAACCTCAAATGCTCGTTGAAGTTTGCGAAGATCATTTTCTGACTCATAATTGATGGCGGAAGCGCGAAGACTATTTATCGATCGCCCAGGAGCTAAACGTCTGTCGTCTTTCTCCTCATCATGCCATACAAGCAAACCGATAGTTGCTTCACACCAATCCTGGGAATTTTCAATAATAGGGATGGACTCTCCCATAACCAAACTATAAAGTGTAAGTAGGTTCTGGTAGATATTCCATGGTACCCTACTTGCAGCCCTCTTTGCAAGCTTACTATAGTCTCCACCTAGACTACTCCTCATGGAAGACTTTCCAAATCGATTTGATTCATGGCGAGAACCACCTTCTGCGAATTGTTTTAAATCCTCCGTAGCCTGTGATATCCGAAGTCGAAACAATCTCCAATCATTTCCATAGATGTTCCAGTCTCCATTTATTGCCGGACATAGAGAGAGAACATTGGTCGCATCCTCTACTACCTTTTCAACATTGGTCAGGGCTACTCCAGTAAAGCCGTCTGCCCCGCCTTGAGCATTAATATCGTCAGCATCAGACCACGAGTACCTCCAACCAGCACTTTTGAGGCAATTGATAACAGCTACAAGTCGCCCACGAACGACATTGTTAAGTATAGTAGTCCAGAATAAGTGATGAGAAGCAGGGCTCGGTCTGGTAGCCTGAACTTCTTCAAGTTGTTGTGGAAAAGGATCATGAAACTCCTCCAGCCAATCTAGCATGATTTTGGGAAGAGGCTTAACCACGGTTGCAAATCCCTTTTCCACCGGTTTTGAGTGATGGATTTGCATTGCAAGATGAGCCAGGTAATTAGCCTTTGCAAATTCTGAGGCTGCTGGACCTGGGCCAATGATCGAAGCGTACTCCTGCTCATTGTAGACTCCGCTTCGTTCACTGTACTCCTGCCAAAGTGCTGTTAACTCGCTTGGTATGAGTGCCAAAGCACGTTGAAGTTTTTCTTCGTTGTCTGCCTTTCCCACACCCTGTTCGTAAAGTCTTGTAATTATTGCCTCCGTCTTCAATATTAGATCATCTTCTTCATCTACAGCTGGTATTCCCTGGCTTTCAGATAGGGTTTTCGCGATTCCAGCAAAATCCGAAGCGGGCACCCTTTTACTTTGTGATTGCGCCAAAGATGCCTGAAAGTCTATCGAATCGTTTCCCATACTCTGTCGCATTTGTCCACCAGATGTGCTTGCAAACCGAACCGAATTGCTGTGCTGATTAAAGATGTTGCGGTTCATTGACTTTGTTCCGCGATAGTCGTCTATGTCATCGTCCTCGTAGCTGGCATCTTCACTCTCCATATCTTGTTCGTCATCATAAGAATCTGCGAAGCGATTGCGAGTCTTTGCATCAAATCCAGTATTTTCTTCATCCTCATCATCCTCTTCCTCCTCACTTCCCGATAGCGATCGTAAACTCCTTTGCGACTTTTGAGTTTTGTTGCCAAATACCGCCCTCTGTGGTTTTGATGTCGGTCGTGTGAAGAGAGGAGAGGAGAACTGTGGGCTCTGGAGCTCGGAATGACCGAAGTCTGATTGAGAATGACCGAATTCCGATTGCTGTGAGTATTCTGAGTATCCAAAAGCCGACTTGTTTGGGGTTGGGCTTCGCATAGTGCTTTCCAAAAACGACGATGGTGCAGGTCCAGCGGGAGTATAAGAGCCGGCCGATGAAGGAGGGGCTCCAGCAGGCGTAGTTGATGGATTGTTTGAGGTTCCGAAACTGAATCGACTATTGGTGCTTCTATTTGGTGTTGAGGGAGGGCTTGAGGAATACTCAAAGCCAGGCATCTTGCATTTAGCTGAACGTGTTTGACAATGGTAAAAAGGTTGTACTTATTATGCGATTTGTTTCTCAAAGCTGTATTCTTTAATTAACCAATTTGAGCTTTGTCGGCAATGTCAATGAAGTTTTTGTATACAGTTAATACCTAAGTATTCATTTATAAAAGTTCATCTACAAACCCCTGTCCAACCATTTTCAAAGAGCTATCGCGATAACTAGCGCAGAACCTTATTTCACGCGTCGACAATAAACAATTTCCAGAACGTCAATGATTAAGATATTTTGGAGTTTTAATTGCAAGATATTGCGCATCACAACTGTATTATTCCTTTGATGCTTCAGTAATGCCAAGGTAACCAATTTTCCCTTCCTCTATACATCACGGCTGCTAACATTGTTTTGTTAACAGAGAAATAATTACGGTCCAGGCCGGCCAGTGCGGCAACAGCAGTCAGTATACCCCTCGTCTGGCCATACGAAACGGAGGAAATTCTAATTGGGAGTTTGGGTAGTTGGTAGTCAGTTCTGGCAGCAGTTATGTCAGGAACATGGCATAAGTCAAGATGGTAATCTTGAGGAATTTGCGACGGAGGGAGGAGACAGAAAAGATGTATTTTTCTACCAGTCGGACGACACACGATATATCCCCCGAGCTATTTTGATCGACTTAGAGCCCCGTGTATGTGCTTCTTGAGCTTCTATGCTATGTGTTGGTATATTTGGGGTGTTAATTTGTGGTTATCCAGGTCCTCAATGGTATCCAAACCGGTCCATACAAAAATATCTACAATCCCGAGAACTTTTTTGTTGGAAAGAATGGTTCAGGTGCCGCAAACAACTGGGGAGATGGATACCAAACGGGCGAATCTGTGCATGAGGAAATTATGGAAATGCTTGATCGAGAGGCCGACGGTAGTGACTCGCTTGAGGTAGGTAATTGAACAATTTACACGAACGATGAAGCTAATCTAAGCAGGGCTTCATGATGTTACACTCTATAGCAGGTGGTACTGGTTCTGGATTGGGATCTTTTCTGCTTGAAAGACTGAACGATCGCTTCCCTAAGAAGATTATACAAACATACTCCGTATTTCCAGACACTACCAATTCTGGCGACGTTGTTGTACATCCATATAACAGTCTACTATCCATGCGAAGATTAACACAGAATGCCGACTCAGTTGTTGTGCTTGACAATGGAGCACTGTCTAGGATCGCTGCGGATAGATTACATGTCCAGGAACCTTCGTTCCAACAAACTAATCAACTGGTCGGTGTTCCCCCTTTCGGAGCCAGAGTTTGCTTTATTGACATATACAGGTTTCTACCGTTATGTCAGCTAGTACCACTACACTCAGATACCCAGGATATATGCACAATGATCTCGTTAGCATAGTTGCCTCACTCATCCCAACTCCTCGTTGTCATTTCTTAATGACGGCCTACACTCCATTCACAGGAAACAATGTTGAACAGGCGAAGACCGTACGGAAAACTACAGTTTTAGATGTCATGCGAAGACTGTTGCAGCCAAAGAACCGCATGGTCTCGACAATTCCTGGCAAGAAAAGTTGTTACATATCCATATTGAACGTCATTCAAGGAGACGTTGACCCAACTGATGTCCACAAGAGTCTTCTTCGAATTCGGGAGCGACGACTTGCGACATTCATTCCATGGGGTCCAGCAAGTATTCAAGTTGCGTTGACCAAGAAGAGTCCATATATACCCATGAATCACAGAGTCAGTGGTCTTATGCTGGCAAATCACACAAGTATAGCAACAGTGAGTGTCTTTATAGCTATTTTGCCCCCAAATGTTGACATATTATAGCTGTTTAAACGTATCGTGAGACAATACGATGGAATGCGCAAGCGTAATGCCTTCATGGAAGGTTACAAGAAGACTGCACCCTTTGCTGACAATCTCAATGAATTCGATGAAGCAAGGGAAGTAGTAACAGATCTTATCGCAGAGTATGAAGCTGCAGAAGACGCAGATTATCTTAGCCCTGATGCTGGAAATGCTGCTCCAGCGGGAGAAACAAGTGATAGAAGGCTTCCTTAATTGTCTGCACATTTACAGCAGATGCGTATGATAGCATTGTTGGAGTCGAGGATTAGGATTTAGGATGGGATGAAAGGTGTGCCTAGGTGCTGAGGGTACATTGAGTGTCCCATCTACTGGCGCCTAGATATTGAGGACATTGCAATTGGCGTTTTTTACAAGGATGATTAATGATACCAAATTATGAAGAAGTTTCTAGTATGTTTTTCATAGCCCTTTTTTACCATCGAGATTTCCATCTGAGATCGAATTCTACCGAATCAAATAATTCAAATTGAGGTTGGTTTCGGTTTGTTCCCGGCGGTACCTAGTATCTTAGTCATGTCATAGGAGTTTTTGCCCCACCAAAGTTTGATGCTTGACATGATCGACATCATAATTACATCACAACTTTTAGAGCCCCTCAATTTCTCAATTATCTGATGTTCCGGAGCGAAATCTCCAAACTCATCAAGGAATAATTTAACTATGCCTTGGTACAGTACCTGAGTAAGGTGGAGTATGATTTTGTCATAGAACATGACTTCGCGAGTTCCAACACCTTTTTAATCCCCCGTTTTCCCCCTCGTTTTTCCTTCCTTCTTCATACTACAAACAAACATCACACACAACATACCAATTCGCAACGAATAACACAAATAACTACTCTACTTCATAACCAAACAGTGAGCTTTCCTTCACATAACATTTCACTCGGTCTCATCTAACAAACTCTAGAACAAATACAACCTTACACACACACATCAATATGCCAGAACAACAATCCAAAGCCGACCTCATCGCTGAGCGTCAAGCCAACCTCCCTCTCCCAGAAGATCCTCCTGTCGCCAGCGACTGGAACTCTGCCGATGCTACCAAAGTCAACGTCGGATCGGGAAGAGACGTAACTAGCCAAACCTCAACTGGCAATGCTCAACAATCTGGATTGGAGGGTGCTGCTACTGGAGGAAGCGGTGTTAGAGAAGCCGGTGGTGTTGATATGAGCAACATTGGACGCGAAGGTGTTGAGAAGAAGAACTAAGTGTTGGACCATTTTGAGAATGGGTGTATTATATTTCTTAATCATTGGAATGATTGATGACGGGTTATGAACGAAAATAGCATTGATGGACGGGATGGGCGGGATGAGATGCTGTATTATACGCATCGTGTATGAAATAGATATGAACTGGCTCTGTAAAGGCTATGAAATACAAAAACTTCACCAAAATTTCTTGACATACTAAACGAAAGTTGCATTGTGGTCAATTCGTATTTCTAGACGGTATTTTAATTCATCATGATCCCTTACTATTCTCAGAATGTACGAAATTTGTTTAATCTTATGAACAACTCGAAAGATGGTAGCGCCAGGATTGCATGTATATTATTTCTGTTTGAAAACTTCACTATCTGCAACAATCTGGAAGAGCTCGAGAGTTCCCATATTCACGTGAATACCCCTCTTCCCAGGGCTTCTTTAGATTAGAGATCAGTTAACCATTGTTTTTCCTCCACCACAGCTGGTAAAGAAATCCCAACCTTACCGCCTCCTTATCACCCAACAACAGCAACAGGCATCTAGTACAAGGGAAAAGCCAACCGTGAAGGAGTTAGACTGCTTGTTAATCTGATATCAGCTGATAAAACAATATGATTCTTACAATGCAATGACCATGGTGAATAAGCATCTTCAAAGCTCGGGGTCCTTAAACCCTGGGGAATCATTTCGACGCTTGACACGCAATCAAATGCTCAATCGGATGAAATCATATTTGGTTGGACATTCAGCATCAGTTATTCAATATTCATAGATCCCTCTGCTTAAATCAACCCTTCCGTTTCACACTAGAGACTTTCGAAAGCATGTCGAAAGTATGTCACCAAGAAATACGAGGGACACCTTTCTTACTTGAAGCACGTGATAAATTACCCCTCAATTTCCAGACGCTTATCGCTGACGTCGTCCAAAATGTGCCACCACTATCTTTTAGAATCTCCACAAGTTTAACATTCCTACGAGTTGATTGACGGGAACGTGCCCGGCGCCATACTTATGTAGTAGAAGTAACAAGTAGTAGAAACAGGAAAAGATTTGATTAATGTGATTCTTTGAGTTTAAGAATGATGTCATGAGAGCGCCAGCTGTATATTTTAGATTTGAACAAAGGACTTCCAGGAATGAATCAAACAATCAAACAACTTGTCTGTATCTTCAAATAGCGAAGAAATAATTGCTCGAATCTTCTAATACCCAGGTTTATAATCATCAATCCACACTCAAAATGTCTGGAGCTGGTACAAAGGTAGATACTTGCTTAGAATCTTCCATGTTCAACTCCCTATAACTGCGTCTCGGACTGCAAGTCAATCATATAATTTTATTCGATGAGGATCGTATTGGGAATTCTTTGCCTCACACGACTCAAACTCTATCATGATTGCTAACACAACTTTTAACAGGTCAACGATCCACACTCGATCATCAAAGAGGGTGCCGGAGCCATAGCATCAGATTCTCTTGCAGCCGAGTCTACGAGAGCTGGCGGAGGCTTCGCTGAAAATCGCGACGGCGAACCATTAGGCGTTGCAGGCGCAAACTCCACATTTGCAAATACCAATACATCTGGAGCTACTCGTCTAGATCCTGCTTCCGATGCTGAAGCACGAATGGCGACTGAAGATTGGGCGGAAGAGAAGAAACTAGGAGCTACCGGTTCATACCAGAAAGACGCCGGTAACCCCAATGCACAAAAGAGCACAAGTAGTGCGGGGGTCGCACCGAGTTATGTGTCCAATCAATACCAGTCTGGCGGCAACCCGAAAGGAAAGAACTTGACAGAAGGGGGATTTGAAAGTAATGATGCAAAGAATGCCAGTTTTACATCAGAAATTGGATCAAAGAATGATCCGAGTCGGCTTGCTGAGCAGAAGATGCAGAGAGAGAATGCTCAATCAGCAAATGATGCAGGCTTCCCCAGGGATAACAACACAACAGGTGGAACGCCATATGATGCTTTAGGTGGTGATACCGCAGCTTGAGAGATTACATTTGATAGGTTCAGGAAACAGGCCAAGGAAAATGTTTGGAATTCGCTTTAATGACATGATTTGATGAAAATAAATGAGTTTTGTATATGATTTCACTTTTTATAGCTTTGGTTGTTTTATTACAGACTCATACATCTGTATATCGAATGACCCATATGGCATCACGTGATTCAACATGCTGCAGAGGAAGTTGGCTCAAGCAATTATACTTCCTTTGATTTTGGAAGATTGACAGGACTTTGTGGCAGGAGCACTTGTCTCGCTGGCTTATGACTGAAGGTTATTGCTCAATAAGAGATTGATCGATTCACCGTGTCCATAAGATTCAATCAATACAATGAATGAATACAACACCCAAAACTGATCTGCTCGGACTTGCCCTACAAGAAAATGTGCCTGAAATTTAAGGATATAACTGGGAAGATTCGATCAATTCAAGTCAACCATTTCCTATCAGGATCAAATACTTGTTCTTCCCCTTTTTCCATCAAAGAAATTTCTCAAGTCTTCACATTGTTGTGGTAGAAGAAATAATTTTTCGAGCTCTAGGTCAGAGTCCATTATTTTTGGAAGTGGCGCTAGTACCACCTCGCTTAGGAAAACCTCCCACCACAATTTCTCAAATATTTCCAACCAGCACTGTTACCGTTGCCATTTCGCCCATCCTTCAATTCTCCGTTCACCAGATCAATACTCCAACATGGCGGAACAACTTATCCTCAAGGGCACCCTCGAGGGCCACAGCGGCTGGGTCACCTCTCTCGCAACTTCTCTTGAGAACCCAAATATGCTCTTGTCTGGTTCCCGCGACAAGTCCCTCATCATCTGGAACTTGACCCGGGATGAGACTTCATACGGATACCCAAAGAGATCTCTCCACGGACACTCCCACATTGTCTCTGACTGTGTATGTTAAAACTCACTCAAAAATCGGTGGCTCTGGGAAATTTGAGCGCAATCTGCAAATTACAATTGAATGCTGAGACTTTGATTTCTAGGTGATCTCTTCCGATGGTGCTTACGCTCTTTCCGCATCCTGGGACAAGACTCTCCGCCTTTGGGAGCTTGCCACTGGTACCACCACCCGCCGATTTGTTGGACACACCAACGACGTCCTCTCCGTTTCCTTCTCTGCCGATAACAGACAAATTGTCTCCGGATCCCGCGACCGCACAATCAAGTTGTGGAACACTCTCGGTGACTGCAAGTTCACCATCACTGAGAAGGGACACGCCGATTGGGTTTCATGCGTTAGATTCAGCCCTAACCCACAAAACCCAGTCATTGTCTCCTCTGGATGGGACAAGCTCGTCAAGGTAAGCTACAATCAGTCTTTATGGTACTTCAAATTGAAGTTGTGCGAAGTTTTCATGATGTTCTACAAAGTATTTGCTACTTCAGAGCTTGGGAGACCTTGCCATGAGACAATTAACACTATTTTTCTGAAAATTGTCTTCGCATAATTCATTTGGTACCAAAGTTACTTAATCAGAAAATGCTAACATTCAATTCTTCAGGTCTGGGAGCTCAGCTCTTGCAGATTGCAAACCGACCACATCGGACACACCGGTTACATCAACACCGTCACCATCTCCCCAGACGGATCCCTCTGCGCTTCCGGTGGAAAGGACGGAACCACCATGTTGTGGGACTTGAACGAGTCTAAGCACCTCTACTCCTTGAACGCTGGTGATGAGATCCACGCCCTCGTTTTCTCCCCCAACAGATACTGGCTTTGCGCCGCCACCTCCAGCAGCATCATCATCTTCGATTTGGAGAAGAAGAGCAAGGTTGATGAGTTGAAGCCAGAGTTCCAAGCTGTTGGCAAGAAGAGCAGAGAGCCAGAGTGTGTCAGTTTGGCATGGAGCGCGGACGGACAAACTTTGTTCGCAGGTTACACAGATAACATCATTCGGGCTTGGGGTGTTATGTCGAGAGCGTAAGGGGGTGGTTAAACAGGCGTGTGTCAATTCATCTTGAGGTTTTACGGCTTTTCCGGGGTTTGTGGTTCCTTGTCGATTGGCAGGATGTACTTCAAAAACATGGCATAGCAAAAGGCTCATGGACATGAAAAATCCAAACAACGTAAAAAGTAATTTCCATGCATTATGATCATCTTGCCGTGCGTGTGAAAATGCTATGTTGACCTAGGTATTAACGAGTGATTGTATTTGATTGGGTGTGCATAAGCTGCGGGGAATAACAATTAATAGGTAAGCTAGTACCACTTTAACATAGGCTTTCACGGGCGCGTCCCCCAAATTTTAAACGCGTGTGTCGAAAGCCACTTTGTGTGATGATCATGAACCAAACCTATTACTTAGAGTCAATTCCCACCAATTGCTCAGCATGGTTGCTTGCCCCATTTGCGAAAAGCAAGTGAAAGCTAAAGACATTAATAGTCACATTGATTCGGGATGTCAAGACTTCATTGACACAGTCTCTCCTCCACTTACTCAGCAGAATGCATTTGTTTCACAGAAACCAGCTTCCACGCAGAAGCCTTCCGTCTCCAACTTCTTTTTGACACCTGCGACTAAAAAAACAGCATTGCATCCTACCCCAAAGATAGAACCCAATTCAACGCCCAATTTTCAACAAAAAGTGCAGAATGGAAATACAACTACGAAGCGGCAAGAAGATGGGAGTGCGAGTGGATCCCTGACTGTTCAGCAGAAGAGATCATTTGACGATGCCGAGACAGAGATACAGAGGGAAAATGAGACTGTTGATCCGCCGGTGAAGAAGACTAAGACCAATGCCTTTCAAAAGGTCGCTCCGCTAGCAGAACGAATGCGTCCGAGAAGTCTAGACGAAGTATGTGGACAAGAGTTAGTTGGACCACACGGAGTTTTACGCAGTCTCATTGAACAAGATCGTGTCCCATCAATGATACTGTGGGGTGGCGCTGGTACGGGTAAAACTACAATTGCACGGTGTGTGGCTGCGATGGTAGGAAGCCGGTTTGTCGAGATCAATAGTACATCTACTGGGGTGGGGGAAGTGAAAAAGATATTTGCTGAGGCAAGAGGAGAACTGGGGCTTACTGGGAGGAAGACAATAATATTTTGCGATGAGATCCATCGATTTTCGAAGAGTCAGCAGGATGTATTTCTTGGGCCTGTGGAGAGTGGGCAGATTACTTTAATAGGAGCTACGACCGAGAATCCGTCTTTCAAAGTCCAGAATGCTTTACTGTCTAGATGTCGGACATTCACATTATCGAAGTTGACGGACGATGACATATTGGAGATATTAGAGCGGGCTTTGAAGACCGAGGGGCCAAATTATACTCCTGCAGATCTTGTGGACACAGAGCTCTTGAGGTATCTATCTGCCTTCTCTGACGGTGATGCTCGGACGGCCCTGAATCTCCTAGAGCTAGCAATGGGCTTGTCTACAAGACCCAATGTCACTAAGGAAGATATCAAGGCCTCCCTTACCAAGACGCTGGTGTATGATAGAGCTGGCGATCAACATTATGATACTATCTCTGCTTTCCACAAGTCAGTAAGAGGTGGTGACGCAGATGCTGCTCTATACTACCTTGCAAGAATGCTTCAATCCGGAGAAGACCCGCTTTACATAGCTAGGCGGATGGTGGTTATGGCATCAGAAGATATAGGACTGGCCGACAACACCATGCTAACGCTCGCAACCAGCACATACACTGCGTGCGAGAAAATCGGTATGCCTGAATGTCGAATCACAATGGCTCATGCTACTGTGGCTTTGTGCTTAGCCCCCAAAAGTACCAGAGCATATAGAGGATTAAACAACGCATATTCTGCCCTGAGGGAACCTGGGGTAGCTAGTTTAAGCATCCCGATTCATTTGAGAAATGCACCTACGAAGTTGATGAAAGAGTTGGGGTATGGAGATCAGTACAAATACAATCCTAATTACAAGGAGGGAAGAGTAGTTCAAGAATACTTACCCGAAGAATTGCGAGGCAGGAAGTTTTTAGAGGATAGGGATTTGGGGACAGAGATTGATCCAGGTGCTTGGCCTTGAGGTCAAATGAATGATTGTATAGGATATACCTGGTGCATTGCGATGGTGTTTAGGTCTATGATTGGAGTTATAACAAGCTCGTATTACTTTATGAGAATTGTTCATTGAAAGTATGTTGTTTTGGTAAGGTATATGTAAAGTTGCGCATGAACAGCAACGGTTTATGTAGATTTACATATATAAGGACGCACCTCTCGCTCCTGCAAGAGTCCGTCTTTCATTGAGCTGCCAGCTCCCAAAAATGTGATCCTTTTGATTGATTCGACCCCAGAACTCCTCGCTGATAATGCATTCCGCCGCCCATACCTGAGATTCCAAACCCAAATTATTATTCGTATGTTTTTTGTTATAACCCATCTCCCTACGGCTCTAATGACACCAAATCCTCATCCATAGGCGAAGGTGGAGGCTGCGGCTGTGATTGCGTTCTTTTTCTTGCCGGTGCACCTTTTCTGAAATACTGCTTCTCTGCATTAACTACCATACTGCGATCATCTAGCGCCAGCCTTGTATTTTCACTCCCACTTCCACTACCCGAATTTGTAATTCCCAGTTCCAACATGGTACGTTCCCACAACGCATGTCGTTCCTTACTCTTTGGATCTCTGCCAGCCATTCGTTTCATTTCCCTATCTTTGCCCACCTTCCCAACCTTCACCAGTCGTCTCAGAGCCTCCTCCCCCATCTTGGCATTCTCCGCAGCCTTCTCCCGGATTTTTCGCGGATCCGTTAAGCGTTCGCTCTCTTTGGGCGTCCATTTAAATGTGTGTTTACTAGGAAATGCGGGGAATCCTTTTGGAATGTATGGTTTCTGTTCCTTTTCCACCTCACCATTAAGCTCCACTCCTAATATCCTTATGACATTCTTCGTCGTAGGATCTTCCTTTGGTACAGGTTCCAATTCTAATTCAAGCTTCGGTACGGAAATTGGAGGTCGCAGATGCGGTTCTAATGATGCGAGAGGCAATTGATACCGATTAAACGCGTACGATATATCGAGGGGTATGGGAATATTTCTTCTCGCATTATTCATCGAAGAAGTGACTTGAGCAAGTAAATGCGTCGTATCTTAAATCTCGTCAACAAAAGGCTTCTCAGCCCACAGGTGAGGATATACAAACATGTATCGACTTCGGCACACATGGCCTCCAACGCTTCTTCCGTCGCCCGGTCAAACCCAACGTGTTCCAACGTCTGACAAATCGATCGCCGCAATAGCATCCGCACATCGCTGTCGAAAAGTGAAGACTCCATTTTATCGGGACGCGACAATTCGAGCTCGGGCGGAGGGGTTTGCGGGAGGACGGGCGACATGCGTTGCCTTTTTCGATAAGGCTCCTCCATGTCGTCGTCGCTGGATGTAGGTGTCGATCGTTTTCGTGACACTGGGACCATGGTCGCAATGCTTTACTGTATGTATGTTGCTCTTTTCGCGCCCACAGCAAGCTTTAAATAAATAAATCGCGGGTATGGGTGTGGAAAGAATGATTCATGGCCGTAGTGTGAATTCAATTGAATGAACGTTCCGCGTTATCGAAAGCGTAAATTAGTGCTTGTGAATATCAAAGGTTCAGAAGTGTCAATCACGTGGGGGGATCGAGTTGGCATTTGCGGATTTAGCGTAAATGCCTCAGGTATTAAGAGCGCGCTAAAATTGGACGCTCGGCGAGCGTGGGATGCATCATGCGATTTTGAATCTGAGCAAGCAAATAAGAGATACAGAACCTGATATTCTTCCCCTCGAAAGAAATATACAAAATGGCTATCAAACCAATTACTGGAGTACGTTTTCCTCTCTGTCTGCGGTGGGAAAAGTGAGGAGCTTGGAACTGGAGTTGGAAAGTTGGAAAGTTGGAAGGACATAATTGAATTGGGTGAATGGGATTGGAGAATGAGCTGACCTTTTGTACTGTAGATGCTCCGAAGAGGGCTCGTCCTTGACCTTAGCGTCGCTTTCGGTATGTGGTGAACGGATGTCTTGTGGAATGCGGAGGGAGTGGGAGGGTGAATGGAGGCAGAGAATCTGCAGATATCGCAGAGGTGAAGCAGACCAGTCAACTAACACGACCCACCAGGTCTCGGAACCACATTCGGATATGCCTTCTGGTGAATCTCTCCATGTTTAAACGGCGTCAAGGAACATGATATTAACATAGCAATAGGTACGGATACCATGTCCCAGCCGTCCGCAAGCGCGATGCATTCTACGCCAAATTGGAGGATCAGAGAGCTGCCAATGCTACTGCATAAGGAATGAGGATAGACAAAAGGACATAGATTGGACTGGGTGTCTCGGTATGGTGGGTGGTTGAAACAGGCAGAGCTGAAGTGGAGGAATATTGCATGCTGGGAGGCTGGAATGGGTAGGCAAGCTGTACATTACCAATATCGATGATGCTTTGGCAATGCATGCATTTTTTTCTCTTCGGAACTGTGAGAAATTCTTTTGGGAGAGGTATGTGTCTATTTGGAGAAATCATGTGCAAGTGATGGGCGGATGAGACTTTGGTATCTTGCAACGAAAAGCAGAATCGAGATGCACTGGCTGTCATGAGAAATGCATTGGATATTCTTGGCCTATTTGTTTGTATGGAGGCATCGAGATTAGGAAAATGCGCTTGAAATATACGCTGTATCGAAATCAAGGTGCTGGGTGGTAAAGCTGTATCGTGCCCTTTTGATTGATTGCTTCATTCATGCAAAGGTTTGATGTTCTTGCCATTCTCATGATATGTCGGACAACATTTATTATTATCACATACAGCACATAACAAGCCTTCCTAACTCAAGGCTCTCTCCATGATCAAATTGATGATAGGCATTGCGCATGAGCATGGTATCCCATCACGTGTACCATAGCCCATCTGAACGACCATTGTAGAGCATAAGTCAAAGCAAATCCACCCTTCAACAGCATTCCCAATGCAGATTTTATCTCCTCCCTCTACTCCAAATTCCACACAACCTCCCCACCCTTCTCCCCCACCCCTCTCCATCCCTTCCCCCTAACAACCTCCTCCCTCCTCTCCCTCTCCTCCAGCATCTCCTCCACACTACCCCCATCCCAAACGCCCCAACCTCTTCCCTCTCCACCCTCAACCACCCTCTCCACCCCATCACCACCTCCGGCCTCCCCATCCCCCTCAAACTCCCCGTATTCACCCCCTCCCTCCCTTCAACCCCAAAAAGTATCGTCCCCCCAAACTCCCTCCCATAACTATCATGATTCCCACCCAACATATACTCTTCCACCGCCTTCAATGTGCTTTCCAAATTCTGAGCTGTAGGTCTGAAGATATGAAGATGTTTGAGATCCGACCTCTTCAATTTATTCTCCTTCAGTCCTGCTTCAAGTCCCTCATCATCATCTTCTTCTTCATCTTGAAACGCTAAAAACGAAGGAGAAAATCTCGAATGCACATCGATTAACACAACGCACTTTCCTACCTTCCCATCCACATTTCTCAGAAGTGCAGTTAGCATACGAATTAGCAGCGGTAACTGTCTCCCCGAAACAGATAGTCTCGGTTGATTTTGATACGAATTAGACCACAATTCATCTAGAGACTGTATGTGAGTTCTCGACGGACGAGGATCCAATGTATTTGTAATAGTAGTTAGAAGCTCGTGTTATTTATCAGCTTCGATTTCTTGTGTGTCTTGAGTCGCCAGGAAATGGAAAGGAGGGGAGATTCGTTATCGATAAGCAATGAGAGAGAATATCCTACATACCGATTCCAAACTCTCTTCGCTCTCATCAACTTCTCGTAATAATCTGCCGCCACATATCTCTTCGCTAGATCTTATATCCATTTTATCTTCACCCCTTTCCTCTCCTTTTCGCACCTCTCAAAACTCAATCCGAAATCCTTCCCAAACAAAGAACAAATGACACCACCCCTCCTCCCCTTCCCACCCAGTGCCCTCCCCTTCGAATCAACCCTTACGTCCAAGTCCCAGCACCGGAAAGGCTTCGACGGGAATCTCAAAAACTGTGAATTACTGGAATTATGGCAATACAATTGCGATTTGCAAAAGGATAGGGATGGGAAGGTTGGGGAAAATATAGTTTGTAGACCTGTGGAACGGCTTTTTCGTCGGTAAGCTTTTATTCTTTGTTTTCCTTGGGAGAGATTTCAAAGTATTGGTGGATATTGTGTGTTTACTGGAGGATGAGTGATGGATGTTGATCGGTTGGTAGGTGTAAAGATCGAAAGGGAACTTTTATGGTGGAGACGACAATTTGGGAGGGAGAAGGAAGTGCAAAGTGATAGTCGCGGATTTGGGGTTGGGTGCTTGTGGTTAGCGTGCACCCTTGCGTGGTGAGAAGACGATACTGCGAAATAGGGTTTGTAGATGGAGAGGGCATTACACATGATGAAATCGATGATAAAATTGATCGAGGTTTACATAAGTTATTCACGTTCTTGCTTTAGATGCTGTGCGTATTTTCAATTCTCTACAGACCGTGAGACATTCGTTTGTCCCCAAATGCTTCCAAACACCACCATTTCATGACCCATCTTTTGATACCAGCTCCTTAGCATCTCATCGTCACTCCTGATACCCAATGGCGGAATTATAACTTCGAAATCGCATCCAATAGCTCTTCGATTTCCTTGCTCTTGCTCTTGCTTTCCTCTTCCTCTTTCGCTGCCAAAGAAGAGTGGTCCTCACTGTCATCTTCTTGCAAAGCCTCGTTATCCAAAGCATTAAGTTCCTGCCGCACCGCACAAATCGTAGCCTGATCCTGTAGCGCCTCTAGATTTTCGTTTAGGAGAACCTTCCAAAAACTCTCCGTATGAACCATCATCTTCCAGTAAACTGCTAAATTTTCATGTGCCATACGATCACCCCACACCTTACTGACCATCTCAAATACCGGCATGATTGCAAAATCTGCAAGACCAATTTCGTCGCCGGCTATGTATTTTGCTTCTTTCGCGTAGATATTCCATTTAGCGAGTTCAGCACGGAAAGGCTTCACACTAAAGGGAACTGTTCTCCAGATCTTGAGTAGGGTGTTGGCTTCTTCGAAACGGGTGTAATGCCGGGCAAAATGACCCGGAGATTTACAATTCTGTGAGGGTTTATAGATAGCTTCGATATAAAACATAATTGGCATGCATCCTTCGACAGTAGTTCTGTCTTTGTCATTATCAATAAATTTGATCGCTGGTGTTTCTGGCACAAACGAATCGTCAACTTCAAGTTCTTCTCGTTTCCAATGGAAAGGTGGCGAAATGGTTGCTTCTATCCAAGGGATGCCGTAGTGGTTGAGCATAAATTTCACCCGGTGATCAGTGATGGAATCTCCCGACAGGAAAAGCTTTTTATGGTTCGACATGTGCAGTACGTCGAAGCCTTTGCCGTAGATCGCCTGCCAGTCGAAATTGCTGTCATGATTCTCTTTCCCGAAAGCTTGCAACATTTCTTGGGTTTGCGGTGTATCTCCATTGATGACCTGCACGGCATCTTCTTTCCTCTTGGCAGTTGCACCTTGGCCCCAAATCTTTTGTCGACTTTTATTCAGGTATGTACCAATATGTCTGAATGTCAAAGATATACGTCCACAATCGTAAGCCAGTTCAGCCTTGGATTTCTCACTCGCCATTCTCTTGTCTGGTCGAATTCCATGTAACCACTTCTTGTTGGTTTCCAGACCCATCTTGCACAACGAATTGTGTGGCAGAGATGCCCTGCAAGATTCTCGAGGGAGGCTCTGAGACTCTGCACATGACCCGTTCTTCAGGGGTTTCTTTGTGCGAAATACCATCGTCCTTTGAGCTCCAAGGCTCACATTAGCAATGAAAGTATTAGGAATGATATCCAATGTTTTGTCACTGTGCTCAGAGATGTTATCACTCCCATCGCGATAGAATTGAATCAGTACGTGGTTTAGAGAATGGCCAAGTCTTTTCTCAACTATCTTCTTGATAGTTTCGACTGTAGGTGAAAATGATAGGAGAGCAGGCGATTCATCTGCCGGGTGACGATATATCGGAGTACTACCATCTTCTTCGATTTGACCCTGAACCGCTACAAGCCTCGGTACCTCACCACCCTGGTGACCCATCTTCTGCCAAAGGACCTCGTCCCGAATTTTCTCGAAAATCCCGCTTGCCAACGTATCGGGCAGAAGGTTTTGGATGACCGTTGTATCACCTTCACAAAAAGCAGCCCTGTCGGTCAATGCGTTCTCTTCGTCTTTTGGCATCTCGTCAAGAGATTTCTTCTTTGATGGAGGTTTTAGTTGGAGTTCCTCCTTCTCGATTGCCGGGAGCTTTGAGCTAGACAGAGCCCCTTCAACTATGTTTGGTGAGTTTGACGAGTCAGGTGACGGAATTTTTGAAGATGCTAGACTGCGTTGCTTTGATGGGATAGAGGGATCTTCTACTTCCACAGGCTTTGCAGTGTGTCGACGTGATTTCACTTTCGACTTAACTTTTTCTCTCTTTTTGGCTTCTGCTTCCAGTTCTGCTGGTGGTTTCGCTCGTCGAATTTGTGATCGCAGGAGTTGACTAGTGATTTCGAAATCGTCTTCGATGGCTGCCGTCGATGACGGGGCTTTGACGGTGATGACTTGCGGGTCTTCTGCTTCTAGCTTTAAGTTCCCCATTAGATTTTCAATCTCAGTATTTCGAGATTCTTTTGGCTGTGGCTCTCTAGGTTTAGGACGAGATTTCTTACTGGAAGTCGTTCTCCTTTCAGCGACCTTCTTTTGCTTCTGTAGGCTTTCAATGAGGTCCCCGCTACTTATGACATCGCACCCCGTGTAGGCTCTGAGCTGACGTAAAGCTTCGTCATGTCTAGCTTTACTCCTGTACCCCAGACAATCCTCAATTATGGTTATGGCATAACCGTGGCGAGCAGCGTCCATTGCCGTGGCAAATACACTGACATTTGTAAGAGCCCCAGCTATGTAAATCTCCGTCACGAACTTGCCCCTTAACTTTTGGACTAGACTACCATCTTTGAATGCGGAATAGTATGTTTTGTTGAATACCAAGTCTTTCGTAGAGATGGGCGCAAATGCATCTGAAATGGCTGAACCTCTCGAATTGGGTTTTAGCATGCGTACTTTGCCTTCGCATTGAATTGTCAAAAAAGCTTCCGCTGCATCCCCCTCACTGCTAGCTACCGAAGGCTTGCTTTCCTCATTGGACACGGACTCACTTTCGGGAATCACTTTGTCGCGTCGACGTCGTAGAAGCTCGTTATCCGTTATGATGGCCTCGCTATCATTGTGCGGTTGATTGACTATCCTCGAAACCCCCTCCGTGGATATGCTGCATATCCATATTATGTCACCAGAAGGACGGAAAGGCTCGATAAGATTCCTTATATTGTCGATATAGCTCGGGGGGGTTTCGACCGGCAGCAGGCTCTCTTCTCCTATAAAATCGTTCTGCAGATCTAGGAGTAGTAGGGCCTGGCGCGTTCGTATGAACGGCATAGTTTGTTCGTCAATTTCAAACATTTGGGGCAACCTATGATGGATATCAATCAAAGTGTTTTCAGACGAATCGACTTTTCTGGATATAGAAGATTTAAAGGTTGGCACTGTGTGCTACGGGCTGCACGACTCTATATGTTGTGTGTTCTAGCTAAGAAATATCCATTGCTTACATTGGTCATTATTCAGAAAGACCACCAAGAGGTAGGAGCAACGTCGATGCGTATGTAGCACCGCATGATGCTGTAAGATTCCGTAGGCAACCGGCACTGCAAATAATATGCACGGATCTGGTTTCAATCGAATAACAGACAATGTGACATTGGGTAGTACATAGGCGAATGCGAGAGACGGAATTCTCTTGGTTAGTCGATACGATGGAAAAGATTATTGTTGTATGGATGATTTGGATCTTGACATTTAGAGTTAGAGCGGAAATGAAATAAACACAAGCAAGCAAGCAAGCAGCTGGAATGTTTCTGTTCTGATAGAAGAAAAAAGAGGATAAGGAACACGGGCCCCCGGCAATGATGACAAACTAATCCTTTTCCGATCATTTTACCAACATTTTTGATGAGTGATGAGGATATACTAGGTATCTCCTACCTAGTAGGTACTCGAGTAGGTACTAGGTGATTGAGACATAATGCATCTACCAGGTATCGAACAGACATGGGTAACACATGGTTAGAGTGAAAAGTAGGGGAGAAGGAGTGAGAACAGAACTCAATTGATTGGGGTCTTGTCTTATTTTTTCTTTCTGATGGATCGATATTATCTTAGCGTACACAATTAGATTGATCAACCGTTGAGAACAGAGTTAACCGTTGATCTTCCCTCCCGGCCCCCTTCTCCCCTCCACTCACTCCCCCTTCCCTTCCCTTCCCTTGCCTTGCCTTGCCTTCCCTTGCCTTGCCTTTCCTTTGACAGTAGACTAGGAGAATAAGCTAAGAGCCCTATCTACTAGGTCCTATCTACTAGGTAGTATCTGTAGACAGTTAGACAGTTAGACACTAGTAAAATGACTTCAAACGCTCAACCCTCGCAACATAGCGAGCATGGCCCTTTTCAACATCGGCCTGTTTCTTTGGCTTCTTATTTTTCCTGCAGATCAACGCATACGGAATAAATCTCATGTTGCGTATCAGTATTATCATGCCACTCGCATCTCTCACCTATAGCCATTGACCATTGACCAACGGTATGAAGAACGCACACACAGAAATATGTGCTACAACATATAAGCAGGTTACATAACCCGACACCGTACGCAGCCTACGAATCAAATCATCTTGTGTATCAATCTACACACTCTCACCGTAAAGCCACTCACCGTCATATAGACTTCAATCAAACCGTGAGATTCCATACGGTCCTTTGTACGAGTGAGCATTGTAGTCTGTACGTTCGTAAGGAATAATCTCGGAATCCAAGTAGCGGAGATCGTAAGTGAAAATAACGGGGTCTGATTTGATACGACAGGGGAATTTTGTCCGATGGAATAAAGCGAAGCGCCAAGAAGAACCTTTCGATGATACCATTAAACCATGTGTCTGATAGGGGGGGCGGGGAGAGGAGACATCAGAGAGTATTGATTGGTTTCGTGTTGTGAAGTTTGTGCTTTCTTGCATTGCACCGGATCCATTTCCTTTGCATTGTAATACGCACTTCTGTTGCGCATGTAGCTTGTAGGTAGTAGGTATAGTCACTTCACACGAACAATCATCTTCCAAGGTAAGGTGTTTGGTGTGTATGACGGATGTCTAATGGAAAAAGAAACACCCGTTCAACACTACATGGTATTTCTCTTCTCCCTCTCCCTCTCCCTCTCGTTCTCGTTCTTCTGGCCCCACAGCTCAACGATACCCAGCTAGAGCTTGAGCGTTAAACCGTTGAGAAATCAAGAAAACCCCCTTCGACACAGCCATCGGAAGTTTCAACTAATCATCCCAGACTCGTTTGATAGATGTCAGTTAAAACACCCCCACAAATTAAAAAAAAACCTTGCACTTACGGTCTGGTCTGTACACTGAAGCATCATATGATCAATCATCAAGATTTCATCGAAACAATTTCATTATGATCTTCGCACTACTGCAGTGCTGTTGTCGATCTACCTGCAGCTTGAGTTACGGGGCTCGAGCGGGGGGAAAGTGTGGTGTGGATGATACTGGATATATGTGCATTGTCATTGATATGATTAAGTTTTTAACATTTTGGTTCATTTGCATGAAGGTTCGACAGGCACAAATGCTTATTGCCAACTGTCAAAACTACTCAGCCGTCCACTTGCATATATCTCGTCGGCTATCTTCTGACAATCGATTGATATGGAAGTATTTACCTTATTTAACAATTAGAGTTGACAGGCTTGGAAGACCAGGATGGTGGATTGTATTACTGGGAAACAAAGTATCGCCAACATTCAGAGTTTATTCATCCAAAAGCCTCACATTCGCATGGACAATATTCCTCGCAACTCCTGACCTGCAGAGTCGTATTCGGGGACCAAACGGCTCAAAGGGGACCTTGAATAGCCAGATGTAAGGTTGCAGTGGAGAGAAGGTTTTATGCTTAAAGTTGGATATATCACTTGATATCGATATGAATTTTAGATCAATTCTCTTGGCTCAATTTCTCGACTTCAGGTGTCAAACTTCCCCCTCGATAAAGAGGGGAAGGAGCTTGAAAAGCTACCCCGCGAAAAGACGGAAAGTATGATCACGTGCTATCGAGCTTCGAGATACCGAGGCTCGGTGATGTTGAGGTCAAGTTGGCCGACCATCTATCTCAAGCTTCAGTATTACAGTTGTAATTCACAAAGAGCTTATTGACTTACAACACTTATCTTCGAAATTGCATACCTAGGAATTTGCATCTATCTGTATTAATCTTCTTTAGGAGTATATCTTACAAGTTAGTGACTTGATTAGCAATCCAATCAGCAATCCAAAACACAAGCAAGCAGCAGAAGCCTGCCCATTGCAACTCCCAAACCAACAAAATGGCCTCTTCAAACCCTCCCTACAAATACTTTCTCGTCACATACCCAGCACCATACATCGCACATGTGCAAATCAACCGTCCCGAGAAACTCAATGCCTTTTTCGAAGCAATGGTAAGGCGCCCCTTGACCACAACCCGCACTACCACCTCAATCATTCGCTAACCCCTAAATCTAGTGGCTTGAATTCCGCACTATTTTCGACACTCTCTCCTATTCTCCCGACGTGCGCTCCATCATACTATCCGGCGCTGGCGAACGCGCATTCTCGGCTGGTTTGGATGTAGAAGCCGCTGCACAAGATGGCGTTTTAGCCGAAAAAGAAGGAAGAACTACAGATGTAGCGCGAACAGCGCAAGCTATCAAACGTCACGTCGAAGAATTCCAAGCCTGTATAAGCAGTGTCGAGAAATGCGAGAAACGTATGTTCCCCCTCTCCTATTCTTTTCCTTTCTTGGGATGAACAATTGAATCAATCTAATCGCATCAAATAGCCGTGATCTGTGTTCTGCACGGCTACTCCCTCGGTCTCTCAATCGATATATCTACCTGCGCTGATATCCGCATCTGCACCTCGGACGTCAAGATGGCCGTGAAGGAAGTAGACATCGGACTCGCCGCCGATATTGGTACCCTCTCTCGCCTTCCAAAGGTCGTCGGTTCTTTCAGCTGGGTCAAAGACGTATGTCTCTCTGCCCGCGTCTTCGGAGCTGAAGAAGCGCTGCGAGTAGGTTTTGTGACGTATGTTGAGCCTTCAAAGCAAAAGGCGATCGACAAAGCGCTCAGTATTGCGAAATTGTTGGCGGAAAAAAGTCCAGTGGCCGTGCAGGGTACGAAGGAACTTTTGAATCACGCGAGGGATAATCGATTAGCGGATAGTTTGAGATATACGGGGGTTTGGAATAGTGCGGCGATCCAAACGAAGGATGTTAAGGATGCGATGTTGAGTGGATTGCAGAAGAGAAAGCCTACTTTTGAGAAACTTTGAGGGGGGTTGGAGGACAACAGATCACAATAATTTGAAATGTCAAATTTCAGGAATAAGAGAGATGAATTATTCCACTTCAAAGCTTTTCGGGGGCGTCTCCCATTGCTGCACTAAAAAGATGGAAATAACATACAACACTTAAAGCTGCAAGATAGCACAGGAGATAAATCTTTAACATATAAGCTCTCTGATGAGAATTCAAAGAAGCAAGCAAGAAAGAGACACACTCGAAAGCACACTGCCTATGTAGACTTATTCAATCTCACATTCACATACCACAAAGCTACAACGCTGTATAATCTTCCCAAAATCAAATGCATACAGAGCATCAAAGTATTGCGACCATTCAATCTCTTTCTCTGCTGCTTCAAACGGTTAATCACTCTTCTCATTTCACCATCGTTTCTTCTCCTATTCCTCTCACTCTCACTCTCTCACTCTTCCCCTCCCTCTCTCATTCCAGAATCCTCACAAGACAACTTTAATCTGGCCTCCTCACCCACTCTCCATATCTTATCACATTCCCATTCGCATTCACATCCTCCATTCACCAGCACCCAAACAATCTAACAAAATCAATCTCATTGTCCTCATTAATCTCGCTAGTCTCACAAGTGTCACTGATTTCCCCAAAATTGGTTCTTGTGCCTTGTGAGCTCTGGTATCCGCTCCAAAGTAAACTCCTTCAGCTACTGGCTGGTGATTGACAGAACTCTTCGTGTTTCTCTCTCAAAGTTTCTCAAGAATAATTCCCAAGAACAACATTGATGCTCCTTCTTTTGACATGATTCTACCTGCCTGCCTGTTCTTGGTTATCCAGAATAGCTTTAAAGATGCCAGTTTTATCAAATTTCTTTCTTTGTTGCATGCCTATCTCTTGATTGACCATTATACTTCGCTTGTGCCAATATTCAAGTGGTGTCATTTCAAATCTATATCCAGAGAAGCCAAGAAAATATATACCCTTTTCAAAAACGTCTCACAATCGAACCACCAAGTCACCGCTGTCAAGAAAACTCAAGATTTTTATGATATAAACCAGCTTTCGATTGTATCTCAAATATCTAGGTACTAAGTAGCTATCTCGTTTGAAATTCCAAATCGCAGCAATTTATTTTTATTTCCGTCCTGTCCTATTATAACAACCATGTGCTTTCATCGCTTTTTTGATGGTATCCTTGCCGATTCGAGCACAAGTATCCATGAATGATCGCAACCAATAGGGAAAAAAAGTAGATCCGAGCCAATACTACGGTAGCACCAGCCTATTCACCTGCATTCAACAATAGAGTGACCTTGAACTTCTTCGTTTGAAATTTGAACCTCATCCCACCACGCCGAAGAGTAAGTGAGACAAGCAAGCAGCTTTTCGTGAGAGAAGTCGAACAAACTTGTCATCTACCAACCGCCGTCGCCTGAAACCTCTTGACCACCACCACCAGTAGCCCAGTTGTCGTCACCGCCACCAGCAGCAGGAGCAGAATAGTCATCATTAGCCGCATCGCCACCTCCATAGTCACCGCCATTTGCTGTGGCATCACCATCACCGTAGCCGTTGGCATCGCCAGCAGCGTCCTCCTCGGCAACTGGCTCCTTGCAGCGAACCTTAGTGTGACCCACTAATGTATGTCAGTACGTCGCGAAGAACAAAGACCTGGGAGACGCGAAGATTTACTTACTCTGCTTGCAGTTCTGGCATTGAACGCGAGAATAGTCACGAGGCTTTGGGCATTCCTTACCGGTATGTCCCTGTTCATGTTAGTAGGCTTTCTCAAGTTAGATGAAAAGAGATCGAGGCATCTAACTGACCTCTGCGTCACAGTTGCGACATATCATGACACGCTCATTTGTACAATCCTTGGCTGTAAGCAAGAAAATTAGCACACTTGATAGCTAGTAATAAATTGCTACATGACTTACCTCTATGACCGGGTTGGTTGCAATTTCTGCAGAGACCACCATCGCCCCCACCACCAGTTGGGCAGTCACGAGAGAAATGGCCAACTATGTTATGTTAAAAAGACTAAAATATGAGAGGAGGTTGAAGAACTTACTCTCATTACAATTCTTGCATTCAACACCCTCGGCGGAGCGTGGCTCTGGGCCTAAGTTCGATGTTAGCTTTCTTTATGGAACGCGAGGATATTGCTGAACTTACACTCCTTGGAACTATGACCAGATTTCTTGCAGTTGCGACAAGCGAACTTATCCTCACGAGGAATTGGGCAATCACGAACACGATGGCCACTACTCCAAAGTTAGTATGCTTAAAGGAATGCCAGTGTAATAAAACTTACATTTCATTACAGTTGAAACACTGAACTTGAACACGTTCGCCTTCAACTCGCTCTTCGGCGCAATGCTTTGAGGTATGACCAAGCTCATTGCAGCGGGAACAGAGAGGAACACCACGATCAACAGGCTCCCCAGCATCAGCAAGACGCTCCAAGTTTTCCTCCGGGGTAGCTGGCCAGCTCTCCTTCTCCTTGGGGCGGTTGTGCTTGCTCGATTTGCGCCAAGAAACAGAATACTTGCGGTCGAGGTTGCCCTGCAAGTCCATGTTAGTGAAGGTCTGGGTGAGTTCCTTCTCCATGGCAATGAGATAGATGGGAATGTTCTGAGTACGGAATGCATTCTCCAATTGAACATAGGTAGCATCTGGAGAAGCCTTGATGTATTTCATGACCTCATACTTCATGTCGTCGAAGTCACCTTCTTGAGATTGCTTGATAAGATTTTCCCAAGCAACTTCAGCTGCGACATCTTCGACGTCGTTGCGCTCTATCTTGCGAGGATTCTTGCACTCAAGGATTGAATGGCCTGCAATAAAGGTCAGCCTCGGTGAAAGTTTCTAAGAGATATTAAATTTGAACCTACCTTCCTCCTTACAATTATTGCAGAGCTTGGGTGGAGCAGAAGGGCAATCAGATGCGCGATGACCCGATTGCTCACAGATGCGACAAGTTCCGGTGAACTCGCGAGCAACTGCGGGATTAGTGCATTCTGCCTTATTATGTCCCTCCTCACCACAGTTGTAGCATGGACGAGCCTTCGGAGGTTGTGTACATTCGGCCTTGGAGTGACTGATGAAAAGTGAGTTAGCGGCGTAATGAAAAACTGAAACATTAGAAACAGTACCCTTCTTCACCACAGTTGAAGCAACCTCCACTGCGACCACCACCGCCGCCTCCATTTTCCTCACCACCACCATATCCGCCATAGTCGTTACCGGCGTCATCATTGAATTCATCTGCTGCATGATGTTCGGAAGAACCAGTTGCAGGAGCGTCATCCCACTCTCCACCGCCTCCACCGCTGACTACTGCAGTGTCTCCAGTGCCCCAATCATTACCACCGGCAGGAGTTTCCCAAGACATTTTGAAGGACTTGAGCGCTGCAAAGATTTGATTTTGATCTGTGAAAAGAAATTAGTCGTGTGTTGAGAAAAATGGTAAAAGGTGAAAAAAATGCGCAAGATGTACCAACTTAGGTATTGCTCCAACTCAAAGACCTTCTTAAAGTTGGTATGGAGAAGTAAATCGAGAGACAAGTAATAAGTCAAAGAGCTTAAGAAGTCAAGCTGATAAGCAAGACCACACAAGCGCACGCGAAAGGAGTGTTAATAAGAAGAGAAGGGAGAGAGACGGAAAGCTTTGTAGTTGTGAAGAAAAGAAAGATCGAGAGGATGAAGGCAAACACTTAAAAAGGTGGGGTCCAACTCAAGTGAATTGGCTCCCAATCAAGAAAGTGCGACTTTGATTTTCCCCTCTTCCTAACCGATCTGAGGTATCTTCAAGTAAGTACGCACTTGAAGGATCGTAGATTGCGTTGATTGAAAATATAAGAGGGTAGTTGCAACAAGTCAAAAGTGGCTTTGAAGTGTGCTTTCGAGTGAATTTGAAAGGAAAAAGGAAGGAGATGGAGAAGGAGATGGAGATGATTTTGGTGATTGTGGGGTTCTTCTTTTCCCTCAAATTGAGAGATCGAGAGAAAGATGCTCGCAATAAGAGGAATACATGCTTGAAGGTATACAAGATGTGATAAAAGAAAAGATACATGAAGTTCTTGTATGTGTTTTGGGAACACGACGTAAAAGTTTTCTGTTTGAAGAAGGAAATATTGGTGGAGAGATGATGATTTACTTACAGATTTTGGTATGAATTCGCAGACAAGAAGATCGTGAAGGACTCTGCGATCTCAATATCAGTTAAGGAAGGAAGTATCTTGATGGATTCCTTTTGTTGGATGGGAAAAAGAGAAATTTGAAGAAGTTGTTGTTGTGGGAAAGAATGAAGAGGAAAGTGCAGAGAAGGGGAGCAGATGCTTTACTTTGAAAGGCGGCAGGTATCTAGCGAATTTGTGTCCAATCTCTTCCAATCAGAGGTTCAGATGAATGTTAGAAAGGAAGCTAGTCATGATCTTTCAACTCTTATTCAAAATTACAACAATCAAGAACTTGATCCCCGCAAGAATATTGATGGGGTACACCCCGAGTCAAAGTCGTGATAAGATTCTATCATAGATCATGAAAATGAGACTGGAAATGGTACCTTGAAGTCTTTGTGATCCCCTTCATTATTGAAAGCCTCCTTACTTCTTCGGTTCGAGGGCCAATGAGCATCTTCGTCAAAAGTGTGATGCATTTCAGACATACCACTTCACCAGCACTATTTTTGAGCACTTGCCATTAGATTGTATTGAATTTTTGGACCTCTACAGAGATACATAGAAGACTTCCTTTTATCTTTCTGTTCTTCCACTGACGTAATTGATCAGATGAAATTGTGTCAACAGATAAGTTTCATTACTTGAGTACTTGAAAAGATTATTTGGCAAGACATCTATGGATTTCCTCTGACCGCAACCTGCATCGTTACAGAAATAAAACTGATTTATACCTTTTAAGACAGTGTATCAAGAAGTCTCAACCTTTGACGCCCAACGTTTCATACACAAAAATGCCTCTACTTCTTGTTATCCTGTCACTTCGCAGGCTTACCTTAACATTCAGGTAGAGCGAAGCCTACCAGCAGAATGACATAGGCATGCAAGATAAGAGATACTGTTGGGATGAGATAGAAGAGTCCTAATGCTCTGGAACGCAGCAAGTATTCTCCATCTCCTTTGAGTTTAGAATGTCAAACAAACGATACGGTACTTACGCAGAGAAGTTGTCGTTACAAAATCTGATCCTAGTATTACCAATTGAATCTAAGAAGGCTTACCAAGTACTTATCAATACCTACTTGAGGTAAACCTAAGATTTCAAAAGACTCTTGATGATTGGTTGATAGCTCATCGGCTTCTTCAGCCATCCAAGAAAGAGATCCCAACACTGCCACAGCACGGAAATCACACGAGACTTCAACACTACTTCCTACATCTCTTTGCATATGAATAAATTCCCTACTGATCTTTCTAAACAGAACGCGCAATGATCGACTTTGCATGTCTAAAGTTTTCTCATTCCATCAGCGTCGTTGAACCTTTCCTCCTCACTCCAAGCCTGCTTACGATCCCCGAATGCGGAAAACTGAGGACCTAGCGAGGAATTGCGAGGGATTGCAGGGATTTGGAACCTGGCTATATTACTGGATGTTATTATATGTGCTCACCAGATACTCTAAGTTTTGTCAGCTTAGAAAAACGAATAGTCCGCTGGTGATGTTGTATAACAGATTTCTTTTTGTAGTCTACCCATCATGATAGTTCCCGGCTAGCACAGGATGTCCACGATTGTGACTTCCCCGGACCTCTATCGAGGTTAAAAGAAGGTTTTCGACCAATTTCGACGCCGTTCCTAAGATATGTGGAGCTCATGACTAAGATTAGTCCTTCTGTCACATTGGCTCAATTGGCTGCTTAGTTCAACGGCGTCGGTGCATGTTCATCCGAGCTACCTGACGGCTAAAGCAGAATCTCGACGCCCAAAACTGATGACATTCAAGAATTGATCAAAACGATAGTATCTACGTAGCCATTGATCATTACCTAGGCTCGGAGTATCCCACTCTTCGGATAGCGATAAGCAATTGGACCTAGGTAAGTTTTGATATGTAACAATGAGAGAGCCCCGCTTCGACATGCCCCCGCTATATCACGACATCTTCGAAGGGTAGATATTTTCTGCAAGTTGGATTCTGTTTCTTTACACCTTGAAGTATCTCCAAGAATCTCTCAATTCCTCTCGCATTTTCTATTTTTCCGAAGAAATAACACAATCATCCTTCAAAATGGTGCCAGTTCCAGAAGACCTCCCAGAGATGGAATACAGATACCTAGGCCCATCTGGTCTCCAGGTATCTGCCATCTCCCTTGGTGGTTGGCTCACATATGGTGGCCATGTTGAAAAAGGTATAGCTTCTGAACTTCTTTGGGTTCATTGCAGAATTAACGTACATTAGAAAACACATTTGCATGCATGAAAGCTGCCTATGATGTTGGAGTCAACTTCTTTGATTGTGCTGAAGGTTATGCTGGAGGGGAGTCTGAAAGGGTAATGGGTGAGGCCATCAAAAGATTTGGATGGAAAAGAAATGATCTTGTTATCTCGACAAAAGTACCTCTCCATATCCCTACATTTTTACCCAATAAGCTTACAGGAGGCAAAATAGATTTACTGGGGTCAAGCCAATGGCGAGAAACTTGTCAATAACATCGGTCTCTCCCGCAAACGTATCATCGAAGGCACTCACCTCGCTCTCGAACGTCTCCAATTGGAATATGTAGACCTCATCTATGCTCACCGACCGGACCGCGCTTGTCCTATGGAAGAGACCGTCCGGGCATTCAACCACCTCATCAACACCGGCAAAGCATTCTACTGGGGAACATCCGAAGTAAGCCCCACAACCCCTCAAAGTTAATTTCCATTGCACCCTCAGAACTAACCCCTCCATAGTGGACCGCCGCCGAGATCGCCTCCGCCCACGCCGTCGCCCAACGCCTCAACCTCATCGCCCCCATAATGGAACAACCACAATACAACCTCCTCGCCCGCCAAAAAGTCGAGGGTGAATTCCTCCCCTCTACAACGAGTTTGGTCTCGGTTTAACCACCTTTTCCCCTCTCAAATTCGGATTCCTTACCGGAAAATACAACACCGGTATCCCCTCCGATTCCCGTCTCGGAACATCCAAAGACGCCTTCGCCGACCGCATGAGAGCTAAATCCGGGGACGATTCCTGGAAAGAAGATGTTGCCGCCGTCGAAAAACTCATGCCTATTGCGGAGAAACTCAATATTAGCATGGCTAATTTGGCTATGAGTTGGGTGTTGAAGAATGAGAGAGTTAGTAGTGCGATTGCCGGGGCAAGTAAGCCGGAACAGGTATTCGAGAGTGTGAGGGCGTTGAAGATTAGAGAGAAATTGACCCCAGAGATTATGAAAGAGATTGATGATGTTTTAGGTAATAAACCGGAGCCATTGGCTAAGAGATATGTTTAGATCAATTCATGGGAAGGCTAGGTTGGGAATTTATAAAAGTTACATAGATGACGGTGAAGGTGTGGAAATGAAAGATAGCGATATCTTATACTACATATTTCCTTGGTTTCCCACGTAGACACAAAGCTTTGAATAAATATGAACTACTCAGATAAAATCAAATGAATCTCTAAGATTTATGGTATTGCTTACTTCACATGTCATTCGGCCTGGGTACCAAAATCTACCTAAATATGTGCAAGAAGTTGCGAATAAACTTAACTGGTCCATCTCATCCATTTTGACCCCAAATCATGTCGTACTGCTTCATTACTTTCACCACTCTCGCATCCTGCAGATACAATCATACAGATCAATAATTATACACCACCAAAACCTCTCCAGCAAAACTCATCTTTTTTTCACACCCCCTCAGATGAATCAAAATTCCCCATCAAAAATCTTCCTTCCACCCATTTATTTCTTCCCCTTCTTTGCACTAGCACTCGCCTTCTTGGCTGGCTTCTTCTTGGGTTTTTCCTCTTCCTCATCTTCGTCATCAATCATACTATCATCTTCATTACTCTTAGCCTTCTTCTTTGCTGGCTTCTTGGCTGGCTTCTTTTTAGGCTGCTTAATATATTTATCCTTTTTCAAATCGGTCTCTTCATCATCGTCGACAGGTTCTGCAATGACTTCTCCGTCATCTTCTTCCTCGAATGCTTCTTCCAAATCTGGTTTCACGGCAGCGACCTTGGCGGGTTGGAAGACATTACTTGCTTTCATAAATGGAACAGGATGGGAACGTGCGTTGTAGCTTTGGTTCGTCAGTATTGTTAAATTTGAGAAGAATTAGTGGAGACTTACGATCGGGTAAAATTGGCTTTAGTTTGGGTTTCCAATTTGATACTTTCCATATCTTGTTCTCCGACACCCAGTTCCATGATGTAATCCCAGTCCTCCCTAGTCAAGAAATAACTATCCATGAGATCGATCACATCTTCCACGGAATCTCTGCCCTCAACATCGAGTCGGCGAATGAGTTTGTCCCAGAGAACGGGTAAATATTGTTGACGAATTTCATGACGGTCTCCAGAAGATCGCAGTCGCATGTGTGATTGGATTTCCTTCACATAACGAGATAATTTCCCATGCTTGCTATTGTTACCAAGCCAAGATGTAAAATTGGTTCTTCCGATCATCGAACCAGATATAAAGCTTGATGGTCGAACTGTACTGAAGACTGCGTGTGTAGGCATAAGAGACCATTGTTGTTGGGACCCGTGAATCATTCGATCAACTAAGTCACCATCGCTAATACTCTCTGCTGCTTGGTCTACAAGCTGAAGTACTTTAAGTCTCTGCTCTTTAGGTGTGTCGGAGCTGCTGGCTAGTTGTGGCTTGGTATTCAGGTAGTTTTCTTGGATCATCAAGGGTGTAAATTCATGATCGTTGAAGTAAAGCTCGATCTTGTCGTTCAAGGTAGATTTGCTAGCAGGAGAAAACATATGACCACCAAGGAGCTGACTAGTGATGTCCCATGGCTTAAGAACAATATGCTTTTCCCAAGCTTTTGACATTTCCTTGCCTTGGTCAAAATTCATGGCTGTTTGATCAAGTTTGACGGTAGATATCATATTGATGATCTGTCGGATATCCTTATTGCTGCCTTCGATAAGTGCATCAATGACTTGAACGGGGAGCTTCATGCCTTCTCGATGGCAGATGGTAGCGATACGTGAACGAACCATATCAACCGTAGGTCTCCTGAATGGCATGTCGAATGTCACAAAATCAAATGGCTTCATTTTCGGAAGCTTACGGTCATTACAGATCAATATCATGGGGATATCGGTCGTCTTGCAGATTTTGGCGAGAGCTCCTACACCACCTCGATCTCCAGATGACATACCATCGACTTCATCCATGATTAAGACCAATTTCTTCTTAGTCTTATCGACATCTTTCCCATCGCCGGCGAAATAACCTAGAACGGAAGTGTTGTTCAGTACTTCACTCAGCCCAGTTTCAACGAGTTTTTTGCTTCGAACATCACTAGCGTTTCTCTCTAGTATATCATAACCAGCAAGTTTGGCAGCCAAATGTGCCGCAGTCGTTTTTCCGATTCCTGGCGGACCATGGATAATGATGGCTCTGTAACCTCCAAGCCCATCCGCACCTCTCTTTTGAAAATTGTACTTGTGCGCAGTTTCCCATCCCTTAAGCCAAGCCTGGATCTTCTCAACTTGACCTTTGTTACCACAAATTTGATTCATTTGCGTTGGGGCATACTTTGTAGTCCACAGTTGTGATGATGTTGGCACTATCGCTTTGCGGGGAGCTGCTGGTATAGATGATTTTCCTTTTGCTGCGGCAAGCTTTTGAGCTTCCTTTTCTGCTTTCTCTAACTCCGCAGCCTTTCTCCGCTCCTCTCTATCCATCTCAGCTGCGTCTTCTCGGATCTTCTTTTCTTCAGCTGCTTTCTTTTCGTTGTTCTTCTCCGCAGCCTTTCCGTCGCCACCATTAGCAGGCAGCGTTCTTAAAAGATGAAATATACCATTTTCATCAATGGTCTTAATTTTTAAAGTTTCTATCTTTCTAAGTTTACTCGGGCCAGCATCTTTTCCAAGTACAACGAAATTTGTTTTGCTGCTTGGCGCACCGGTGATTTTGCCTCCATATCGCTTGACGAGCTCTATTCCCTCATCTCTTGAGATTGTGTCAAGCATTCCCGTAAAGACAAATGTCAAACCTACCAGGCAGTTTTCAGCACCTTCAGGAATTTCCGCACAACCTGCAGCTGGAGGGGCGCCTGAGTTGCCCCCACCTCCACCAGCTCGCCAATCAAACTTGACACTGTCATCTTTCGGAGGAGGAGTTGGGGCTCGAACTGTTGGAACGCTGTCTAGAATTGCCTGTATACTCGAGCTTTCTGGAGCGGATGCTTTCTTGGGTGGGGCACGCGGTTTTTTGGCGGGTGGTGGCTTTGAGCTCTTGCTAGTAGAGGGTTTCTTAGCCGGAGCAACGTCTTCCTCGTCCTCGGATTCTAAGTCGATAGATTTACGCTTCTTGCCATTCACAGCAGAACTCGTCCCGGGCTTCTCAACTATCATCATGTCGTCATCGTCATCGTCATCATCAGGCACAACAAAAACGTCGTCATCGCATACATCTTTCATTTTGGTGTCTTTATCTTTTGTTGTTGGCGCAGACTTCGACTTTGACACAACTCTTTTAGGCTTTGGTAGGACCTCTTCGTCGCTGTCAATTTCGACATAACCGTCGTCCTTTCGCTTGCCTGTCTTTTTTGCATCTGCTGCGAATATATCATCGTCGTCATCGAAGTCGTCATCATCTTCGATCACTTTGTATGTTGTAGAGGCCGTTTTCCGAGTAGAAGATCGAACATTTGCTTCAACTGGCGGTGGTTTTGCCTTGACAGGAGTCGATTTTACTTGTTTAGCTTTGGGTTTATTGCTCGAAGCAAAGAAGTCATCCGCGGTCGTTTCCTTTCCCTCAGGCTCTTCATTTTTTCTAAATTTTCAGGTCAACAATGTAAAAAGAGGCAGGACTGGGCAATCATACATTGGTTTCTTAGGCGCAGCTTTTTTGGGTTCGGGCTTTTTGGGCCTGGAAGACTTTAGTAGGAGCTTAGCAGGATTGCTTTGAGAAGCATACAACGGTTCTTCGTCATCTTCGCTATCTTCAATAACCTTGCGACTTTCTATGTTATATGAGTATCATTAAATAACCCGAGAGATTTGAGCCACTTACTGCTCTTCTTTTTCTTAGAATCTTCCTCCTTCTTGCTCTCCTTTCCTCGAATGGGTGTAGCCGTAGAAGTTCCAGGTTTACCTCCAAAGAAGCTTCTAATATCCGCAGGCATACTGGGCGGATTCAGCAATAGCTCGCTTTGGAAATATCACGAGTTTTACAGAAAAAAAATTCGTTGATAGAAGCAATTGCTATAAGAAAATGATGCTGTGAAGTAGCTTGTATCTTTTTGGTTACCTACAGTATGGAATACGCGACGACCCGACGCGGAAGTAACGCGTTGCCACTTTAAATTGATTTTACTCGAAAATTACTGCGGCCTCAAATATTAGGTAAACAAATTGAACCATCGAATTTGAGGATCTAGGATTTCTTTAGATTTAGTCGACAATAACGTCCATAGCCATCAACCATGAAGCCTCAAAGTTTGCAGAGCTTCACGGCTCAATTTGGGAGGCTTTCATTAGCCTCCAACACAATCCGACCTCTTGGTCCCATCCTAGCCCAAGCCTCAGCTTTCTCCGCACCTTCGAACCACACTTCTCCTCAGTCTTATCGCCCATTTTCTAGCACAGCCGTCAATTCAGGCAATTGGCTTCTGCCTACCATGCCAGAAAAAAAAAGATCACGGAAAGGAAGACCCCGTGTGCCGACGGGAGGATCAGCTAGAGGTACCACTTTAGTATGGGGGGAATATGGATTGCGAATGTGCGATCATCATCGCCGTGTTAGTGCGCAGCAATTGAAGGTCGGAGAGGATGCTATTAAGGTCAGACTAAAGGGTATGAGATATCGATTGTATAAGAGAGTTGCTGCCCAAATTGGTGTATACAGCAGTGGTAACGAGGTAAGCACATGCGCCAGGGATATATTTAAGATTACGAGAATAGAGGCCTAATGGTTTCATAGGTTCGTCAAGGTAAAGGAAAAGGTTCCTTTGATCACTGGGCTTCCAGAATTGCTGTCAGTAAGATTATATTTGAGTTGAAAGGAGATGTGCACGAACAGGTCGCAAGAGATGCGTTTCGATTAGCAGGTAATAAAATGCCAGGTCAGTAAACATGAACCTCATATTCTTCTCATATACTGATTTGTAAAAATATAGGTCAATATGAGTTTGTCAAGAAGGGGGACCCTCCGGTTGTTGGAATCACAAAGCTGGATGGAGTCACAATGGAGGAGTTGAAGAGACCAAGAAGAAAGATACCTTTAGATTCGATACCTGTCGGTTCTACTGCAGAAACTTTGCCATCTAGTGTGTCCACGTCGACCTCACCGGATGCTTAGGACGAGGAAATGTATATTGTATCATAGAGCGTATTGGCATCTCTAGCCCACAAATGAATGGAGATGTACAAAATAACACTCCAGATTGCAGTAAATAAAAGACTAGATTAAGGATATGCGGTTTCATGCAGAGGTCTTAGTATACTGTCATTTCTAGATGATTTAGAACAGTCGACGTCCTCTCTTCTAGATATGTCGAATGCAACATGGCCAAGGAGCATCAAACCACAATGTCAATACATATTGGCAACTCAGGGCTTCCCAAGAAACAGAACTACGAACTTGTAAATTCCGTTGTGATGTCAATGAAGATTATTTTTAATATAATAAAATACTCCATCCCCAAACCGAAAGCAGGCTTCAACAATCAGTCGTATCGAACGCCACAAATCCCTGTCTGACGCCAGTGCCTTTATCCCAACGTGATTCTCTCCACTCTATTCAGATTCCGATTCATCTTCGACTTGCGTCTCCTTAAGTGCCTATGGGGTAATCAAGTCAGCCACACCAGATAAATAATAAACGTAAAGGCACACATACCTTTTCCAGAAGTGCCTTCAAATGTACCAACTTGCTTTCTTGGATAAGCAAAGTTTCATCATCTAGATCCTCGACGATATATTCATGATGCGACTCTGCATCTATCTTGACAATGAGAGATTTGATAGATGGATCGCACTCCACAAGGGTGCCTTGATTTCTTGTTAGAATGGTTGCATTTATGTGATTCTAAGCAAACTTGTACCAGACGAAATACGCACTTGCATCATCTGTCGGTGTATACTCTGAAGTGTTCTAGAACACTGGCTGGATGATCAAGGATCAAAGAATCAAGCTAGTGAAAGACGGGTAAATGACATGGTGAAAATTTTGCTGAATACATACCTCTGATAGCTCGTGTCATGATGGATATACCGATCGTTTTCTTTCCTTTTGACTTCTCAGATGCCTGAATCCTCGTGATATTTTATGTGCCTATTTGATAGATGATGAAGGTCTGTATTGATATAAAGCAAGTCGGCTGTGGGTAGTGGCCCGTGCAGACTGGGATGCACCTTTCCTATTACGTATTTTTGGGACAAGAGCGCAACGGGAAACTTTGAGTGCTGCTAGTCTGCAATATGAATTTACCAATTCCATAATAGAGTGGTATGAATACCTGTGTGGAAAAATCTTAGATATCACATCGGATCGCTATACTGTACATACAGGCCTACGTTATCACCTTGGCAAATTCTAGGGTATTCGAATTCAGGCTACATGGTGGCATTGTACTACCCTTTCACAACGAGTAAATTTCTCTATCATCTACTAGATACGGTCTAAAGCATTGAAAACAAAAATTTGTACAAAATGTTTTCAATTTCGCATGAAACACTCCTTGCGATTTGGATTACCAGTCGGCTACGAGAATTGAATACCCCAGATCTACAGATCAAAGTATCCTGGGCTGATGAATCTCGGTAATCTTCCCCCTTTTATATGGTGTACCAGTTATACCTAGTTGTAAAAGCTTAATGATTGCTGTGAATTCTTTCAACAAGGGTCATTGCACGTTTGAGGAATACTTGAGAGAATGTTCCGGCAATCGTTCATACTACCAATGGATAATAATCTTCTGCGCTTTTCTTTTGGCGAGGACGAAAAGGAGGAGGGGATTTTTGGCTTTCATCTTATGATCATATTTCACTATGGTAATTTGAAACTGCTGCGGAAATTCGTCGGAGCACAAAATCAAAGTTTGATGAGTGCAAGAATTTAGACCACAAAGGAGAGTCAGCTCGCTGCTGGACAAAATGTTTGATCAGTTGACTCAGTCTATGCCAATGGTTATTCGATCTTGCATGGTTGATGAAGTCTTAATGACCAAATACGTCTTCGACATCAGAGTCATGTCGAGGCTCATCGTCCATAGGCATATCCGCAAAGTGTCGCATCTTGTACGGCCAAAACTATACCTTCTCAGTCACCTAACAATTTTGAAAGCCTTATTTGCGACACCAGGTCTCCTGTTGAATCTCTCATGCGGTCTTACAATCTAGATTTCCCACCGTTGATGTATTTGTTAAACATAAAATGGTGGATTTGTTGATATAATGAAGAGTTTCTGCTCTAACATTACCCACCTTGTCACTCAAAGTGTAGGGCACTTGCCAAAGGGTGTACAACATACCCAGGGAAATATAGGTTATGAATGCTCTGCATCAACCTGCATTAATGATTCCTCGACCAGTATTTCTATCAACAATTGATCATCAACAACCGGTCGTCGAAATCCAGCCTCCCAACCAGTACCCACAAAAACATCGACAAAATCTTGAGTATGCCCATTAGCCCCTCCTTGGAATCCTTTAACCCACAATGACCAAACCCCCATTCGCGCCCTGTATTCTCTTCATGGCCCCTTTAGTCGTTTTCTTCTCTTTCCTGCTTTCACCGCGTGCCTAATTCCATGCATATATCCCGGCACTTCATCATCCCCAGCCTCACAACCCCATGTATGCACTGCCTTCACAAATTCACGCCCGACGAGCACAGCAAAAGTATCGCAATGCCAGCTTCTTCGATCATTCTTCACCTCTCCCACAACTTCTGTGACTCATTGCTCGAGTTTGTAAGTTATCGATCCGCTTTACATCTCTGTGTTTTAGCCTGCGATGTTGAAACGTCTGGCTTCGCGATTACAAAACTAGATTCATGACGCTTGTCTTTCAATTTGTGGGTTTTAGTTATTCTTCCACTTGGAATTATAATAACAAGGAGCCCTAATTTTGGAATTTATAGATCCTTTTTTATGTTGAAGCGTAGTATGAGTTGAAATAATGAATGTTCTTTGCATGTTCTACTTTATTTGGAAATAATGAGAATCGGCACGGACAGAGCGGAACACACGCCGAGCCCGTTTATCCGAGCGCTGTTTCCCCAACTCTCTTCCAATTGGTCAATTTCCATACAAGCTTCCTAGACCACCGTCACCGGCTATTTCGGAAAGGGAAAGACCAAGACACAAGGACAAACTGACACACTTTGAATCCATTTTGTCTAGAATGTATGGGGTAGCAACAGCAGAATGAGGCGTAAGTAAAGTGTTAGGATTTCTGGTACATATTATATTACGTATCCTAGTTATCCGGATATCCTCATTTACTTTCTTTATTGTTTATAGCATTCTTCTTTTCTCCTTCAGAAAAAGTATACAAGCAAGGCTTACTATCTTACCCATCTTTTCCTTTTACTCATCAGCGTGCTTGTTTGTCGTTGGAATTCGTACTCGTACAAAAGCGCGGGGATACCTTGCTTGCCACTATCTGCGACTGCGAGAAAATAGCTCATACAATTGCAATTCTTATTAATACAAAAGAAGGGTTTGAATGACGAGTCTACCTTAACAGAGCTATACCTATATCTTTCTATACTTCAAGGCGGCTTGGTTCCTTTCTTACTCAAGATAATCATCAAATATATAGATATGCCATCAAGATATCAGAAAGATCTCTGCCAATGTATCAACAGTCATCGTTTCTCTTCAGTTCTCCTCGTATTTTCGATAATCTTTCCCAAATTCTCCTGCGCACAGATCCCAAACGCAGCGTCAACGACATTCATTACTTCGGCTACCCCTCCTTCATCCACCCCTCACATTTTAAATGCCCGTCAACTCTCCTCCAGTACAGATCCTGACGGTGAAGACACATCAAGCCATGTCTACAACTACTATTTCGTCATAGTTGCTGTTTTCGTAGTCATCGTTTTCTTCCTTCTCCTATATATTACCCAGCGACGGAAACGAAAGGCACTGCTTATACGACATAATGGTCAGACAGCTTTGGCTCATGACGTACAATCGTTTGCAGATTTCAGAACGAGATTTGGACCGAGAAGAGCGGGAACGGGGCTGATGGGTATGACGATGGGATCGATGGGCGCAAATAGAGAACGACAAGAGGGGCTGGATGAGAGGGGTGAGGCGCCCCCGGCTTATGTGGAGGGCGATAAACCACCGAGTTTGAGGAGTGAGGATGGGATTACCATGGTAGTTTCTCGCGAAGATCACGCCAATGAAAATAGCGCATCTAGTGTGCCGCCTGTGGGGGCGGAGACTATCAACAACTCTATGGAACGAAATATATCGGATGTAGAGTCGAGACTATCTGCGGAGCTTTCGCGACCTAGCGCTACGACTGCGAGTAATTCAGCAAGACGGACATCGACAGGGGGATCATCAACACCAATCACAAGCGCAGCAGATTCGAATGAAGAGGTGGGATTAAGGCCATTGAGTCCAAGTACATCGGCGCGTCCACCGTTAGGACCGCCTACATATTCCGAGACCTATCTGGGCGGGCAACCTGACATAGCGAGACCACCTGCCGCGGTGACCCACAACTGATTTTAATCAGAAAGGAGATTGATGAGTGAGACTAGAACCTCATCTGAAATGCGATGTAGACAGTTTTAGTTGCAGGATGGCCGAATCAACATACGAACGATTTTTATATTGGATATTTTATATGGGTCATCATAGAACGGCAGGCCGACTAATGAGGATACGGACGGCATGGCTGGATTGGACGAGGTTCTGGGTATGGAATTGTATATGGATATCCACAGGATGTGAGGGCTTTGCGAAGGCGTATCTTTACGATTATGAATTTTGAGTTACGAAGGATCATTGCGATGTGGTTATTGTGTAATATAGTCGGATCATAATAAATATGTATATCAAGGTCAAATAATTCCTATTCTGAAATCAGTTAATGATTAGAAGCCTAATGGTTGATGGTGATTTCATTCGCATATTCTAAATTCGCTTTCTCTTCCCTCCTCTTTTGAGGATCTGACATCTGACATCTGACATCTCACATCTCACGGCTCCAACAAAACAAAACAATCAACTCCCACCTCGATCTCCATCAACCAAAATCCAAACCCAAACACACACCAAAATAACAAATACATTCGACCCCCATACATAATTTCACAGCGCCTCCCATACTCCTACAATTCTACAATTCTACAATTCTACAATTCTACACAAAAAAACTTGAAAGGTTTGACAAATCTGGATGGTAGAGAAATTGAAACGCAGTGGAATGAATGGGATGAGATGAGATGGGTTGAATTGGGATGGGATGGGTTGAAAAGGGGCGGAAAATTGATAGGCGAAAGGCGAATTAAGGAGGTGGGGAAGTGGATCGTTTTGGGGGGTGGAGGTAGAAATGGAAATGGATTCGGGAATTGTTTTGGAAAGCTAGATGGATAGGTAGATGGATGGTTGATGGGTTAGATAGGTAGGGAGAGCTTGTGGGATTTATTGATCATGCGAAGTAAGTGAAGTGAGTGGTGAGTGGAAAGTGGAAGGTAACGGTGGATTATTATGTTTGCTGTTGGCTTGTAAAAGGAAGGTTTTAGATTTTGAAGATGGTCGGGATGCTGAGATGTTTCTCGAAGTTGTGAAGAGAAAATTTTTGGTAGTAAAGAGAAGAGATGTATGTGTAGAGTGTGTTTGTAATGTGTTTTGTATCTAGAACGAGACATGGGGGCATTGAGACGTGGTTAGTGATGAAGAATGTGGGTGTGAATGGTGATGGAAGTACGGATGTTAGGTAGGTGTAGATATACACGGCAATGAGAAGTAATTCTCGAGAGATTGTGTGTGGTTGTTTTATGTATGGCTGAGGCTGTATGCTTTTTATTTCACTCAATTGGGGATCCTATTCATGTAGAAACATAGGTAAATTCATTGAAGATTTTGGAACCAGCTGATTCCTTGAAATGATTTTGTTGTTAGGGAAGAATATTTGTTGGATATAGGAATCACAGATAATACTTGGCTACCCCGTCCAGATAAATTCAAAGAGTCGCATATCCTCGTCACTCTTAAAGTCCCACGTAAGATCTTGTGACTCAAGTTCTGCCAGCCTTACCTTTGCCTTTTGTTTCTCTGTTGTCAGATAGAGGATATAGTTCTGCCATAGTTCGCTCGGTTCGAGAGACAATTCATTAGCGATGAGATTCTTGCGAATAAGACGATCTTCGAGTAGTGAGTGAAAGGTATTGCCATGGTAAACGTGTTCCAAATGGACGGCTTTGTCAAAAGTATTCTGGTCTTCGGGCAGAAGTTTTTTTAAATAGCATAAATGCACTTCCTTAAGGGTCAAGTCACTCTTTATTCCATCAAGAACTTCTCCCCAGTCGAGAATGGATTCTTTCAAGAAACAAAACTGGAGCTTTAGAATTCTTAGGGTTTTGGCATGCCTTTAGAGAAATTCGGTAAGCGATGATTTACTGCCCGCCATAGACCAGAAATCCACGCTCTTCAGACGTGGCATTGTCAGACCCGCTATGATTTCATCCTAGTCTATTTTCGTCGATTTCGTGTCATCAAAGTTTTTTTGAGATGGCGAGATATTCGAGGTTGGATGTAGCTTGTAGCAGTTGCTTCAATCCGTGATTAGAGTTGGAAGAAGGACTCCACATTCGCCAGAGACATAGATGGCGATGATACCGAGCATCCGGCCGATATGGAAGCATGGTATTCGTGCCAATGGAAGCGCCGAATAGCGTGTTCAGATTAAGTCTTTCAAGGTAGAGGTACCCCAATTTCGTATCAGCGTTAGCAACAGCGGCAATAAACATTGAAGCTTCTTTGTGATACCTCGCATTATGACCCATAATATTACAGAAAGTTGGCGTAGGCTTGACATCCAACCGTAGATGATCAGATTTTGCGAATCCACACTCTATCATAGTGAACCTTTTCAAGGAGCTGAGCTTTGGCAGCACTTGTGAAAATACGAAACTACTGTATTCGCTCTTCACCATCAAATCTTGTTCTTCACAACTCTTATTGCGAGCTTCAAAACTACGAACCATCTTGGTCAGGCACTCCGATCCTGCCCAGAGTTCATTGAAAGCATGTTCCCATGATTCAGCATATCGATGAAATTTGTGTAGTACAGAACGTCGTCGCTAGCAAGAGATCAAGACCAATATTGATCGACACCGCTTTCCGTAAGTATATTCTGCCACTTGATCAAAATCTGTGGAGGGACGTGAAATGTTGTGTAACCGGAAGTCATTGTTTCTCAAAGTGACTCATCCTCACTCACTCGCGTATCCCTCATCCTCTTTCGACCGCCATCTCCGCCGAATCTGGTCATTTGTTTACCATTCTCTCCTGCCGCATTTCGGCGGAAACTTGATCATGACACAAAACTTATCATATAATATCTCATTCATCACATGAACCTTTCCTTTTCGATACCCTAAATATGCAAGCATGCTGACCACACGTAAATAAAATAAGGATTCTTTGACGAGAGTGGTAAGTTGAGATCCGACAGATGTAAGCGCTTGAAACTTGGCCCAATGGGTAAGCATTTGTTGGGGTATGGAATGCAATTTCGAAGGTTCTACAACATATTGAAGCATCTTTGATGAGGTTTCATTAAAGTTTCGCTGTGATTCATCGGCCGAAGTATTGCAAAATGTATTGCAGATTGCAGAATATGTCAGCGCATATATCGACTACCCTGCGTGATTAGGATGAGATACAAGCCGTCTCCGTCACACCATCTCCGCAAGGCGGTCTTATGAAAGGGGTTAACGTCCAATACCCGAGTGTGAGTGCGTTCGAGTGAGATGAGAAAAGAGGCTTTGTATAAAGGGATTCCGTCTTTTCTATGATGGAAGAAAATAATTTCGAATATCAATCGGGTTCACTTTCATACTTTCTCATTACTTCTTCGAATTTTGATTGCGATTGCTTTGCGATTGTTTACTCTACTTTGATCAAGATAATAAAATAATAAGTTTGATGTCTCGAGACGATCGAGAAAAAATGGAAGCCTCGAGGCCAACAACAATAGTCTCTGATACCGAGTTGGAAAAAAGTAGGGCACCTTCGATTAATGATTCGATATCGAGAGAGAAGAAGAACAGCACAGATGGTGCGGATTTAGAAGGTGGAGAGGTAAATAACAATGGCCCAGGGGAAGATGATTCAGAGTATCCAAAGGCTTTTGCAATGGTGATGATAGTGATTGCTTTATCACTCAGTATCTTTCTTGTCTCTCTGGATATGACGATTGTGGTACGTATACCTTCTCTCCCTTTTGCTCTGCGACCAAAAATCACAATACATCGTAATACAGTGAAGTGTATAGCTAATATTGTTCCAGGCTACAGCAATTCCAAAAATCACCGACCAGTTCCACGGCTTAGATCTTGTCGGCTGGTATGGTTCTGCGTTCTTTCTCACAGTCGGTTCCTTTCAATCAACATGGGGAAAGGCGTACAAATACTTTCCGCTGAAGACAACTTTCCTCATTGCCATTTTCATCTTCGAACTCGGGAGTTTAATCTGCGGTACGTTGTCTCAAATTCCGAATGGTAGCACAAACACTAATTCGAAAACTCACAGGTGTTGCTCCGAATAGTACCGCTTTAATAGTTGGCCGAGCCATTGCTGGACTTGGCGGTGCTGGAATTGCCTCCGGAGCATATACAATCATTGCATTCGCAGCACCTCCCTCCCAACGCGCAGCTTATACGGGTATTCTAGGCGCATCTTATGGAGTGGCATCTGTAGTAGGGCCACTTCTTGGAGGTGTGTTTGCAGATAAATTGACATGGCGTTGGTGTTTCTACATTAATTTGCCGATTGGTGGACTCGCAGGGGCTATCATCCTATTTCGTGAGTATTTGATCACTTCTCCACATTCTGTATTCGAAACAATACAATTGCTAATACATCGACTTTTTAGTGTTTACTACACCTAAAAATGCAGTACCAACTCCCGCTACCCTCAAGGAAAAGATCTTACAAATGGATTTCCCTGGAACATTTACAATCATGGCCAGTCTCGTCTGCTTCTTCCTAGCTCTTCAATGGGGTGGCCAAACGAAAGCCTGGAAATCTGCCGATGTTATCGGTACTCTCATCGGCTTCATTCTTCTCCTCATTCTCTTCATTGCAATCCAATATTTCCAAGGCGAGCGTGGAGTTATTGTCGGCCGTTTGTTGAAAGAGCGTACAGTTTCTGTAGGAATGGTATATGTATTCTTTCTTTGCGGCGGATGGTTCCTCCTACTCTACTATCTCCCCTATTACTTTCAAGTTGTTTCTGGAGTTTCGGCTTCTCAATCCGGTGTGCGAAATCTGCCAATGATTATCGGTACTACCATCGCAACCATCATTTCCGGAGGATTGATATCTGCATTTGGTCATTTGTAAGTTTCATCTTAGCACTCCATCTTACTAAAGTCCCAACTCTACTAACACATCTTCCCAGCGTCCCATTCATGATCATTGGCGCAGCCGGCGCAACAATAGGATGTGGACTCCTCTACACCCTCGGCGTCGACTCCACCTCCGCACAATGGATAGGCTACCAAGCCCTCGCCGGTCTCTCCACCGGCTTCGTTTTCCAAATCCCCGTCATCTCCGTCCAGGCTACCGTTTCCCAAGCCGATCTTTCTTCCGCGACGGCTATGGTGTTATTCCTCCAAACAATCGGAGGTGCATTCTTCATCTCCATCGCAGAAGCTGCTTTCGCAAATCGCATCTTAAATGCTCTTCCTCATTACGCACCTTCGGTATCTCCAGCCCAAGTGTTATCAGTAGGGGTTAGCGAATTGCGAAATGTGTTTGGAAAAGAGGGAGAGTTGATCGAGGGAATCATAGAGAGTTATTTGCAGGGACTAAAAGTTACATACGCGTTGGCAATTACCTGTTGCGGAATCGCAATGTTTGTCGCTTTCGGAAGTCGCTGGCCGTGGAAGAACTTGAAAGGGAAGGCATCAATGGGTGGCGCTGCCTAGTTTGGGAACTTGTGAGTAGATTGTACGCAGAGGGGGCGCTTACCAAGGAAACCTTCTATGAAGTTGATAGGTAAATTAATGACGAGGACTAGGAAATATAGAATTGGGCATACATAGACTGCTATCGAGTAATAAATGGGTAGCTCTTTTTAATTGAAATAATGTAAATTTTCTCTTCTCAAAATTCATCTGTACAAAATCTATAACTACTATGTACCTACTGATGGGTTTTTCTCTAACCTTCTCTATTCTACCTCTTAACTGTTCCTGAAAGCTCCAATTTGTGGTCATCTGCTTCCAAAGTAAGTTCGCCGAGAGACGTCAGACGTCAAACGAGACATTAGACTCGAGATGGCATGGAGCTAGTAAAAATAGCTCCAGCGAAAATTATGACCACTACATTTCTTCCATGAGCAATTAAATTTATTTATTTATTTCTCGGTTCCAATTGATCGCTCATTTTTATATCAGAAATCTCTTGAGCAGCTATAAATTTTCTTACCAGTTCGATTTATTCATACATTTTCATATTTGATTTCCATCTTAGATGATCATATAAACTCGAAATACTTACAACCCGATATAGAAAATCGATCTATCTCGAATACGGAGAGCTTTCCAGACATCGAAGTTCGAATTCATATCATATTCTTCATCCGAAATTCGAAACAACCATACCTATAATATAGCTGATACTAAACAACCCTCATAACCGAGCCGACGAGAATTCCACCCCCTTCGAATCCTCATCTCGAAATAGAAAAATGAGCGAAACAAACGGTCCTATTCCGGTGAACAACCCGGATAACTCTATCCGCAGTCCCCAGGCGGCACCGCCCATTCGATTCGACCCCCTTCACGAAGTAGACGCCTTCGACATCCCGCCTCCCAGCTCCCCTCCTCCACCCTACTCCGCCGCTCCTCCACTCGACATCCCCGCTCCACCTCCTTACATCCTCTGCACCTGCAGCTCGCACGAAAACCCCACGACCCTCGTAGATATCGGTTTCCACTCCGCTCTCGCCCACGAAATTTGGAACAAATGGCAGCAGTACAAGCGCCAACACCCAGAGGTCTATCAGAACCTGAATCCGCAGTCGCTCCTCTACTGCTTTCTCTCCTTCGCCTTCCAAGCCACACAGCTCCCGTTCGCATTCCCCGGGTACGACCCCCGTCATTTTCATGCGGAAATGTGTGTGTATTTGCTGAGGTGGGGAATACCTTGTAATGTGTATTATACACGAGAGTGGAACGAAGAGCAAAGAATAGCGAGGTGTGCTGACGCAGCGGCACAATGGATGGTTTCGAATTTGAGCGAGGGCTGCTTGGGCCACTCTCCACTGAGGGATGTTTGGACTGATTTGGATGATCGCCGATTTCATGACTTGTGGTGGATGGCGAGAGCTGCGAGATCAGTACTATGAGGAGATGTTGAGGAGCTTGCGCAGACTCGTGAGATACATCACCACCTCATCGACGGCAAATATATCTAATATTTGGGTAGTGATAGTTGTTGTAATACTGTAGATCTCCTGCGAGCACTGGCATTGTAAGGCTTTAAGTTATTAGTCGCTTAACATACAACCCAGTATTGTAGTTTGCAGTAAGAGCCGCTACATCCTATCATATTAGCGACGGTTCAATTTGGAATGGGGTCAACCAGAGACCCATATATTCATCAAGCCAAAGCAGGATTAGATATAAGGTTGAAGCATACCCTTGGGTATGTGGAGACTGCGTCGCTTATCAGCAAAGACTCTTCTGCAAAGGAAACCAGAATTCTAGCCTCCCCGCCCCGTGCCGGCACAAGCGTTCTCAGCGTCGTATCCCGTTGTCTCAACCACAATCCGACAATCAAAGCCTTTCAATTCTCGAATCCAATCCGGACCCTCAAATCATCCAAAAGATAAAAGATCGAATACATCTCGAAAATCGATCCCTCTTCAAATATTCAAACACTCTCAAACATTACCAGCTCCTAAATATCAGGCTGCGATACGGACTATCGCAAGCAGACACCCATAATCATAACCCTATATATATTTGGACATGTCAAGGATCTTGTGGACCGGAGTATTTAAAGAGGGATCCATGTTGTTGTATATATGGATAAAGATGTATATGATTCGATATCCCGGAATGAAAAGAATATAAGAGGAGAGAAGGGGGGATCTTGTGAGGCAGACCTGTTGAGAATCATGTATCGGATGGATCTGGACTATTGGAACTGTATCTGCGAGAGAGGGGAGAGGGTTGAAAGTTCTACTTCATTGTACACTCATTATTTGTTTTTTAAAGGTATTAGGTAGGTGAGTACAATGAAGCAAGATATAAGGAAGGGAAGGTAGAGAGGAGGGAGATGACTGAAAGTTTTGCTTCATTGTACATCTACTACTTGTTTTTTAAAGGTATTAGGTAGTGGAATACAACGAAGGAGAGAGGAAAGGAGAGATGAATATAACCGGCAGATTCCTGCTTCATTGTACATCCACCACTTGTTTTTTAAAGGTATTAGGTAGTTGGATACAATGAAGAGGGAAGGAAAAAAGAATGAAACTGGCAGATTCTCGAACAGAGAAATGGGTCAAGACCGATGAGAATGATATAGAATATAGGAATAAACTCAAGACATTAAAAAAAAGGACGATAGTATCTTCCAAAAAGATTTTTTAAAAGAAAAACGCGCCGTGTATCTCATGTTAGATTCTCAATGTCACTCGACAAAGAGTACCTCGATTTGCATATTTGTATTTCCTTATCGAAAGATGAATGAATCACAACTCGTCTCATATCCAAAATCTCCATTTCGTTTTTCATTTTATTCAGTTCGTCATCATTATACCATGTACCCCAATCCCCCAATATCCCTCCTCAAGAACCAAAAGTCAAGAAACGCCAGGTATAAACAATCTTTTCCATCACTCTCACAGCCCTCTAACTCTCCACGCTCAACGCCTTCGCTCCAACCAATCTCCCCCCCTCAACCCCCACAACCCAATACTCAACTCTCGCTCCCTCCCCCGACACCCTATAGACCCTCACATCACTCCCCTTACTAGCATCTCTCACTGCCTGCACAATCTGTTTGTATTGTCCCTGCGGATCCCACTCCCCGATATCCATAATCTGTATTTCTTCCGCTGCGTCTGCGGGAGCAGGATGGGCTATGAGTTTCGCGAATGTTTCTATTTTTCGTTAGTACATATGCTACTTATTTCCCAAACTTCTCAATAAAGAGCGAGGAACAAACCTTCATCCGGCATTCCTCCTTCACATTTCAGCGCCACAACAACAAATGGTTCATCGGCATCACTGGTGTACCACGCATCCTTGGTTGCCCTAACCAACACGCTAGGTACATCCACATCATCATCCATGGTCTTGAACTCAGCTTTTTTATTATTGCTCGTAGCTTTTGACGTGCCGGCACTGGGATCCTCGTTGGCTTTATCGAGGAACGCCATGTAATCTTCGTCTGACCCCATTTTGTCTGTGTAGTTGTCCGTTCGTTCGGATAGTATTCGAGGCCGTGTGTTTGTGTTTATTTTTTCTGAAATTTTATTCTCCTTCGTATATTTGAAGATCGCAGAGCTATGCAAGAAACGCTGCTCAATTCTAGATCTCTTTTCAAAAATAGCCTCTCCAATTCGTTCTTGTCGAGAGAACAAAGCAAAAGGTATCGCAAGCTTAATCTTTGCGTCTACGCAGTAACCTCTACCTGCGTTGTAGCGTCCAACGCAAAATCTCTCTGTGACGTCGTTCTTAACCCCGTCGACAATTTCTGCAGCGAAGCCCCTTCGATTTCCTTTCCCTTTCCCTTGTTTACTCCCTTGCCCAAATCTGCCTCCAATTCTGCCCGAGGCGTTTCGAACGATGGTAAATAACCTAATGATTGCGATCTTCCTTTTTCTGGACTAACTCTTCCTTCTAACCTCTCTGTTCTCTGTGTCCTTCCTCCCGTTTCACGATAAACACTCGGTGTGCGACTTCCCGGTGCAGATTTTGTTTGTTTATTTACTTGTTTATTTTTGTTCTTCTGTTTGCGACTTCTCTCAATAGATTCTTTGATACTTCGATAAGGGATGGCGAGGACGGCGGAAAGTGCACCCATTGATATTGACAATGGAGTGAAACTAGTAAATAAAGCTAAGAAGAGAGGGGTTAGGGAAGGACCAGAGGATGTTGTGTGACTTCGGTGACGTGGGGTAATGGGGAATCTCTCTTTTTCTTGTTTGTGCAACTTAAGAATCTTTATACAGGGGTGCTTGGTGGGATGACGATTTCTACAATTGAAGAAAGAGAGAGGAGATGGGAGAAAAAGGAAAAAAAGAGAGAATTACTTGAGAGGGATCACTGGTAGATTGATGAATACAAAACAACGTCAACTATCTTGCAAAGAGAATTTATATAAGATCGAGTTATAGAAAGTCTGATTCAAGTGATTGCTAATAAAGCCAACTCGTAAATTGTTCCCAGGGTCTCAGTGAAAGGTCTGTTAAAATTTGTTGGAAAATACAAGGAAAAAAGGTGTCAAGAGGTCGAGAACGAGGTCCGTCAAGTGCTAGCCGTAAATATAATACGATAAAGAACAGCTTGTCAAATTCTTTCACTGTATTGAAACCAACATGGCCTGGATCAAAGTTCTCAGTTCTCACAATTTGGCTGGGCTCGCCAAGATATCATCATAAGTTGAATCATTATTGAAATTATTGGATATCATTGACATTTCTTCATTGATGGAATGCTAGTATATCCATAGGTAATCATGGACTGCTTTATTGCACATATGATACCCCCACCGACTACACCTATCGAAACGTAAGAAACCCGAAATGCGAAACCAATTTTTAAATTTATGAGGATTGAGCAATGTCCTTCTTGAGGGTACCCAAGAATTGGTGCTTCTCCTCGGCGGTTTGGTAAGCACCGTGACCGAACTTGGAGGATGTATCGATCCATTTCAACTCAACCTTCTCCAAGGCCTTTCTTGAGGTGTGAACGAACATGGATTTTCTGAGAGTCATGACACGCTTCTTAACACCTGGAACGGAACCCTTGAGCATGATGAAGTCGTTCTTGACCTCACCATATCTGACAAAGCCACCCATACTAAAATTATGTTAGTCAATGTGACACTGAAAGTAGTGTGCTGTTAAAACTTACGGGGTGATGGCCTTCTTGGAGACATCGAACTCGGTGGCGGCGTTGTTGGGGTCGTCACCACGTCCGATACGGTAGACCTTGTGGTTGCAAGAGGTACGATGATGGTATCCATCTTGACCAGCACGGGCAACAGTCCATTGGACGTGGGCTGGATGCCAGGCACCGATACAGGCGACCTTACGGAGACCCTTGTGTGTCTTTCTGGGAAGCTTCTTGGTTCCCCATCTGCTGGTGACACCAGAGAAACCGTGACCCTTGGTGACAGCGATGACATCAATCATCTCATCTTGCTCGAAGATGGAGCTGATCTCAACTGGCTTCTCGAAAAGACCGCTGGCGAAGTCAACCTTCTCAGCGACGCTACCTCCGTTAACTTGGATCTCCATCAAATGAGCCTTCTTTTGCTTGAGAGGAGTCTTTCTGATTTGAGTGTGGGCGAGGACACGGACGACGGTGCAGTACTTCTTGATACGCTCGAGTTCACGGGTGATGGAAGATCCGCTGTTCTCGGAGTGCTTCTTGGCGTACTTGGTGAAAGCCTTCTTCTTGCTCTTGTACCAGTTCTTGTAGAATCTGCGCTTAACTTCGTCGCTCAAATGTTCGGCCCAGACAGTTGTAAGGGATCTGAGACCACGAGGAGTCTCAATGTAACCCACTAGACCAACAACGATAACCTAAAAAGATATTAGCCATTGGCTTAAGCCAAGCGGGCTGCGTTGCTCGTACCGGTGGTGTCTCAATGACAGTCACTGCCTCAACGACCTCCTTCTTGTGTGTCTTCGCACCAGGACGGTCGAGGTCGCGGACAATGGTAGTCATACCAGCCTTATAGCCAAGAGTGGCAGTAAGGTGGACTGGCTTGGTCTTATCATCCTTGGGGAAACTGTTTGTAATTGAGAAGTTAGTAAATGAGATCTTCCTTCCAAAAATGAATTTGCAGACAAATGTTGATAACTTCGTAGAATCTTCAAAAGTCGCAAAGAATGAAAATTGGGGTAAATGCTTCACCTCTTGACCTTTCCGCGGTGACGGCTTGCTCTCTTTCTTGGGAGATAAGCAAGGGATCCGTGACGGGGAGCTTCGAATTTACGGTGCGACATGTTGGCGGTGGTCGACTTCTTTAGGTGTTGAGGTTCAAAAGTTCAGAAGAATTCAATGAGAAAAGTTCACGAATATTGAGAGTGTGCGATTTCTCGGTTAGAATTGTCTTAGTGTCCCAAAAGTGGCTTAGCGTCCAATTGAAAAAAAGTTCTGAATATTTGCCCCAGCGAGTCTTGGCATCAATAATCGAGACCCTTCGCTACACGTGATCTAAATTCTCGGGGTGGCTAAACCTCTTATCTCATGAAGCTTTGGAGAAGTCTTTGTACAGGTGTATTATCATCAGTACGATTGGCCGTTTATGTTGTTCATATACTATACTATGAAGTTATAGAGTGAAATCACGGCCATTGTATATATAGAACGTGCTTCTGTGTCTTTTATGTTCATTGTCTGCCTGTTTTGACTTTCCACACTCCGAATATTGCAATCAAAAGTAACAGCAGAAGTGTGGTAGTTGAAACATTATGTAACATCAGAAACACGTGAAGAGGCCCAGTGAAATATTATTGAAGTCTCTTTATTATCATGACATTTGGTATTGGTATTGGTATATGGGTACACCCTCTAAAGGTTTCCACTCCTCGCTCCTCAAATTCGCTCATTGCCTCACGAACTCTTAACCTCCATTTCCACCTGTCTTCCGAGTTTCTCTTGAACACCCATTCATTTAACTTCAGCCCAGTCATTCCAAACTATTCATATCAAAGTCGATCAAAGGATCCCACCCGCATTGCAAAATCCAATCAAATACAATATCAAACCAGAGACCAAGCCAGCCAAGCCAAACCAATTGATCCAATCCAATCAGTCAAGTCAGTTAGTCAATAAAGTCAATCCATTCATTCGTTTATCCTCACTTCCACTCCCCAACTTCCCCCCCCCTCCCGCCTATTTTTTTTTTGGTAAAGATACCCATCTAGAGCTCCGTTATCTCTCTTTCTAAATTAAACACAATAATCGAGTTGTGAAGGTCACTCCATCTATCAACTCAAAAACTTGAACCGAAAACTAAAAACTTGTAGAATATGAACCAGTGGTATTTTTGTACAACAGCGAAAGCACAAAGGCTTCAAAATGCACTTTGAACATAGCCAACAACAGTTGGAGTGAAGCTAGAAAGGCAAATCAATAAACGTGCTTGATGCTGAAAAGTATAAAACGCCGACGCCGCTATGCAATTGTGTATTTGGAGGCGAAGAAAACAAGATTAATAACAAAAACGCGCGCTCTTTTGTAATATTCGGTGAAAGAAAAGATGAATCGAAATCGCCAGGCGCCGCCATGTCCGACCGCCTTCTATATGTCCTTTGGCGCGTGAATATTCGTGCCACGTCTCGAGGGGTATATGATTCGCTTTTGCGCTTTTGCAAAGCAAAGTACGTCCTTTATACAAAAAGTTTGTGAAAGAAATGAAGAGTCTTTAGCAAGTGTCGACAAAAGAATTTGTAGGCCACGTGTAGCCAGCGTCTGACCAAGACGTATGGTTTTGATTTTTCTAAATTAGTTAGCATGCTGCTCTGAGCGATTGAAGAAAGTGATAGATCAACTTACATATGCCTTCGGGAACTTTTCGATGTATTCGGTGGTTGGGTATCCATCAGGGTCACAAGTGATCGATTCGGATCCTTCTTCTTGATATATCCGGATGTAATCAAAACGCATGGTAGCGGGGAATAGAGTGTTCAAATTAGGCATCATAACTTGGGAGAAACTGGTACCCATTCCCAAGTTCATGATAAGAGCCATAGGCTCCTCCGGCATCGTTCGTTGGCCAACGTTTCCGTTTGGTCTCAATGCACGGGCGTCCATTTTCCAAGTGTACTGATCACCAACGAACCATGTCACCTGTCCCTCGGATCCAGGAGTATATTCAAATCCATACGTTTGATATCCGTTGCCATCATACCAATCATTGTTGAGCCAAGTCACTGAAGACATAGCTTGTTGATAATTCCCACCTCGGTAGGCGTTCACAGAAGTCTGTTCGTTGTCATAAACCTCAACATAGTTGTAATCGGGCATGTAGAATATGTCGAATGGGGCAATCTGGTAAGATTGAGATGCGGAACCTGTAGCCGTTCCCCAGTTCTCCGTCATGAATGCAATACTGGCTTCTATTCCATCAATTTCGGGTGCTGATCGAGAATTGCCGCTTGAAGGATGCGTTTCGCCCTTACACGTACAAGCTGGCAGCTTCATACCGGGTAACCAATTGATACCATCCGGTGAACTTTGATTTGCCGTAATTCCGTAATCGCATTTATCCCAATAACTGTAGGGCCACATTCCCTCTGTGGTAGCTAGGTAACCGGGTCGTCCCAAATTGCCCATACTCCAGAAACCGGGCCAGAAACCGGGCCAATCTCCTCGGCCAGGTAATGAAATACTAGCTTCCACACGACCACCCTTAAAGCACAACTTATTCCATGATTGGACCATCCCAGAGCGATAATTTAAGTTGTGACTTTGGAAAGCGTCGAATTTGATGTTCAGAGTGCCGTTTCCAGTCGTTACAGCATCGGGATCGTACCATTCCAAATCCTGAGTAGCACCATACCAAATATCCACGGCTTGAAAGAATGGGTCATCGCCATCGTAGAAAGTTCGTCCATCGGTATTGAATTCGTCAGAAAACTAGGATCATTTAGCATTAAACAAAACTCCATGATGTAAGAAACCCTACCACAAGCTTCAATTTGGTGCCATCATGAGCGGTCTTGCTCTTGACGGAGTCTGGAGTGTCCGGATCTATGAGACCCGTTCTCACGTTCTTAAGAAGGGAAATTTTATCTGATAAACAATCTGCGGCTGCTGCACAAGCACCATGAGTAGGATCGATTTTGTCTTTCACGAATGTACTAGACAATTGTTAGCAGAAGTTTTCCCAGCGATCGATTAATAACATACACAACTGGATATGCTACGAACAAGGCTAGTACGCCCAAGACGATGAAGATCAATCCTCCAACATTCGTAAGACCTCTCCGATTCCATATATCGCACTTATCCATATCTTTATCACTTGGATCCGGGTTGTGAAGGTAATCATCTTTCTCAACATCTTCTGGGAAAAGTAATAATCCTGCAGATGGCATGATGTTATATTTTTCGGAAACAGTTTGTGTATTGATATTCTCATCATCGCTGTCGCCGGCTCTCGAAGAAGCTCTCGAGTCATCAAAAGGTGAGCCAAATGGTCCTGCTCGACTGTCTCGACTTCCCGCCTCTGAGCTCCAACTTGTTCTGCGTGATGAAAACCCTGATACTGAGGGAGAAGGTAAGGGATAGTCGGAGTATGATGATGATTGATTATTCGCTGAAGGCCGTGATCTCGAAGGAGGAAGTAGCATTTCATTTGACTGAGCTACATCGGGTGAGCCATATACTTGAGGGGCAGCCATGCGTGACTGTTGCGAGCCTGAAGTCGGTGGTCGCGGCGGCGGGATCAACTGCCTCGATTGACCAGGAGTTCCCGCAGTAGAAGGAGAGCTAGTAGATGAATTGAGTAGATCTCCACCACTGCCCGAATTGACTGTTATGTGAGGGGGCCTTCGCCCGGAGCCACTGTAGGAGTGGTCCATATCGACGATAAAAACGAGCCCAAATTAGAATCTTATGAGTGCAATAGCATATGCTACGTCAGCCAAGGCGGTTGTGGTTGGTGTTTTGGAATGTGGAATTCGTAACGGGTTCGTAAAATGGAAGAGTGAAGATAGATCAAGAACACGCTCAATTCTTCTCAAAGTTCTCGGGCGGCAATCAACAGCAAGCTCGGATCAAATCGTGAAGTTCGAAATTCATAGAATATTATCGTAAAAGGTATCGAGTGTCGTTAGTTTTAACAGCTGAGAAGTGAAGGATGAAGATTGAGGTCTTCCAGATGGCCAGCAGAATTTACAAAGAAAGGAGGTGTATCCAAGAATCCTTCTTGATCGAAATGAGAAGGGAGCGTGTACAAACGAATGTCGGTATTAGAATCAAGGTCGAAGTCGAAGTCGATTGTTGGATTAAACTTTCTTGATATCGTTTGGAGAATATCTCAAGTATTGTGTTTCTGGTGTGGAAAAGGTGTTTTGGTTGTCAATGGTTGGTTGTGATTGTGGTTGTAGTTGTAGTTGACAAACTAGGGCGTTCAAATCAACATGAAGTAGAAATCTTTTGGCGTTAGATGAATGAATGCTGGTTGGGTGGGTGGATGGATGGATGGATGGTGGCGCGGATGAAAAGGAAATCAGCAGGCTTCGGCTTTGAATCAAGTTTGCTTTCTTTAGAACATGCAGAAGTAGAAAATGCGCGCAAGGCAAGTTGACCGGGAAGGTTCGAATGCAGATTTCTTAGGGTTTGTTTGAGACCTTTGAGATGTTCTTAGGTTGTTCTTTTCCTCGCACTTTGTGTTATTTTGGAATCTTTCAATCTTTCAATCTCGCACGCAAACTTTCAATCTTCCTTTCCTAGCACCGCCTGGGTATGTAGGTATGTACCTGGGTAGACAAAGTCAATGAATGGATAAGGTTGGTTGATTGTCGAGTCGAGTCGATTTGATTTGATTTTGATTGATTGATTGATTCAGATCACAAGTGCCCAGGTGGGTGGTTTAAACAATCCTCTTTCCCTCTCCCTTCCCAAATTCACTTATAACTCTTGACAATTTCGCTCAATCAAGGACCAGCTTTCGCCGCTAGACAATATGAGGCATGTTACGATACATAGGGAAACAATTTATTGCCCAGGTGGTATCGATTAATTGGTTACAGTTAAATAAATAATCAAAAAGAGGGCGGAAGCACATTCAAATTTCAATGGCACATTGCACATTGCACATTGCACAAGCAAGATTGCTGATTGCAAAAGATTAGCTAGGGTGGCTAGGTTGTTACCATATCCCTAAAAGGGGGTCTCTCCTTAGAAGAAAAAAAAGGAAAGTCCAAGGGTTTTTTTCTTCTCATCACCCCAATCCTGGACTGACTGATTGAAGAAACAAGGGTGATTGGGCCTTTTTTTGTGGAATCGTCAAGAATTAGAATTAAGGTACGAAGTACACATGTGCAATCGAATCAACACGGCAGAACCCTTTCTCGATGACAATATCGTGATATATCAGACTGTTGATACCTAGGTAGGCATTTCTCACGTTATACATCTACCAGTGTATCCTCGAGCATTGATAATTGAACATCCATTTCAAATGATCCCATCCTGCATGTCCTCTCTTGGTACTGGGTTTGCAATCATGAATCTATGAACCAAATCCATCCTAACTTCTAACATACCCATGCCGTCCGGTTTGGTGCTATGTCAAGTCTGTTTCCAGGCCCGTTCCAATGGTTTCCGCATATTGGTGAAGCATAATCGCCGGATCTATTCTCAAAAGCTCCTGGTAGATCAATAAAAGGCTTCTAGTGATTTTAGTTTGATGAGTCTGACCAATTCTTTCCAAAGCATACACGGTAGTCTCATCCAGAGCACAGTACCTACATCTCACGCTTTCTCACGCTTTCTCACGCTTTCTCACCTCGGACTAGAATGTTAGTGTGTTGCCTACTATAGGATGAGTGATCTTTATTACAAGCGCAGGTTCAGTGTCCTTCTCTTTCCTTCCTGTTCATCGCGTTTACCTCCCTTAAGGCTGGGAAGGCTGCATGTTCTTTTATACCTCAGACGACTATATCGATAACCAATAGGATGCATCGTCTTGTTGAGCCTACAAGTCATGACTTTCTCATATTTCTCATCTTGGCTACTATGATTGAGTCAATTCCAAAGTAGAGAGTGTCGCTCCTTGTTGGCTGACGAGCATGCTAACCATAAGCATACCTCAATCAATGCAAAAGGCTACCTACCTACCTCCCTACCTAGGTAATGCTTTTTTCCCCTTGCGTGGCTCTATTTTCAGTCGTCTGTTTACTCAGCTGGAACATCAAACAGCAGCTCTATTGTACTCCAAACACCAACAACAGATGACCAACCTCACCGAAGAGTGGCAACTACGGTCTACCATCTCGTACAGCAGCAACAACATAGCTTATCATAGGGTAAATTTATAACTCACAGGCTCACAGCCTCAACTTGTTTACGCGTCCAAAATAATTTAAGTGGCACCTTTGCCCTGGCTATCTATTAATACCCCTAGCTACTATCAAGATTCAGTATGGCCCGCTTCTTGACCATCGTTCGCTTTACGCGATTAGGATTAACTTGAAATGCAGTATCCTGGAAAGCATGCATGTAGAGAGTACTTTGGTTTGAATCTCAGATATCCTTGAGCAATGGGCATGCTACAATCTGAAATCCCCTTCATGACCTCATCAATACCGCCGAATACAAAACTCTCTGGTGACTTGTCTTTTTTGCTGACCTCCTTTTTGGAACCTCGACCAATTACTTGTCCTCATTCTCCTGCTTCTTAAGTGAGCAATATCCAGTCTCCAGACTTACTCAGCAAAGAACAACGGCGATCACAATAACGGTTTTCCCACATCCACTTCCACCAATTCTGAAGATCTCATGGAAGATCCAACCTGTCTTTTCCACTCAAAAACATGAAACCCCAACCATTCCGGTGAAGCTTACCTGGCAAGCGTGGCTGGTCGTTACAACTTACGGAGTACAAAACGGAGTATCGTACTCGTAGAGTCTTTTGAGTTCAACTCGTTCATCAGGTTGCATTTGCATGATGGATCAATTTCGGACCAATTTCCCAAGGTAATCCACAAACTATCATCAGACTTCAAAGGCGTCTTCTTTCACGTGATAAGTTCCTCTATCGGGATGCAAAAAATAAATGAGATCCACTGCTGTGATATTTCTGTTATCTTTCATCTTTTCGTGTAAAGCTTGGCGGCGCAGGTACCGGTCGGGATGATGGAATAAGTGTCCGTCCCTACATGCGTATTTGATATCACAAAAAGCGTACGGACGGTTCACACTTATATCGGTAAAGGGGTGTGATTGAAGGATTCTGGTTTTACATCGGGGTTTGCATCGGTTTTCCAGAGAGTCTCGTATAAATATTAACATGTACCGCAATTTTAGATTCTAGTACCGGAAAGCTACCTAGGGAATGGCACTCATAATTACAAAGGATTGGAGGAGGCTCTGGGATCTAGAACAGTTTCATATTCACGAAGCTACTACTATTGAAACGTTATAATCTGCATGTTACTGACATCCAGTGCAGACTATACAACACCTTCTTCACCACCAACGGTACCTACCAATCGTTACACTTTCTTTACAATTTCACGCCTACATTCTTACTTTATCCTCATATATTAGCCATCCCCAAAGCTTCAAGAGTCAAGACATTCGATACCTAGGTACTTGAGCCTCACAGTCCTCTTGAAGAACCGTGAGAGTCTCACATTTCCTCAAGTAAATCATTTATGTCATCATACTTTGTTCAATCATCAATCACCCAAATGTCAAGGATTTCTCTTACCTCACTCTGATCCTATCGGTCTGGACCAAGTGTAAGGGTATATAAATTGAGGATCTACCGTAGATTACAATTTATAAAGATTTGATTGAAAGCCAATATGGTGGGCTTTCAAGACATATGAAGCATCCAAGTGGCATGTATGTATTTTGTTTCATGTTTTTTTGATGTCGATTACTTTTGCTGCTCGTATTGAGAGAGTTAGTATAGAGGCTGTGCAAGGGAAGGCCCGTTTTTACTCTCAAGTTGAGTTGATTATATCGCGGCTATGTGCAAGCATAAAGTTATGCTTGCAACGTTGACCCACGAGCTCCATTGTAAATCGTTTAGCAAGGAAATAATACAAAGTTCACTCTGTACATCAAACTTTCAACGGTTTACCAGAGTTGTCCTTCCATTCTGTGGAGCGCTTTCGTCCGAAGTAAATACGTACACTTTATGGACGTACTTGTTAATATATTTCAAATTGTTGTTACCAGATTTCGAGTTCGAATGCCCGGACATGAATGAGAGAAACTGCGACAACTTGGCACATTCTGGACATCAAAGTGATCGACGAAGAATAGTCAATTATCTAGCAGTGATTTATTGTCTCATACTAACCAAATTGTCACCGCTTTCTTGACAAGTGCCAGTGTTTACATCAGAGATATTGTTTCATGCTTCAGGTAAGATGGGCTTCACAGTCTAGATGTGAGATGTCGATATCAGATGCAAGAGTTTCGTAGCTTCTGTCAGACTCAATAGACTCTTATTCTTCATGTCCAATAGTGTGTTTGGAGAGCGAGGTTTCAATTGGAATTCACGATGGGCAAGAGTTACAAAGAGAGTGACGATGTACATGACAACCGCTTGAATTTGTCCACATTGAATTGAATTATAGCTCAATAGAACGGATCTGAATATCGTATATACAAGTTGTAAGCTTTCACAGTTTCGATGTATAACTATGTTTACATATATCCACTCAGAGAAATTCGCATTATTCATATACTCTTTGCTGGTAATTAGTTGCGAGATTCCCTGCGAAAATTATGGATAGCTTGGATTCAACGAAAAAGTAAATAACGCGATGATGAGATCGTCAGAGTGTAGGTTATCGTTCCCTTCCATTCCATCGCTCGCTTCTGTTGAGATACAAAATTCAGTCTCAAAGAGCCAGAACGATATTCTGGACATTCTAGGTACTCTCTCAACCAAACCTCGAAAGATCAGAAGAATACTTCTGTATGTCATTTCCGTAATTTCTATTATCCTTACGATCTAGCACAGCAATAGGTAGACACGCAGCTGCAAGGTATGTGCCTCAGCATTCAATCCAAGTATATACATATCACACAGCATCGCATGGGACAGCGAGCCAAAGAACAATTACTCGTGTCATCCAAGTCCACAGAACCAACTTGACAATTCAATAAATAGTTAATATTAATATTCGGGTATCCAATTCCTATATCCATAAAGGATATTATCATAACTTCATAACTGATCCATCATGCCACACCCATGGCTGGATTGGCACCAGTGCGATGCTTCTCAAGGTCACCTTGATAGTGCTCAACGTCAACCCCGTTCTTGTCACTAATCTCTTGAGCTCTTCTCTCGATATCTGCGGCGTAGCCGGCGTTGTACGATGCTTTGTCTGTTCCGGGAACCTATTTTGCTGTTAGGATTTGAGGTTTTTGAATGTGTAGTACGAGTTAGTGATAAACAGGAAGAACTTACGAGAATGGGTGCATGAGTAAAGAGATAATTCATTTCTTCCAAAGGCTTTCTTGCGGTTTCGGGCAAGAATAGGTAGAAGAATAGCGCATTCGTGAAATTGCAAATGATGAAGACGAAGTAGAATTTGTATCCAATGTTGGTCATGGCCATATCGGTAATTTGACCGATCAGCGTGTTGAAGGCGAAGGAAACCATGGTTGCGATGGAGACACCCTTAGAACGGGTACGGGTGTCAAAGATTTCGGCAGGGATTACCCAAGAGAGAGGTCCGCAGGTACAGGAGAAGGAGAAATTGTACAGCCAGGTCATGATGATGAAACCCCAGGAGGCGCCGATGTTATGGTTGGTGGCGGGCGGAAAGCTGGCGATGAGGACACAGGCAATGAGGAATGTGAGCTGGAGCGATTGTTAGTATTTTGTGATCTTGTATGTAGAGGAAGTGAGGAATTGGATGACTAACCATATTAAACAGATTACCCCAAATCAAAGGCCATCTTCGTCCCAACTTATCAATGAATAATACACAGCACGCTTCTCCAAGCAAAGCAATGATATTGTTGATAGCTTGATATTTCAAAGCATCACTTCCTACAATGCCAATCTGTCCATAGATCTTTACGGAATAGTACTGGATTGCGGAAACACCAGTCATTTGAACCGATGCCTGCAAGGCACACGCGATAAATAATCGACGGAAAGATGACTTGTTTGTGAACAATTCCAAGTAAGATTTTGCCTCATGTTCATGCTCATACGTAATGCTGTCTTGGATTTGATCGAATTCTGCTCGGACCCAGGGATCATTTTCATCACCATGGGCGTGCAATCTGGCGAGCGTTTTGAGTCCCTTGTCTGGGTATCCATGATCGATGAGCCAACGTGGAGATTCGGGAAAGAGGAAAATGAGACCGGCGAGAACAACGGCGGGAAGCAGTTGGAGTCCCAGTGGCAAGCGCCATTGTGCAGAGTTGCCTTTGATGCCGATATATGTTCCGTAACTAATCCATCCGGCGACGAGAGCACCAATTCCCAACATGAATTGTTGTAAGGATGTGATGCGACCTCGAATGCTGGGATGTGCGATTTCGGCTTGGTAGAGGGGAATAATCATAACAAGGAAACCAACTAGTGAATTGCTTGTTAGTGATGGCCTGTTGGAATAGAATTGCTGAGTTCCGATAGCTTACCTCCTAATCCGGCAATCCATCTACCGGCCCAAAGATAATGAATATGCTGTGCACCGGTTTGGAGACCGCCTCCGAGTAGAAAGATAAGACATCCTGCAAAGATGGTCCATCGACGACCGAATCTATCTCCAACTGGTCCTGCAAGACCGGAACCACAAAATGCTCCACCCGTGAAGAAGGATACTACAATACCACTAAGCCAGTTAGTTTTGCATCATATCACTGGAAGAGGACCTTTTACATTTCTGTTGAAGTTGGCTGGAATTTTTCGACGAATGTTTCACTTGCAACGACTTCTGCGATAACACCTAATTACTGTTAGAGCTGGTTTATAGAGTCTTGAGTATACAATCTACGTACCTAGATCATAACCATAGAGAATAGAACCCACAGAGGCGAAAACACCTACGAGGAACTGTGATTTAGTGTTAGCAATGGCCAAGAACACAAAGTTTCAAACACATAAATCTTACCTGATAGACTTTTGGAGACAGAACCATGGCTGTAACGATGCTCGAAAGCTTACAGTATCAATTAAAGAAATGTTCTCAAGAAGAGATACTGATCAAAGGGGATCAACATTTGCATGCGAAATCTTCACATCTTATATTCTTCACTGCACTTCACAATTTACCAACACCAACAACATACCATATGATAATACGCTAGTTATGCGGGGATCCTGGGGAAATGGCACCTGGGAGCTCCCGAAATGGCACTCTACGATAGTCTTCTAGCTCTCCGCGTTGGGGAACCAGCCACTCCCTTGTTATGATTCGTTCTTGAGCATGTCCTGTGCATCTTGGTGCGCAGGGATACTTCGGCTCAAGAACGCCCATTGGTACGCATCTGCATGTTCGATTAATGTACGGTAATGACTTCCTCCCAAGTCTCCAAGCATTTTCTGGAGATTGACCGCGGATTGCTCTTGCTATGTTATGGAGGGCGTGAGCAGACCAGGGTGTGCAAGTCCCAACGTGGGGTGCGGAGACGTAGATTTTCGCTTGTTGGTGGCTTGAGATTTTCCATCCAGTAAGAGGGGCTCGCTTGTCGGGAGGGCGCGTGCAGCTTCGGATTAAATGGTCCAATAGCTCGGAGCAACGTATATGCGCACCAATGAGCGCACAGAGTGGTGACCGACTACCCGCACTCTTCTTGTTTGTGCGTGTGGATTTGTGAGTCGATATCGTCGTATCAGGTGGGTAAGGTGGAGACGGGAGACTGTCTTCAGTCTTGTCAGATGCGGTTCCGAGGTTTATTAAGATGGCAGGATTCCATGTGCAGCGCTTTATGTTGTTTGTTTCATCCCGTGAGGCACGGAATACTACACGGATCTGAACAAGGGAAAGAGATATTGACACGATGACGACGTTTACGAGAATACCCGATGGAGAGACGCCTTCGATTAGTATTGATGCGTCGAGGAGGTTGTCGAAGATCGGTATGTTTTCGAGAGCTTCGTGCGTCGTTAGATACATACGAAAGTATACTGACTTTGAAATAGACCCTATGATATATGGAGGGTTTATGGAGTGAGTGATACTTTTGTACATCTTCAAAAGTCAGGTGTCGTTTGACTACTTGGGGACATACGTAGGAGGACTTGTTTGATATCCTCTCTAAGACTAGGATCTCATCTAAACTCGCATGATCTGAGATTAGAATGAGAAGATCTCCATATGATGGTGCTCGCTGAAAAGTTGAAGCGAGGAGCCATATGAACTATATTTTGGCTGTCTTTCAAGAGAGTTCAAGTTTCAAAGAATGTCTAAAACGCCATTTTGTGCGAACATCGTCATCTACTGGACATTAGACCTTCTCGAGTGGGAAAGTCCATGTACACACCACAACCGGTTGAATATGCAATGTAGTTTTCACATCGTTCCATTCTACATCACCTGAAAGTTCCCCATGTCACGAGCGTGTGGCCTGGGAGATAGGTTACATATATCTCAGCTTGAAGCCATTTCCCCTATTTGTATACCTGCTCACACATAGCAGACATATGGGCCGTTGCATTTACGGTGGAATATACGATCCTGGAAACCCTCTCTCCGACAAACATGGTTACCGCACGGATGTCCTCGGTGCGCTCCGCGAACTCGATATTCCTGTGATTCGCTACCCTGGTGGAAATTTCATCGCTACATATCACTGGGAAGATGGAATCGGACCTAGAGAAAATCGACCTGCTCGACCTGAACTTGCTTGGTTAGGAACTGAGACGAATGAATTTGGTATTTGACCCTCTTATTTGTTCATTTGAGCTCGGAAGCTAACAGCATCCAGGAACTGATGAATTCATGCATTATCTCAGTGTTCTCTCAGAGGGAAAGGAAAAACGGGTCGAACCCTATTTCTGTCTCAATATGGGAACAGGGACATTGACCGAAGCATTGGCGTGGGTAGAGTATTGCAACGGTACCCGAAATACCTACTATGCCAATCTTCGAAGAAAGAATGGACATAAAGAACCATACAATATCAAATACTGGGCACTAGGGAACGAAGTTTGGGGACCGTGGCAAGTTGAGCAAATGACTGCTGAAGACTAGTACGTTAAATCTCCCACTCCAAGAAACCATTATTAAATGAATCCAGCGCCAAGAAAGCCCTCCAATGGTCTAAAGCTCTCCATCTCCTCGACCCATCCCTTCAGCTCATTCTCTGTGGCGAAACAGGTCTCTCCCCCTGGGATCTCACCGTGCTACTACCCAATATTCACCACATAACCATGCACAGTATCCACATCTACAGCACCTCATCCCAACATCTCCCCAACGCCCTTTCACCCCTGCAAGCAGAAACCGCCATCGAATCCGCCGCCTCCCTCATCCAAATCGCACGCATCCAAGCCAAGATCCCTCCCTCAGTACCTGTCCCCAAAATCTGTTTCGACGAATGGAACGTATGGGATCCATTACGTGCACCCGGAGAAGAGGGAGCCGAGGAAAAATACACTCTAAGCGATGCTCTAGCCGTCGGTGTGTGGTTGAATGTTTTTATTCGACAGAGTCGATATGTTGGGATGGCTAATCTGGCTCAGAGCGTTAACGTCATTTCTCCATTGATGACAAGTAAAGATGGGATTATTAAACAAACGACTTGGTGGCCATTATGGCTGTATAGTAAGTATATGCGTGGATGGACTCTGGGCTACATGTGAGAGGGGGGGCGTACGAAGGGGTTCAGGAACCGAAGTGGTTGGGGAGTGTAGTGGGTGAACAGGGAGGAGCGAGCTGGTTGGATGTGGCGGGAAGTATAGATGAGGATGGAGTAATCAGTTTGTGTGTTGTGAATGTGAGCGAGGAGGAGAGTTTCGAGACGGATTTACTGGGGGTGAAGGGTGAGGTTGAGGTTTTCACTATCACTGGAGATAATGTTAAGGTGACCAATACGGCGGAGAAGGAAGAAGTGGGTATTAAGGAAAGTAAATGGGATGGTAAGGGTAAATACACTTTTGGAAAACATTCTCTTACGATGTTGAGATGGGCAACGGGAGAGAAAGTTGTGGAAGTTAAGAGGGGTGAGGGAGAGAGATTGGATACGAGAAAGTTGGCATGGGCGGGTGATAGGGAACTTGAGAGATCCTAAGTATGTTATAGAAATATGATTGTTAAAAGAAATCAGTGCAAGAAGTCCAATGGGCTATTCGCGGATTACTGGTGTTGCTCTCTTCAATTATCCATTCCCAAAAGCGCATAGACTTTGCCAACTTTCAGGCATCTGCTCCCAGTCTATTTTTTTCACCCTAATGCAAGAAATTCTTTTCCTCAAAAGCCGCACGAATAGTGTTATGAAACCATAGATGTATCAAAAGGTTCAAGTGCTAGTTCCCGGCGAACCCTTATTATTGCTCCAGATGAATCGTTGTTCCCAACTTCATGAACTCTGGCAATCTTGGTAAGTGGTTTTTTTTGGAATTAAATGTCATACTCAATTAGTAGTATCATGGTCCAAATAACATGGCCGGGTTTACAAATATAGTATCTAATCAATCATCTACCCGAAAACAATACGACTCCATGGCAGGTCAGTAATCCTCCCACATAAGAAAGCTCCCATTAACTCGCATAATTAAAATGTCCCAACTCTATATCCAGCAATATCATTATGTAAAGCTCTATGTAGAAATCTTGCCGTTCTCTTCACATCCACTCCCCCTCTAAACAACAATCGCCTACTACAAACTCACCCCAATCTAACTCGGAACCCCATCTCTCGTCACAAAACTCCAGCAACCACCACAGCTCCCGCCGCCATCAAAGCCACTTTCCCAACATTACATGATCCACAAGAAGCCCCCGCAATCTCTGTTCCTCCCGCCAGAATAGGTTCATGCCTAGTCAGCTCAAGTTAGCATCTATTTCTCTCTACTCCAAACCAACATCATCCCGGCTGCCACATCCCCTATTTCCTCAAACCTCAAACCTCAAAAACAACAACCCCAACCCAAAATTCATCTCCAATCCAACTCCCCATCCCCAAACAACAGAAAAAATACACATACCATCCACAATGCACAAAAGTCTGCAGCGTAACACAACTCCAATAAGTAGTCTGATGATATTTTTCCTGAAGCTGAATCTCTTCTGCACTTGGCGCGGCTGTGATTAACGCATCTTCTTCACTCGTTTCGCTCGGTCTAGAAGCTTGGAATCCCTCCCGAGGATTCCCATTCCTCCAATCTTTCCGGATCAAGAACGGGGTTGATGATGATCCCGATGCAGAAATAGTGTTTGTAGCCGTGGAAACCGGTGTAGGCGCCGACAACAACGAAGCGATAATAACAGGCAAGAAACTCAAGACGACGAGTCGTGAGATAGCTTTCATATTTCTCTAAAGTATTTGGGTCATGAACTCGGTCTAACTCGTATTCCGCACTTCAAAAAGTCTAAACTTTCAGACTGATTCGAAGACGACTTCGGACTCGGGGGGTTTTAAAATACACGATTGTTTGTTTCACACTCAAGCTTTCAGTTCAGCAATCGAAACGTCGAGAAATAGAACGTAGCTTCAAGGACTGAGTATGCGATTCGAGATCGAGAATAGGTTTCTCTGGGTAAATAAAAATGATGACTGGCGGGGTAGAATCTGTATATATGCGGCGCGGGGTGATATGGTGGCTCTCTGGAAGTAGACGTATTGGACCGAGTATTAAAAACAGGGAAACCTGTGTTTTATATATGTGTACTCGAGAAGAAGTGATGGATAAATTTTATATTTAAAGGCATCCAAGATCTCATATACTTGAATATGTGTTCAAAAGTATAGGAAATGATATTGCGACAAGAGATACATTCGCAGTATTGTATAGGGATGTAAGATCACATGTGTTCGGTATAACTAAACCCACGCTTGCGAATCAATGTATCACTGAATTAGCCTTTCTCATCTTGAAATCAAGAAATATCATATCAAAGAAGATGAGTGGAGAGAGGTGGAAACAGTTCTAGAAGAAGCATCCTAAGCCCTATCAGCAATCAAGGACGATTGAGAGCCAATGCATTGTTCTTGGCTGAACACCGACTAAACGAGGTCTTGCACACATCAAGGATGTGATGAAACGAAACAAACAGAATTCCATACAACTAGATTGGAAATCAAAAGAACATTGTGGAATGAATCATTTGAATAGGTTTGATCACGGAAGAGAAGATCAAGAAGGAACATAACTCCCGAAATGTTAGCAGCAGAAGATCCAAAGTAGGTATTGGTAATGAATACATGCGCTGCCTTTACGCACTTACCAGGAGAGACAACCAACTCGAAAGTAGAATGAAGTCCGATTCAAACACAGTTCTCATGTTCCAGAGAATGGAAAAAACATAACTTAAGAATGATTATATGTTATTGTATTAATTTTTGTAGCTACGTGTTGTACCTTACTATTCTGTTAACTGCTGCATATTTCTCTGCTACTTCTCTCTTTACAAATAGTATTTGCCAAAATTAGCACACCATTTGAAACGAATCTTGACATTGACTTTGCGGTGTCCAACATGCTCAAAATCTTTTTCTGGAAGTTTTGGTGTTCAGAGAAGTGTTTGTCGCACCCCCCAAGCTATTACTCCCTTGTCTCTTTAATCCTCTCAAATTACTTTTTGTCTTTGCTCCCCATCCTGCCTCAAAATCTTCATCCCTGTTTGAGCCTTCGCCAATCAATTTCTCCTTTTCAGGTTCGGGCTCTATATCGCTTGAAAGGGTCAGATCCATGTATTGCGAACTTTGTGGTGCTTTAGATGTTTTAGGCGTGGTCTGATCTTCATCAGAAGATGGATCAAATGCAGCAATGGTCTTCTTTGGTTTAGTTCCAGCCCCCTTTGATCCAAGCTCGGCTTTCACCTGCACTGTATCCGACTCTGAGTCTGAATCATCAAATGCCACCAAGGCTTTCTTACTCTTGTCATCTGCTGGGATTGCTGAAGACTGTGTATCATCGAATCCTGCCAATGTCTTTCTCGTCCTAGTAACAGCTTGCGGCTTTTTTGGTGGAGGCTGCGAAGCGTTCCCCTCAGGCTCCTTCAGAGGCTGGGAAGGCTGGCTGAGAAACTCTTCAACAGTTGGAAAATCATCCGATGAAGGTACAGCCTTATCGTCGTTCTCAGTAGGTTTGCTAGATGAATTGAATCGGTGTGAAGGAAGTTCAGACTCGTCACCATCATGTGTTGCCATATCAATTGTTGTAACATCTGTTTTGGCGTCATGAAGTTCCTGGTTTCGTATGTTCTCAAAACTGAAATCTGGTTGCCGTCCATGGTCAGTGACCAAACTTGCGAATGATGATTGTCCCGATAACTTTGGGTCTGCTGCTCTACAATCTACCTCAATCGTGTCAAGTGTTTGGTCTGTCTCAACTGGACTAGATGCATTTCTACGTGGCTGAAGGGCTTCCCACGATGCCTGAGCCTTGTTGACATTGATTTTCTTGGTGGTTGGCTTGGTGTGAATGTTGGGTACATTTGGAGTTACCTGAGGCACTCTTGTTGTTAGGTCCTTTTCGTTAGTTGATTCAGATTCTTGAGTTGCAGACACTTCTGGTTTATCGTGGTTTAGAACGCTTGAAGGTTCTTGAGATCCTACAGTGTGCCAACTCGATTGTTGCCTATCAGGAGAAGTGATTGACTGTGATTGTCGGATCGGTGAGCTCGAACCGAAACCATTGAATTTTGGCGAAAACGAGGTTTCGTCAATTTCATCCATTGGTTCTGTCCTCGTTCTATCGTGCTTAAGCGCTTCTTCGCCCTTTTCCGAATCGTTGAGAGCAAAATCTCGGACTATGGAGGAGGGTACATTAGAGCGAAAACCAGCTTCCTTGATAAGATGTGAAATATTTTCCTTAGCACTATCAGTGATTGATTGCGGTAATGCTTCAGCTTGCAGATACTCCAGCTTTGAATTACGTGGCGTTCTGATTATGTCTGCAGTTTCGGCAGGAGCTGGTGGGTCTGTGTCATAATACTGCGTCTCTGTGACATGGGAACATTGTGTTTCATCTAAGTTTTCGTTGCTTAAAGTCACGGAATCATCAGTCGCCATGCCATTTTTGGAGATTTCGGTAGACAGGCTTACTGGGGCAGGGGCGACAATCTTCGGTTCGACAAGCTCGTAGAAAGTGATGACCATTTCTCCATTGTCCTCTTCCTCTTCATCCTCTTCTTCATTGGGCATTTCAAACTTTCCCCAAATCCTTTCTCCATTTTCATCGTAATGCTTCACTGGATAATCTCTGTCTCTTCTTGCCAAAGAAACTGTGATATCACCATTATCGTCGACGGATAGAACAGAGGCTGTGCGATAAGCTGAAATCTGTGGTTGCCATTTTGTAGATTCGTCCATAAGCATTTGCTTGAAGGCAATGATCATTCCAGATTGTACTGTGTGTAGTTCTAGATTTGGCAGAGTAGCTGGATCTTCTGGGAGTTCGACTAGATCAGGGGTTTCTTGAATAAGATCCCCCAGATCAGTCCTGAGCTCCACACTCTCAACCTGTCTCGCTGGTGGCTCCGTCGATTGTGTCTCCGTGACATCTTCCTCGTAGCTTGGCTGGTATGATTCGTCAAAATACTCCTCCTGTTCTTCAGAGTAGTTTTGCTTTCCATTGCGTCTCTTTCGTTTCTTTGAACCTTGTGAATCTTCATTGTGCCCTTGGGCCTGGTTCTTCCTCTTGCCACCTCTATGATTTTGTTGTTGAGGATCCCATCGTTGAACGAATGGAAACGGTGGCTCGCTTAATACAACACCTTCTTGACAACATTCGACCGCTCGATAGGCAGCAACCTTATCTCTCCATCTATCGTTATCAACAGCGAGAATGTCAGTCTCTTGGGCAAGAACTTCTTCAGGTGGGTTAACAGTTTTAGAAACACGGACATCCTTCATCAAGTCATTACGAAGCTTGTCCTCGTCCTTCTTCGTCTTGGGATTCTTCATACCAAGTGCACCAAACAATAATCGACGACCGGCATCCACGTCCAATTTCGCTCGTCGTGATTTGGCTGGTTGATTTTCACTTGTTGGTGTGGAGTCAGAATCCTCTTGTAGACCCACATTGGCGATATCGGAATCTTCAGTAGGGTTCTCAGATGTATCTTTGCCAGTTTTAGGAGCACCGCTTACCATTTCGGGCACGTCGACATTCATAGTATCAACCACAGTTTTGCCAGTTGTTGGAGATACCTCGATACCACCGGACGCAAGAGACGCGAGCAATTCACGTCGCCGCGCCTCGAACTCGTCGGCTTCGGAGAGTGCTTTTTTTGTTCCATTCTGAATTTTGACAGAGCTGGCGTTGGCTCTCAATACTGCTAGCGCGGCAGATGCGTCTTCGGGGGAAGTGCTATCATTGACTTCTAGCTGATTGAATTCAGATGTTTTAGTGTCCTCTGGAAGAATACCTCGCTCTTTAAGCTTGGCAAGAGCGATACCCTGTTTACGACGCTGATTCCTGGATTGCGTTGATTTCTTGCCCTGTCTAGGAGGCACAGGAACTCGTGGGTTTGAAACAAGCTTGTCGGTAGATGGGTTAGGTTCTAACTTAGCAGCTTCAAACACTGGCGCAACCTGCTTACTCGATTTGACTTCCGGTGCTTCGTCATCACTCGAAGAATCGCTCGAAGAATCGCTATCACTATCAGAAGATGAGGATGATGCGTCGGCAGCCTCACTAGAATCGTCTCCGCTAGAAGAATCATCGCTATCATCACTACTGCTGCTTGAATCGGCTTCGGAAGACGAATCTGAGGAACCATCACTATCAATAGATATTTCATCATCATTAGACTTGATATCTATTGCTGGTGTAGAGGTAAGCCCGCTGCTCAAATCTCTACCTGCAAAGGTGATACCATTGCCAGTAGAAACAGCTGCGGAACCAGTATCAAACTTGGTATGTTTTGGCTTTGAATCAGGAGCACCCTCCATAGCTTCAGCCATATATGATAATGCTTTGCCTGAAGTAATTGAACCTGGCGGTAAACCGTGCTGATCATAGTGTTGAAGTAACGCGTCTTCCTCTTCCTCCTCCGAGCCAGATTCTTCATCGTCTAAATCCATCTTATTGGTTGGTGCCGGATCATTTTGCTTGGATGTGATTCCTGCTTCACTGCGTTTGGAGACTCGGGCTTTAGACGAGACCTTCGGTGACTTGGGATGATTAGAAGATGATTGTAAGATAGAGCTCTTCGGCTTAGCAGGAACGTATCCTCGAACCAGAGCCTCATAGGCGTGGGATATGTCTCCATCAGAACCCTTTAAGACAAAGTTGACAACGGACATAGAGGCGCTGGGAAAAGCAGTATGCAATTCGCAAATCTTTGCTCTTGTTGATGGGCTCTTGACACTTGAAAGGACAGCCCGGTCGGCAGCAGATAGCTCGTCAACATCGCCTGATTTTTCCGTTTCATTGCCGGGAGTGGTCGAGTTTGGCTGGTCATCTTGAAACCCCTCAAAATCTTCCTCCTCGTTCTCCTCATCCTCCGAATTTTGCTCCTCTAATCCTGGCTCAAAGTCTTCATCGTCTTCTTCGTCATCATCTTCAAAATCTGCATGAAGGACCAGTTGTCGGTCGTCTGTATTCTCAATCTCCTCATCACTCTCTTCATCGTCATCCTCAAAATCTGCACGAATAACTAATTGTCGACTTCCTGTATCCGCGACTTCCTCGTCGCTTTCTTCTTTTTCTTCTTCCTCATCCTCGTAATTGTCTGCATTTGGATCAAAATCATCGTCGTCTTCATCGTCTTCATCTTCGTCAACTTCTGGTTGAAAAGCAATTCTTTTGGCTGCTGGCTCAGTATCTTCGGCGTCCTCAGGATCCTCATCTTCATCGATTGTAATTCTACGTCGTTTGCGAGGGGGAATCTCAATTGCTGGGCGGTTCATAGGTCTCCTTAACATAGGTCTTCCATACGCGATACCGTCAACCAAATGTCTCCCATCCGCCGAAATTTGATGCCTTCCAGATATTCTTCGTGCTCGCAGATCATTAGTAAGAAGTGGGCGAATGCTGGAGAATAGAACATTAGTGTATATGTCTCGCAAATGTGTAATGAATGCAAGCTCGAACTCACATTACTTCATCTTCTTCCTTCATTACTTTGTCAACAGGTTGAAAGTGCAGACATTCATAATTAAGTCCTTCCTTCCCCTTCACCTCAACAGCATAATCCTCCATCCCCCATTCTGTAGATTCGATGGGAATTACATCATTAATTTCATTTAGTAATTCTGACACTGTAGGTGCGGATGTTGAGGTGTTGACATCCCAGATGATGGGGCAGTCAGGAAGATTGTGCCTGCGCACATTTAAACGTAGTCTCATGTCGGCGATGAGGAATGTAAATCGACCCGACCCGTTTGAAGCTTTTAAGACTTACCTAGCTAGGAAATGCAATGCAGAGAAGGTGTGGGGAAGAAATCACGGCGTTTGACGCGAAAATAGTTTCGCGAACTCCAAAAATAAAAAAGAAGGTACGGGCAATCACGTGTCAGACTTGGATATTATATCTTTGGGATATTTCCCCTGGTGAGCTTGATAGACGCTAAGTGCACGCAAATGCCTTTCTAGGTTCGTTTCTGGTCTCTTCAAACGAGCCATTTGATCCTAAGGAACTTATTTACATGCTGTACAGATTTTAGGACTTGTATAAACTTGTAAATACACATAGAGTGCATCACGCGTAAATTTTAGTTAAGATAATATCATTATGAAGAACCCTGGTATCCACTAACGCCATATAATACTCAGAGAACACCTCAATCTCTTCGTCTGTGTTTCTTCCCTGTGTCCACTTCCGTAGCAGAGGGTTCAACGGTTACTCCTAAGCTAGTTGCACCAAGAGCTTTTGCACCACCAAGCCGTCTACCAGCACTGTCTTTATTTCCAACCCTGTCCTGTTCGGTTTCCAACAATCGCATCTCAGCCTCCTCATCTAACATCGTTCCGTCAATTGTCAAGAACCCTCTCTCCTTATCATGATTTGATTCAATCTCCTTGACTCGAAATTTCACGGTGCCTTCAATTTTCTTGCCCTCTCCATCTACATAATAGCCAATTCCATCTTCAGCGTATGTTGCGCCATCTTCAGCTTCGGCTTCCGCATCCTTCTCTTGGTCCTCTACACCGACCCATCTCCATTCTTTTGGTAATCTTGCCCTCTCGATACTTGCATTGAAAAGATTCCAACAGACTAAACCCAGATGCCCTTCATTTTGTAAATTGATATAACCCTCTAACCAAGCTCCCTTTTCCGGTTTGAAGAGTAGAAACTCAGCAGTCACCCAAGCCCAACTGACCGCATATTCGTCCAAGTTCTGTAAAAGAGTAGAATCTCCATCGTTACCAAAGGCCTTTTCGGCAAATCGTGGGTTGCTGTAGGAAAGAATAACTCCATTGAATGGAGGATAATATGTGAGAATGAGTGGAGAAAGGTGTTCGGCGCATAAACCTTCGAGAGGAAATTTCTGAGATACTGGTGCTAAGGGCAAAAAGATTGAAGACGTCTGTAAATGGAATGGCGATACTTCAGCTGGTGGTTGTATCGAGGAGGAACTTAGTGTGGCCGTCTTTTCGGATCTATGTTTCTTCGATCGATGCCCTTCCTCCCCATTCTCACGTTTTCGTTTTTTCTCGCTATCTGTTGATTTATGCTTCTTTTCCGATTTGCTCTTATGCTTTTTGGGAGAAGCCCCGGCGATTGTTGATTGTGAAGGCATTTCAATTGACATTCTGTTGTTATTGACTTTCAAGGCTATTGATTTTTTTCGTGAACGTCTCCCCCAGAAACTTTTAATGCGGCCGCTAGCGTGCTCCGATAAGATAAGCCTTTTGTCGCAAACAAAGGATAAGTGGCTTTACTCTTGCCGTTTGGGATACATTTCCAATAAAATCTACACAAGGGACTACAGTTTTCTCTTCTTTTGCAAGTTCATGTCTTACATATCCTGAAAATACAATAACGGAGAGGGTAGAGTTCTAAGAGATGTCTAATAATCTTCTTTCTTTAGCTGGCTGGACCTTCCTCCCTAATGTAAGTTGTCCCCTAATCCAATCATGCAATTCATGTAATGCTTCCTAACACGAATCTCTAGTTGGTTACGGGTTGGGTCCAAACTTTATGGTACGGACTGACAATACGTGTTGGCGATCCAAAACCTCAACCTGGTTCCCCAAAATGGGTTCTACATCGCCGGCGCATAAACATATTAGTTATATCTACATATCTCCTATACACAATCTACGAAGCCGACTGGGACATTCGCAAAGCAAGAGATTTCTACCAAGATCTGGGAGTCTCTCATTCGGCGACTGAACGAGAAATTAAATCGAGATTCAGGCGGCTGGCAGCCATTCATCATCCTGACAAAGTTTCATCATCTTCCCCTTCCTCCGAGGGTTACTTTGTCCATTTGAAATTGGCACAAGACACACTTCTTAACCCCGCAAAACGATTCGCATACGAAAGATTTGGACCAGAAGTGATAGGGTGGCAACATTGTTCAACAATCAGAGACTACCTTGCCCATGGCATGCAGACGATCGCGCCCTACTACGGCATCGCTGGGATATTCATGTACGGATTGAGTCTTGCTGGCTATTTGGACTGGGGCAAATACTGGCGCTGGATCACCATAATCATGCTCTGCGTATTTGAACTGCACACAGTTTCGCGTCCATACTTCCCCGTTGTTGCAACGAACATACTAAATCCAATCCTCACAAAATTCACATCACATCCGCCATATCTTCCATTTCAATTAATACAACTCGCTCGAAAAGCGAGTCTCACATTATACATTGCGTTTTCCCAGCTTGGCCCATTATTACAACCACCCACAGCTCCACAAAATGGAAACCCGGAAACTGTGCTGAAGCAGCAACTTGATCGATTAGAACAAGTTGCAAAAGCTGCAGAGGTCGATGCGTCTCGACTTCACGCATTAGAAATGATTCCATTCGCCAATGATCCACAGGCGATGAATGATGTAAAGGGGAAAGTCAAGGAATGGCTCGTACAGAACACTATAAGGTCCGATCCGGAGGTGAGAGATGCAATGGGGACTGTATTGAAACGTAGAAGAACGGATGCTCCAGCCGGCGCAAGGGGTAATCGATAAACTCATATCGGGCTGATGTCTAGTTAATAAATGAATTTCACGGTACATATTTTCAACCGGGTCCACGAAAGTTTCGAATGCCATGTTGTTCTTACATACACTATAAACGGCATTTCCAGATGTCTTTTTTTTCTTTCTGAATCTGCAAGTTGAGCCGGAATACTACCTTCTTTTGTTCAACATCGGCGGCCGAGATGCCCCTTCCTACTCAAGCGAGTGGATCTTCTGCAAATTATTCATTTCTGCCCCCTTACCTCATCATCTAATGATCTTGTTTTGTTGCACATCTACTCAAGCCGCACCTACATTAGGTCTTCATTACATGGCTTTATATGACTGCCACGTTTTTTTCATGTCGACAAAGGGCACCTATCACTCGGTATGTTGGAAATTTGTTGCACATCGTAACAGGGACAAGGGTCATCCCGTTGTTACTCTGGTCGCATATGCCGGTAGCCTTGCTTTGAGTGAGATGATGATCTGTCCCTATTTTTGTTGTTGCTTGTCTGCCTCTGCCGTGTCCACGTGGCTGGATACCCCTGTGCTTAAAACTCGCTTGACAATGATGTCGTTGTACTAGTTTATTTTCTTGAATTTAGTATCATGGTTTTCGATTTGTGCGTTGTCTTTTTGTTGACAGGGAAACAAACCCCAGAATCGGTTCTTTTGGTGTATGTCCCCGTGTTTGAATATCTTGGGCCGTCTTCAGTCGAATTAAGACTAGGTGCGGACTAATTAAAGTGTTGAGCTCCTCCACTGCAATTACATTTTTTATTATTCCATGGGGCTCTTACCAATTTCCAATTCGATTGAGCTAGGTGATGAGTTTGATGAACACTGCGCCCATCGCTACCCGTCCACACAGATGCATTTTCTATTATCCATATGTATCAAAGTGAATTCACAAATTGATGTCAATCAGATCTTGACCTTTCCTGCTAGTACCGTAGACACTCGAAGGTATGGCTAACCCGATATGACGATATAAATAAAAGCATCGAAGTAGTTCGAACTTCAGCCCAGTTCAGTTCACACTATCTAAAAAAGAACGACGATACAGACTGTGGTCAAAACTATGTTAGAACCACCGGAAATTCAGTGATCCAATGTTGATATTAATTACAGCCGAAACTTCAGCAAACTCTTTCGTTCACGATGATTGTCCACTGTATCTCATTGACAGGCTTGCAGTTTCCATCTTAGAAAACACTCCTTGAATCCCCACTCAGATTAGTCTAACCCTACCGAGCTCCTCATCACTTCCTAGTCTTCCCCTCACTCCCAGCCACTGTATCTAGTTCGTTTTCCACACTACCTTCTTTGTTCCCTCCTATGTGACGCAGGCCCATATACCCTCACCCCTATCCTCACTCCTCTCGATCTTTATCCTCTCAAACCATCCGCGAAGACCGGTCCCACAACTATACCGTCACTCGATATATGTCGCGCTCAGCGCGAAACTTAAGGAACTGAGACATGCACTATATTTACGATCTGATCACCTCTCTTATGAACTCCAATGATAACAGGACGACTATTCTCCGACCAAAACTATCGTCTCCACGTTGGATTTAATCTGAGAAAAGATACCTCCGCAAGGCGATACTAATGCTACAATGAAACGTTTGTTGGCTGTATCAAGCAACGAGGTTGATCGATCCGAAGACTAGATGACAAGGCAGAGTGTCATTTGATTGTCTCTAGAGCCGTGAAGGCTAGGAAACACGTTTGTAGTGCGTTGCAGTAGCTTGTGAAGCTTGTTGATAACTAACATCTAGCTACGGATCTTTAAGGCAGGGATTTGGTGACTCTGAGCGACTTCATACTAGGTGATGTATGTGGCGATGGAGTAGAGTGTGTGATTTGGAAGGATTGTGTTGTGTTGTATTGTATTTTATATCTGCCTACCTACCAAGTATCCATCCACTCTCTATTACCTATATCAAATATAACATCCCATCACCCTAAATCTTACATCCACTCCCATCACATCTTACAATTCTCATTCCTCAAGCCCCAAATTCTTCAAAAATGTACATCTTTATCAAATCCGCTATTCTTTTTCATATCCTACCCAGGCATCTAACCCCCACACATTATATTGCCCCAAGTAGATACGTGTAGCTCATTCCCCATTTTCCATACATTCTATTTTTGCAACAGACTTCGTGTGTTCGTCCCGCGTCTCGAACATTACTTGCATGT